AGCTGTCACCACCATTCCAGGGGTCAATGGACAGCCTGGAACGGTTATCATTGAAACACCCACTCCTGTGGCCCAGGATACCAATGCTCCAAGCACTGCTTCCGCCGGTCAGGGTGGCACCTACGTCACAATATACCGTCCTTATACTGGCACTGCTGTCATCGCAGAACCTGTGACTGTCACTACCATTCCAGGGGTCAATGGAGAGCCCGGAACTGTTATCATTGAGACTCCCACTCCTGTGGCCCAGGATACCAACTCCCCTAGCACAGCTCCTGCTGGTCCGGTTGGCACTTATGTCACAGTTTACCGTCCTTATCCAGGACCTGGCAATATAAATGAGCCCATCACTGTTACAACTATCGAGCCTTCCAATGGTAACCCTGGCACTGTTATCATCGAGACACCTGGTATTGAGACTGGTGGTAAGGTTGTCATTCCTCCAGTCACTCTTGACCCTGGACCCGGTGATCAGTATGTTACTGTTTACCGACCTCATACTGGAACCGAAGTTATTACTGCACCTGTTACGATTACAACTATCGCGCCTTCAGGTGGCCAGCCAGGAACAGTGGTAATCGAGACCCCGGAACCCGAAACTCCTGGGCCAAACCCGACGGTCACGCTGCCTCCTGGACCTAATGAGTCTTATCTGACAGTTTTCCGTCCTCACACCGGAGCTGATGTTATCACTGGCCCTATCACAGTTACGACTATTGCCCCGGTCAACGGCCAGCCTGGTACAGTCATTATTGAGACACCAGCCGAATCTGCGCCTGCCTCAACTCCTGCCCCTGCCGACTCAGCCACCACTGCGGCTCCCCAGGCCACCCCTTCCTACATCACAGTATACCGTCCGCATAGCGGCTCAGACCGTGTAACGGCCCCGGTTACTGTTACTACCATTGAGGCATCAGGAGGTCAGCCTGGAACAATCATCATTGAGACACCAGACCAAGACTTGCCTCCTATGACTACCTCTGCTGGATCTGCTGCTACTTACGTGACGGTATACAGACCTCACACTGGAGCTGATAGAATCACAGAACCGGTCACTATCACGACAATTGAGCCCACGGATGGTCAACCTGGTACAGTCATCATTGAGACTCCGGGCCAGCAAGCGCCACCCGTGACTTCTACTCCCATACCTGCCTCATACATAACAATTACTAGGCTTTATACTGGCACAGGCCAGATCGCTGAACCCATTACCACAACGGTTCCTCCTCAGGGAGATCAACCCGGTACAGTTATCGTGGAGACCCCTGGCCAGCAGCAACCACCCGTGACATCGACTACTGCGTCCCCTTCATACGTGACTGTCACCAGACCCTATACTGGTGCAGACCAGATCACCGCACCCGTTGTGACTACTGTGCCCCCTCAGGGTGACCAACCTGGTACAGTCATCGTGGAGACGCAGGCTCCGTTCGTCACTGTTTACCGTCCTCATACTGGTCCAGACCAGATTACGGGTCCAGTTACTGTCTCGACGATTGCCCCCACTGGAGATCAACCAGGAACAATTGTCATTGAGACCCCTGGTGTAGCTCCGGCAGTCACTACCACTCCTCCTGCCCCGTCATACGTCACAATAACCACATTGTACACTGGAACAGAGATGCTCACTGAGCCAACCACTGTTACCACCATTCCTGCTCAAGGGGACGTACCTGGCACAATCATCGTTCAGACTCAAGGTCCTTATGTCACTATATCGACTCTATACACTGGAACAGGTAGTCTCACAGCTCCAACCGCCCTTACCACTATCCCTCCTCGGGGCGACCAGCCTGGAACTGTCATTGTTGGAACAGCAGGATCGTATGTTACCATTACTACGCTATTCACGGGGACAGATACGCTCACAGGGCCAACGGCTCTCACGACAATCCTCCCACAAGGAAATCAACCTGGCACCGTCATAATCGCGACACCGGCCTCGTACGTTACAAACACCATTCCTTACACAGGGACAGACCAGATCACTGCTCCTATCACGGCTACCATCAATGCTCCCTCAGGAGGTCAACCTGGAACAGTCGTTATTGAGACCCAAGCTCCATTTGTCACGATATATCGTCCACACACTGGAGCAGATATAATCACTACCCCGATCACAATAAGGACAATTGCCCCAACCGGCGACCAGCCTGGCACCGTCGTGATTGAAACACCTGGTTCAGAACTTCCTGTCACCACGACACCTCCCGTTCCCTCCTACAACACAGTATATGAAGAATACTCTGGGACCGATGACATCACTGAGGCCAAGCCCAAGACAACTATCGAGCCTCAGGGTGATCAGCCTGGTATCATCGTTTTCAACACTCCTGCCCAGCGGGTTGTCTCTACAAGCTCTGCACAGGCGTCCTATGTTACGGTCTACCGACCCCATACTGGCCCAGATAGAATCACGGCCCCCGCCACGCTTACCACCATAGCTCCTCAGGGGGACCAACCTGGCACTGTGATCATTGAAACTCCTGGGTCCGAGCCTCCTATCACATCAAACCCTGAACCGCAGCCCTCTTATGTGACAGTCTATCAACCACATTCTGGAACTGAAAGAATCACTGAGCCTGTTACCCTCACAACAATACCTCCCCAGGGCAACGAGCCTGGCACTGTAATCATCGAGACACCGGGCTCAGAGCCTGCTGTAACCTCAACACCTGCTCGCGAGCCTTTGTATGTGACAATCTACCAACCTCATGTTGGTACAGGCAGGATTACTGAGCCTATCACACTTAGTACTGTCCCTCCACAAGGGGATCAACCAGGTACTGTGTTTATCGAGACCCCTGGCGTGGAGCCTCCTATGACTTCCGCACCTGCACCGGAGTCTTCATACGTGACAGTCTACAGGCCTCACACTGGCGTGGATAGAATCACAGAGCCAGTAACTGTGACGACCATTGCACCTCAGGGTGATCAACCAGGAACGGTCATCATCGAAACGCCAGGCTCAGAGCCTCCGGTTACCTCATCACCAGCACCCGAGCCATCATATCTTACGGTCTATCGGCCCCATACTGGCGTAGATCATCTCACTGGTCCTGTAACTATTACAACTATCGCTCCCTCCGGCGACCAACCAGGCACTGTCATAATTGAAACGCCAGGCTCTGAACCTCGCGTCACATCAACACCTGCACCGACAGCGGCGCCGGAACCCTCTTACGCGACAGTTTACCGACCGCACACTGGGGCTGATCGTATCACAGCACCTGTTACTATTACAACGATTGAGCCTCAAGGTGGTCAGCCGGGAACTGTTATCATCGAAACTCCTGGGTCCGAGCCTGCAATCACGTCCATGCCAGCAGCAGAACCCTCGTACGTGACAATTTATCGACCGCATACCGGTTCCGGTAGAATTACCGCTCCAGTTACAATCACAACGGTTGAGGCACAGGGTGATGTACCAGGCACCGTGATTATCGAAACTCCTGGTTCCGAAGCACCAGTGACGTCAAGTCCTATCGCTGGTCCAGAGCCTTCGTATGTCACAGTCTACCGTCCTCACACAGGGGCTGATAGGATAACTGCCCCGGTCACAATTACTACGATTGAGCCTCAAGGAGATCAACCTGGTACAGTAATCATCGAGACGCCCGGCTCAGATACACCAATTACAACTACACCAACGCCTGCACCTCAACCTACTTACGTGACGGTCTATAGACCTCATGTTGGATCCGACCTAATTACTGCACCTGTGACAGTTACCACCATTGAGCCGCAGGGTGATCAACCAGGTACCGTTATCATTGAAACTCCTGGTTCTGAGCCAGCCATCACATCGAGTCCGACACCCACACCTGAACCAACTTATGTCACGATATATCGGCCGCACACAGGTGCAGACCGACTTACTGCACCTGTGACAGTTACCACCGTGGAGCCGCAGGGTGGTCAACCAGGCACCGTTATCATTGAAACGCCAGGTTCTGAGCCAGCCGTCACCTCAACACCCGTTGCATCGTACACGACAATCTACGAACCTTACACGGGCACTGGAGAAATCACAGGCGAGATCACCCGGACAGCTGCACCCCCACAAGGTGATCAGCCCGGTACTGTGATTATTGAGACTCCTGGCCCACAAACTGCGATCAAGGGTGCAAACCCTCCTCTCACTATATCAGCTGGGGATGATAGCTACGTGACTGTGTTCAGACCTCACACAGGAGTTCCACAGATTACAGCACCCATTACTATAACTACCGTGGCTCCTTCCGGCGGACGGCCAGGTACTGTCATCATCGAGACCCCGGTACCTGAAAGCGAAACCAGTACCGCTGGCAGTCCCCCGATCACTCTTCCACCTGGAGATGATCGGTATGTGACGATCTTTAGACCTCACACCGGTACTGGTACGATCAATTCACCGATCACTATTACTACAATTGCACCGACAGGTGGGCAGCCTGGTACCGTGATCATTGAGACTCCTGAGCCTATGACCGAGGCCGCACCAACGACTGCTGCACCCCAGGACGTTTACGTCACGATTTTCAGGCCGTACACTGGTACTGATCAGATCACGGCTCCTGTTACAGTCACGTCCATTGCTCCCGTTTCAGGTACTGGAACTGTCATTATCGAGACGTTGAGCCCTCAGACTGCTAGCACTGTCTACGTAACGGTTTACAGGCCGTACACTGGCACTGAGCATATCACAGAGCCAACCACTGTGACCACTATTGCTCCAGTCTCTGGTACGGGCACCGTTATCATTGAAACTCCTACGGCGGAGCCTACAACTGATCCTGTCCCTTCTACCTCGGCGGCGATTACCATCCCATCCAATGACGAAAGCCGCAACGTGACCGTTATCAAAGCCTATCCAGGTCCTGGAACAATTACCGCACCGATTACGAAATACGTGCCCCCAACCGCAGCAGGAGAGCCTGGCACCGTCGTCATTGAGACTCAAACTGAGGAGGCAACGACCGACGCTCGACCTGAGAATCAGACAACTTCCGCTCCCCATGTTACTATTCCACCAAGTGATAACAGTCCCAATACTACCATTGTGCGTCAGTATCCTGGCCCAGGTATCATCACTGCGCCCATCACCTCTTACGAGCCACCAAAAACACCAGGACAGCCTGGTACCGTCATCATTGAAACCCCAGCCCCTGTTCCCGAGCCTTCGTCCGAACCAGCAGGCAACAATGTTACTCTTTACACCTTAGCCCCACCTGGTGTTAAGGTGCCTATCACCAGCTACGCACCTCCTCAAACCCGCGGACAGCCTGGAACTGTATTTATCCAGACGGTGGCTTCTGATTTGGCCGTGTCTGCTGATGCCGGAAGAAATGTCACCATTAGTCGAGAAGGACCTACTGCTTTCACCACCTACTCGCCCCCGGGAACACCTGGAGATCCTGGTACCGTTATCATCGAGTATCTTGCCCAGACTAATGTCACTATAACTCGACAGGGCTCTGTCGGCCTGACGACCCCCTTTACTACCTATATGCCGCCAAGGACAGCAGGAGAGCCTGGTACTGTGATTGTTGAAACTCCAGAGGCCCGGGGTTCTTCAGCAACTTCAGATGAGGCAGTGACCATTCCCGCCCATTCTGGCAGCCCCAACGTCACTGTGATTCGTGGTGGCCCAGGCAGGGAAGCGAGTACGATATATATACCGCCAACTGGCACTGAACCAGGAACCATCATAATCGAAACACCTACTGTTGTGCCCACGACATCTGAAGGATCGCCCACGTCTGAAGTCCAGCTCAGTAGTAACGAGCCGGCTGTTACCATCCCACCTAGCTCCAACAGCCCTAACATCACGGTTATTCGGCCTTATCCTGGACCGGGATCGATTACGGAGCCTGTTACTAAATATGTTCCCGCAACCGTCCCTGGGGAACCGGGCACTATCATCATCGAGACCCAGAGCTCAGACAGCCCTGATTCTACAACGGCAAACGCTGAGATCACCCTCCCTCCCACTTCACAGAGCCCCAATGTCACCGTCATCAGGCCATATCCCGGTCCAGGCTCCATCACCGAACCTGTCACGAGATACGAGCCCCCTACTGCTGCTGGCGCGCCTGGTACCATCATTATTGAGACCCAGACTACTGATGCGACACGAGAGGCTCCCAAAACCTCGAGTGAGGATCAGGCAACGACGAAGCCTGCTGGAATCACTATTCCGGCAAATTCTGGAAGCCCTAATGTGACTGTCATTAGACAATACACCGGGCCTGGAACAATTGACACACCCATCACCAGTTACATCCCGCCAGCTCAACCCGGCGAACCAGGTACTGTCGTCATCGAAACACCAGCTCCCGTGACTTCGAAGAGTTCCATCCAGTCGCAGGGTCAGTCCAGCACTGGCCCCGCGTATGTATCAGCAGTACCAACCACTGAGGATGTTAGTGGGAAGCTTACAGGAACATCTTCACCGATGTCGAGCAACCCTGATGCCCTCACGTTAACTCCGAGCGACGGAAATGATGATTTTACCATTGTTCAACCCAACACCAAGTTTGCAGATGCTACCGAGAACGTGACCCAGATTATTCCCCCATCAAATGGAACCCCAGGTACACATATCATCTACACCCCTGTAGACACTTCTGCAGGGTCTTCTCTCGCTGCACCCGATACCGACAGTTATGTCACCATCAGCGCTACGGTTACCATCCCAGGTGATCCTTCAACTCGGACAGGACTCAAATCCAACACAGGAAATGATCCTGGCACAACGGGCGCGGAAACTAATGTCATTATCATCCCTCCTAGTGGCACAGAGCCTGGAACCGTTTTATCACAGACTAGTGTATATCTGGATCATACTTTGGCTGAGCATGGCAATGTTACCATTACGAGGCCGGCACCAAGCGGCGTTACCACGCGTCTCACCACTTACATGCCTCCAGCTCAACCCACTGACCCAGGAACAATCGTCGTTGAAGTTCCTGACTACAATGTCACTATCACACGGGCCGCTCCGGCTGATGTTACTACCACACTGACGACTTACTCGCCTCCTGCTACCGCTGGCGAACCGGGAACTATCATAATCGAGACTCCCGATTACAATGTGACTATTACCCGTGAGGCACCAGCTTCGATCACGAGTCTGCGAACCTCCTACAAACCTCCAGGCACCCCTGGTGATCCCGGCACCGTAATCGTCGAGACACCCAACAACGATTATAATGTTACGATCACAAGAGCTGGCCCCGCGTCGGTTACCAGTGTACATACAACCTATGCTCCACCGGCTGCTTCTGGTGACCCTGGGACCATCATTATTGAGACGCCTGACTACAACGTCACTGTTACTCGAGGAGCCTCAATCACAGCACCTTTTACAACCTACTCACCTCCAGCTACACCTGGTGATCCTGGCACTGTCATTGTCGAGACCCCTGACTACAATGTCACCATCACAACAGAAGCCCCAAGAACAGTCACCACTTTACGCTCGACATATATCCCACCTGGAAAGGCTGGTGAACCTGGGACTGTTGTTATCGAGACACCACTTGGACCTTATAATGTAACAACTACAAGAGGTGCCTCAATTACAGCACCATTCACGACATACTCTCCAGCAGGCTCCCCAGGAGATCCCGGAACCATCATTGTGGAAACGCCCGACTACAACGTGACGATTACAAGACAGGCTCCAAAGACAGCAACGGCACCTTTCTCAATTTACTCGCCGCCTGGAAGCCCTGGTGATCCAGGCACAGTCATTATCGAGACGCCCATTGCTCCGTACAACGTCACGACCACCCGGGGCGCGTCCACAATTACGACACCATTCACAAGATACTCACCCCCCGGCGAGGCTGGTGACCCTGGTACCATCATTGTTGAAACGCCTGATTACAATGTCACGATCACGAGACAGGCTCCTAAGTCAGTGACTACTCTGTTCTCCACATACTCACCACCTGGAAGACCTGGAGACCCCGGTACAGTTATTATTGAGACTCCTATCGGTGCATATAACGTTACCACTACCCGAGGAGTGTCTACGATCACAGCGCCGTTCACGACTTACTCACCTCCTGGTGAGGCAGGCGATCCCGGCACTGTCATTATTGAGACTCCGGAATACAACGTCACGGTTACGAGCATGGCCACTGATTCTGTCACGGACATCGTTACTCGGTATAACCCACCAGCTACCCCAGGCGACCCTGGCACTGTGGCAATCCTCATGCCCAACCAACGCGTTGTGTCAACATCTCAAGGATCTTCCAAGTTGGACAAGCCTGCTTACAATGTTACAATAACTAGCGAGGCTACTGAAGCTTCTATCACAGGTACTGTCACTCGGTATAACCCACCAGCTACTCCAGGGGATCCTGGTACTGTGGCCATCATCATACCCAACCAGCGAGTTGTGTCGACGTCTGCAGATATTTCCAATAACGACAAGTCTGCATACAATGTTACAATTACCAGCGAGGATGTCGGTTCTTCTGTCACAGCTCCTGTCACAAGATATAATCCACCCGCTACCCCAGGAGATCCTGGTACCATTGCTATTATCATGCCCAACCAACGGGTTGCTTCGAGTTCTGAGCAGCCATCCAGTACCGATGAGCCGGCTTACAATGTCACTATCTACCGGCCTGGTCCAAGAACCCTTACCGGTCCCGTCACCTCGTATATTCCTCCTGCCAGTCGTGGAGCCAATGGTACCATCATCATCGAGACTCGTGGCCCTGCAACGCCTTTCAACGTGACAATCACGCAGACCGTGAGCACCATAACGGCCATCTACACTACATACTCCCCAGCGGGAGCTGAAGACGACCCTGGAACCGTCATTGTTGAAATTCCTGCTGGCCGTAACGTGACCATCACGGAGGAGATCAGCACCATCACGGCGCCTTTCACATCGTACTCACCCCCAGGTGCCTCTGGTGATCCTGGTACGGTTGTCATCGGTATGCCGGCTGACCGCAATGTGACCATCACATCCATCGCCAGTACCCGTACTGCTGCGTTTACGACATATTCTTCGCCGGCCAATCGTGGAGATCCCGGCACTGTCATCATCGAGTTGCCCCCCGATTCTAATGTGACGACGACGAAGACAGTGAGCGATCGAACTGCGCCTTACACGACCTACTCGGCACCTGCGAATAGGGGAGACCCCGGTACTATTATAATCGAGGTACCTCCAGAGCGTAATGTGACCGTGACAGAAGTTGATAGCTCTATAACCTCTCCGTACACCAGGTACTCGCCGCCCTCAAATCAAGGAGATCCTGGCACAGTTTATATCGGACTTCATCCTGACTCCAACATCACCATCACAACAGAAGTGGCCAGCCGAACTACACCTTATACCACCTATTCGCCCCCTGCGAACAAGGGCGATCCTGGTACCGTCATTATCGAGCTTCCACCACAGCGCAACGTGACCGTTACAGAAGTTGCTAGCTCCATTACCTCCCCTTACACAAGATACTCGGCACCCGCCAGTCAAGGAGACCCCGGTACTGTTTATATCGGACTCCGTCCTGATTCCAACGTTACTATCACGACTGAAGTCAACAGCCGAACCGCTCCTTATACCACCTATTCGCCGCCTGCGAATAGGGGAGATCCCGGTACTATCGTCGTCGAATTGCCTCCCAGTAGTAATGTCACCATCACGAAGGAGGTCAGTAGCAGGACCGCCGCTTTCACAACGTATTCTGCGCCTGCAAGTCGTGGTGACCCTGGTACTGTGATCGTGGAGCTCCCTCCTGACAGCAATACCACGATCACGACCGAAGTTGCCAGCCGCACTGCTGCTTACACTACTTTCATCACACCTGCAAACAAGGGCGATGCAGGTACTGTGCTCGTGGAGTTACCATCTGACAGGAACGTTACGATCACTACAGAGGTGGCCAGTCTCACAGCTGCTTACACAACCTTCGCAAAGCCAGCAAGCAAGGGTGATCCAGGAACCATCATCGTGGCATTACCACCTGACAGGAACGTCACTATCACAACTGAAGTACCTACTCTTACTGCTCCCCATACCACATACTCTGCTCCTGGAGCTAAGGGAGATCCTGGTACTGTCATTGTGCAAATGCCTCCTGACCACAATATAACAATAACCACCGAGGTTGCTAGTCGGACCGCCCCCTACACTACATATTCTGCTCCTGGTAGTAAAGGTGATCCAGGCACGATTATTATCGAAATGCCCCCTGATCGAAATGTGACTACCACGGAGCAGGTTCCTACACTGACCCGGGCCTATACTACCTATTCACCACCGGGCAACCGTGGGGATCCAGGCACCGTTATTGTTCGACTTCCACCGGACAGGAATGTGACCGTGACGACGCAGATCGATACATTGACAGCACCTTACACGATCTATTCCCCACCTGCCAATAGAGGCGATCCAGGTACAATCATCGTGGAACTACCTCCTGATAGAAATATCACCACAACGCAAGAGGTTAGAACAATCACTCGTGTCATCACAACCTATCTACCTCCTGCAAATCCAGGCGACCCCGGCACTGTTATTGTCCAGGAACCTCCGGAGACGAATACAACCATTGTTGAGGTCATTACAACTATTTCACGCCCAGCTACCAGATTTGTACCCCCTGCTACTAAGGGCGATCCAGGAACTGTTTATATCGACGTGCCTCCAAACCACAACGTTACGATGACAACAACCGTTAGCACAATCACTAGACCAACCACAGCCTTCGAGCCCCCTGCTACTGAGGGAGACGCAGGTACCGTACTGGTCAAGATGCCTCCTGAGTACAACATTACATCAACTCAAACAGTTCAGACAATCAGCAGGCCAGCTACCAGGTACTCGGCCCCAGCTGAGATTGGTGACCCTGGAACCGTCTATCTCGACCTGCCCCCAGAGTACAATGTCACAGTCACTACCACGATCTACAGTATCACTCGACAAAGCACAACATTTGCTCCAGCTGCTACACAAGGCGATCCAGGCACTGTGATCATTGAGATGCCCCCTGAGCACAATGTTACAACGACTCAGACCGTCCAGACGATCAGCAGACCAGTCACGCGGTACTCGAAGCCTAATACTATTGGTGATCCTGGAACCATTTACGTAGACCTTCCCCCGGAATACAATGTCACTGTTACCACCACAGTGCCAACGATAACGAGAATGTCTACGACGTTTGCCCCCGCAGCTGCTCAAGGCGATCCAGGCACTGTGATTATCGAGATGCCTCCAGACACCAACGTCACCACAACTCAAACTGTGCAGACCATCAGCAGGCCGGTTACTAGATACTCAAAGCCGGGTACAGCTGGCGACCCTGGCACCGTCTATGTTGATTTGCCCCCGCAATATAATGTCACTGTCACCACCACTGTGGCTACAATTACTAGGCCCTTAACGACCTTTGCTCCTGCAGACACACAAGGAGATCCTGGCACCGTTATCGTCGAGCTACCGCCTGACTCAAATGTCACCATAACTCAAACGATCTCGACAATTAGCAGACCCATGACCCGCTTCTCCCCTGCAGGCACTGTCGGAGACGCTGGCACAGTGTATGTTGATCTCCCGCCGCAATATAATGTGACGGTCACTTCAACCATCGCTACAATCACAAAAGCTTCAACTACTTTCGCCTCAGCTGGTACCCAAGGCGATCCCGGCACCATCATTGTTCAACTGCCTCCGGACTCAAATGTCACGGTATCATCAACTATCCCAACAATTACTCGTCCGGCTACGCGCTTCGTGACACCGGCTTCCGCAGGTGATCCTGGAACTGTTTATGTTGATCTACCGCCTGAGTACAACGTAACCACTACTCAAACTATCAGTTCGATCAATCGTGTCAGGACAACCTATAACCCTGCCAGTACCCAAGGTGAACCTGGAACAATTCTGATCCAGGTGCCTCCGGAATATAATGTGACTGCAACGACTACAGTGACAACAATCAGCCGTGTTATGACAACATTTGCTCCTGGCGCGACTCAAGGCGATCCTGGCACCATTTTGGTAGAGGTCCCCGTTGAGTATAACGTCACTACAACGGAGACTGTCAGTTCCATCAACAGGGTCAGGACGACATATTATCCAGCCGGCACCCAAGGAGACCCCAACACAGTTCTTATCCAGGTCCCGCCGAATTACAATGTGACGACAACACAGACCGTCAGTTCTATCAGTCGCGTCACTACAACATATTTGCCAGCTGCCACCCAAGGAGACCCCAACACAGTTCTCATCCAGGTCCCGCCGAATTACAATGTGACGACAACACAGACCGTCAGTTCTATCAGTCGCGTCACTACAACTTACATGCCAGCTGCGACTCAAGGTGATCCCAACACAGTATTGGTACAAGTTCCACCGGATTACAATGTGACAACAACACAGACCGTGAGCACAATTAATCGTATGCGGACAACCTATTTGCCAGCTGGTACTCAAGGTGATCCCAACACAGTCCTCGTGCAGGTCCCACCAGACTACAACGTAACCACGACCCAGACCATCAGCACCATCAACAGGGTCAGAACAACCTTCATGCCTGCTGCTACGCAGGGTGATCCTAATACAGTCCTCGTGCAGGTCCCACCAGACTACAACGTAACCACGACCCAGACCATCAGCACCATCAACAGGGTCAGAACAACCTTCATGCCTGCTGCTACGCAGGGTGATCCTAATACAGTCCTCGTGCAGGTCCCACCAGACTATAACGTAACTACAACTGAGACTGTCAGCACTATCAATAGAGTCAGGACAACCTACATGCCAGCTGGTACTCAGGGCGACCCTAATACAGTCCTTGTGCAGCTGCCGCCGAACTATAACGTCACCACCACGGAAACTGTTAGCACAATCAATAGGGTCAGGACGACTTATCTGCCAGCCGGCATTCAAGGAGACCCTAATACGGTCCTAGTACAAGTTCCTGTCGACTACAATGTTACCACAACACAGACTGTCAGTACGATCAGTCGAGTTCAGACAGCATACAATCCTGGTGCAACTCAGGGCGACCCCGGCACAGTCCTGGTCTTAGTGCCCATGGCTTACAATGTCACCACAACTCAAACAGTCGGTACTATTAGTCGGGTTCAAACAACATACAACCCTGGTGCAACTCAGGGTGACCCAGGCACAGTCCTGGTGCAATATCCTATTCCTTCCACAATCACAACAACTCAGACGGTCTCTACGATCACTCGCCCTACCACTGTACTTGCATCAGGCATAAACCCTGGTGATCCCAATACCGTCCTTGTGCAATACCCTATCCCTTCAACAATCACGACAACTCAGACGGTCGCTACGATCACACGCCCTACTACTTTCCTTGCATCGGGCGTAAACCCTGGTGATCCCAATACCGTTGTTGTGCAATATCCTATCCCTTCAACTATCACAACAACCCAGACGGTCTCTACTATTACTCGCCCTACCACTGTACTTGCATCAGGCATAAACCCTGGTGATCCCAATACCGTCATTGTGCAATACCCTATCCCTTCAACCATCACAACGACTCAAACGGTTTCTACTATTACTCGCCCTACTACTGTCCTTGCATCGGGTGTAAATCCTGGTGATCCTAACACCATCATTGTGAAATTGCCCACACCTTACAATGTCACAACAACCCAAACAGTCCCTACAATTACTCGCGCCACAACCGCCTTCGTTTCTGGCGCAAACCCTGGTGATCCCAATACCGTCATTGTGCAATACCCTATCCCTTCAACCATCACAACGACTCAAACGGTTTCTACTATTACTCGCCCTACTACTGTCCTTGCATCGGGTGTAAATCCTGGTGATCCTAACACCATCATTGTGAAATTGCCCACACCTTACAATGTCACAACAACCCAAACAGTCCCTACAATTACTCGCGCCACAACCGCCTTCGTTTCTGGCGCAAACCCTGGTGATCCCAATACCGTCATTGTACAGTATCCTACACCTTACAATGTTACAATAACTTCAGACGGTGGAACATCAATCAACGCTCCAGTTACGTCCTACCTACCCCCTGGTCAAGCTGGCGATCCTGGTACCGTGGTTATTGCAACCCCAGCTTCTCGAACAAGTTCCATCGCTATCGCTACTCAGAGTGGCGCTGGGCCCGCTTTCAAGTGTGACATATATGGCTATCTCATGCAGAAGACTGCTTTGTACCGCGTCGATATTTCGACCGGAAAGACGACTCTCATTGATGACACTGTCGGACCTGGCGGCTGGATGAATGGTATCGGATACAACAGGTTCGATAACTACATCTACGGTATGCATATGGACAATTCAGGTACACAACTCATCCGTATATCCGGTGATGGAAGCTACCAGCTACTTGCCGCTCGTACCTCCGACCGCACCATCAACATGGGTGATATCGACAACCAAGGTCGTTACTGGATCTCCAACCAAGGAAAGGCTTGGTGGTGTATTGATCTCATGCCCGGTTCAGCCAAGTATGGCCAGATCATCATGAGTGGTACTGCTACCAATACTCTCAATGTGGCCGATTGGGCTTTCGTTCCTGGAGGAGGTGACTACATGTACGCAGTCATGTACGACAGCAACGGCGAAACGTCCACTCTTTGCCGTTTCAGTCGTACCACGTACACTTGGACCACACTCAAGGCCTACGGCGATGTCACGGGCGACAACCTCTGGGGTGCCGTGTACGCTTCTCAGGATGGAAGTCTCTACGGCTCAGAGAACTCCAATGGACAAATCTACAAGTTCCCTATCGCGCCAACCATCGGAAAACCCATCTTCATCGCCCAAGGTCCCGTGTCCAGCTGGAACGACGGAGCTCGCTGCATTGACAGTCAAACTCTCCCAGCCTAGGGCGGTTGTTGAACCCCCTGTCTCATTTCTTATGTCTCTGTATATTGTATATTAGTCCCAGACCTCTTCGTGTTGAGGTGTCTCTTATGTCTGCACATACTGTATATCTAACTGTTTATCCTCTGCTATCATTTTTTTCTTTGTCTCAAATTGTATAATAGCTTGTCATTGTTGGATCAAAGGTACTACTATCTCTTACATAAATTGACATCTTCTCTTTGTTTACCTCTTGTCTCCTGAGTATGTCTTCTTATGAACATGTGATACCTATATCCATCCAAAGTAAATGGCGACTAGACTCTCACAAAGGATTGTGCTCTCACGAACAATTGGTGACATGCTTTCTATGCGGTTGACTCAATTCTCGTACCAGCAGTGCTGGCTACCTATGCCCGGTCCAAAACCTAAGCACAACTACACGCGCTGCCGCATATCCCTCGGTTGTCTTGAGGTCGCCTCATGGCTACAACAAAGATTGGCTAGCGTGCTTCTAACCATCCTTTCACGTCTTCGCTGCTAAACTCCTGGGTATGATACGAACTCTTTGTGTCGAACTGCCACTAACCACAAGGCTCCAGCACAGAGAGCCGATTCCACAATCCACTCTCCATAGTTGCCAACTTGAGGCGATCAAAACCCTGGCTTGATCCAAAAGCCTTTTTTACTCAGATGCTAAATTTTGATCCTCAAGTAATGAGCAGACTTGAAGAGTAGTGAAATTTAAGCTTGCCCTACCATTCTAGCGTGAGTAGGTAGTTATAAATAAGTCTAAATCTGCACCTTTGACATACTCGATGGCCTCGATACTGATCGGTCTTCTGCTTCTTCGATTTAGTACTTGCCTTAATCCTGTGAAAGTGTTTACAGTTTGGAACGAAAGTGTATACTGCCAGCTTGCCATAGTATCAGCCTGGGAATAACGACTTAAGTATACTTGGAGCTGGGTTTCTTGGAGTTTGCATGGGAGATACGCAACGTGATCGGGAGAGCAGCCACCCGTGTAAACAAATCAGGGGCCAAATACTCCACTCTCTCAGGAAATCACTGCTGTGTCGATTGTAGGGATCATAAGGATTTCAACGTCACCAATGTACCCATCACTAGTTTCGTTATCCCTTTTCCAACTTATACGATCCCATTCGGAGCGTCTTCCATACACCGAGATATTAGCCTTGACTATCTGTACCATCTAGGATCTGTGAGATGAGACTCACGATGTTTCCTACACTTTATGGTTGAAGTGAACATGTTGTTGTTGGTGTCTTTGCTTCCGCGTGGGTTAATTCCTGAACCCGAGGTCCGCGCTTCAGCATTCTAAATGTACTTATGGGTAGGATTAGGAAGAAAACGATGATTACGATACCTTTTTCGACATCTCGGCGAGATAAATCAAGATATGATGAGGGAGACAGGGGGAAGGGCTTGGATGACGGGGCTGAGGATGATCCCATGCAAGTCGAGTGAGGAGCTTAGGGCAATTCAGGGGTAAGAAAAGGTCGATACATCTCAGCTACCATCACATTTGTTGCTTGGCAGGCGTTGAATTTGTCCTTCCAAACGAGGGATCACTGTCTGATGGGGCGGCAGTTTGAATTTCAGAACATCATTCGCTGTCAAGACAGTCATGGGAGGGGCTGTTTTCAATAACTCGGGCTCAGAATAGATGCAGTAGATGGATATTAGACAGAGCCAGATATGAGACGTCACTTAGAAGTCTCATGTCTGATATACGCGAGCTGTGATTCATCGGCCAAACTCTACTACATGGCCCTCACATTGACTTCACGTGGTGAAAGCTTTCCAAGTGTAGTTTCGAGCAGGGTTTTCTCCTAAGACTGTTCAAAGCTCTCGAGTCTTGTTATGTATTTGTTCACTACCAAAGTCACGAGCCCGATGTACAATAAAAGGCTCATCTAACGCTCGACATAGCCCATAAGCCACGCAGAGACTTTTCCAGATCTTACCGCCTTGAGCGAAACTTCCGGTATCAAACCAACAGCCCCTGTGTCGTCGTCCAAGCGATGTGTCTAGTGCATTGTTTGAAATGCGCTGATTGCGGCAAAGTCAATGGCTGGTACACCGTTCGCTGCCAAAGGGCCCGCATGCTTGCCTCAGAGACAGTCTGCGGTAACGTTGAGTCTTTCAGCCATATCATACCCTCAGAGGGCTGCCCCCACTGCTACTGCTGGAAACGTAAGAACAGTAAGCTCAGACGTCTGATGCTCTGGGTTCTGAGGAGGGATAGCTCCGGAGAGAGCCAGAGGACCCGCCGGCCAGGTCTATAGCAACGTTGTAGAGGATAAGGCGATCAAGGAGAACAGAAACTCCGCGTCATGCCAATGCTGTAGGGCTTTGTGGGGGTCAGTCGACCAACCTGGCCGAGTCTACGGTATAATGCTTACTATGCAGGTAATTAGAAATTAGAGTAATCGCCAGCCGTGCACATCATACGTGGATCCATGCCTAGCTTGGCTTGGCTTGGCTGACTCTATCCTCAGAACGGAATGGTGAGCCGTTGGATGATTATGTCAATGTTCGTTTATATTCGTGTTCAATCTCGACGTTTCTTAAATGGTTTGAACAGATGGAAGCATATCTACCGGCTTCGGCTGGTCTGGGTAATTCTTTCTAGAAACTTCTAGTGAGCAGGTGCTATGAATAATATGACGTCAATGAGGCATCTCACCAGCATCACCAACATCCCCGTGTACAGTGTTTTGTATTGGATCTCACACTGTGGTCTCCAAATGATTTTACATTCCGTGGATCCATGCTGTCGGCCCTCAACGACTTTTCTTTACTTGTCTCATCAAATGTACAACCGTAGGTAATGAAACCGGCAGTTCAGACTGGAGAGAGCGAGCCCCAGTTTAGTCTCTCAGACCCTGACGGCTGATTGGGCCCATGATTTGCAGGGAGGAAACTCTCCGCCAAAGAACAAACACCCAAAAGCCCATCGCACTGCGAAACTCACGTATTGCACCTGTGTATATACGTAAACGTCTTTTGCTTGCGCAATCAGGCATTGCTCATCCTTCGCCGTTGCGGTCCACCCCGGAAAGCTCTCTCCGACTTGACTCGATTTTGACCGCTGTGGCCAGTTAGGATTCAAGTTACAAACACAAGCATCTGCTAATTCTTGGCCATCCACCCTTGCACACTCAAGGGCAAAAAGGTTTAACCACTTTGCTTCATGCTCTCAGGGTGCAGGTGGGGGTTAAGCTCCGTCTTGTATCCGTGCAGAGAATGCTAAAGCAATTTCCAATCGTGCAAGCCTGTGTACAGTACATAAATCCCATGGTGTCATATCCAATTTTGAACATCGCGCCGAAGAAACGCTAAGCGATTGCCACAACTGCCAAGGACAAGGCCCCTTGTTGGTGGCTGAGAGTGGTTCCGTTCTGCTTCGGTGTGTGTCCTGCTGGTGGCCAAACTGCGGAAGCAAAACGTACCAATTGGATCGACACTGGCGACATCCAAGCCACAGCATGGCCGCCAACCACTGCCGAACCCAACCTACCTTTAACCCGATGCAAGTTTAGTTGAAAGAGGCAACTAAGGGCCAGGCATGCCACTGCCACTGCCGGCGTGGCCGAGGTTGTCGCCTTTCCTGTCGCTCGTACAATAGCTACCTATATCCTATAATTTCCACCCGATCTGGAGACTGAGCACTTGCAGGCTGCGGATTGTCATGATCGGGGAATAAGCTGCATGGCTAGTCTGTCTTGATGGTCGAGACCCCTTTGAGACCTGTCCTGTCCTGTCGCTAGACCCTCGGTACGCGGCTGACAAGCTGACCAGGAAGGAAGCTGCCACCAATGACAGGGATGATCATTAAACGGCACGGAATTGGGCAATCAATAACTCTAACCATGAGCCTTTACTTTACTCCGTACCTACATGTCTTATCTCGGAAGCTGGTGGCTTGTGGTCAGTCTAGCAACACAACACTAGCATTACTAACCAGTCAAGAGGTGGGCGTGACGTGATAGACGCCGTTCGATCTAATACCACAGAAAAGCTCCATTCGCGATCGTGGGTCCCGAGATCGCGGGCCACCAGAAGGACCCTGGCGGTCGTAGCGTCGGGATCTCTAGCTCGGGCCAACCCCAAAATAAAAAGTCGGAATCCTCTCCCCTGGATTCAGCATTCTGCATACTAAAGTATGCTGCGAACACCTTGTTCCGTCTTCTGATCTGATAAATGGTGGGTTGTCGTTCACAAACGTATGAACCCTCAGTGAATGAATGGTGCTATCAGAACCCTAGAAGTTTTGGAGTCTTGTGGAAAATGTCTCCGGCCAGAGTCAATTTCGCAGCTATGACGGAGACACATCCGACACATGAAGCCGGATTTCCGGGGAGTCGGCCGACGCTCAGTCTCAATGTCAACGTTTCGAGAGATTGAAAGAATCTCATGGGTCAGGTCCGTTAGACGTGATATGTGATATGTCGTAGTAGGCATCTTCTACGCTCTTCATGAAGAAACTCGATCCCTCTCTGTAACGAAAAGCGGGCCCTCGGGAGGTAGCTATACTGTAGCTCCCAAGCGCTGCATAACCATCCCCGCCTGCAATGCGGGTCAGGGAGCAAATGCTCCGGTTCCTGGACTGCTCATCAGACAAGCGTCAAGAAGGTAGTGTTTTTCACCAAACATCGCTGCTCCGTGGACGCACAGGATTTTAACACTCCTTTCCTCAAAATGCCTCGTGGTCGCATGCTCTTGTTCCCTTTTCCATCTCGCGCGGCACCATCCGCTCGTCGCCATGTCCCTCTTTCGCCACGAGTCTTCCAGGTAACGTCGCCCGGGGCCGAGACAACCAACCTGACGTGGGCTCATCTTCTTACCTTTTAAGCTCCGTTTGGGTCCCTGTTCCCCCCTCAAGCCCCCCCGGATATACAGGACACTCTGGGGCTTGGTGGCAACAACGTCTGTACTTTCTTAGACGTACACGTCTGTTTCAACGTCACTCTATATCAGCCTTATCCCGTTATTGTCGACAGAGTTGTTTCGCGAAGATTGTTGAACGTTCCACGCCAATATATATTTCATCTGTCCGAGTTGTCAGCTCATCCTTCTCTTCACTTACCCATACGCCATTCTGCAGCGTCATTGCCCATGTCGTTAGTGCGGACCCCAGTCTCCTCAATCGTCGATATCCCATTCCATCATCACCCCTCGAAATTAAAGAACAAAAGCTCGAGGTCACGATAAATGTGCACGCAGCATTCGGCTGCATGCCATGTCTGCGGGAAAGATTATCTTGTTTATGTTCAATTTTGTCAATTCTTCCATCCGCCATTGCTTGTGTGTCCACGCGGCTTGTTATTCTTTCGGAATGGCATGCGTGAAGGACAGTGCCCAAGCCCTGTTTGTCCGAATAGTTTAAGAGGAGGCTGTCGGATCATGTAACGCCCTGTTGTTGAAGAGATTGACAAAGAACCGAGGCTGGTATCCGGATGTCCCCTGTTTTTAGGTCAAGATCGACCCCAAAGCATGTCCCCTAGAGCGTCTCGACCGCTCAAACTTCCACCACTTGGTCGATACCTTTGTACTCCGGAACTTCGAAGTCAAATTTCTTCGCAATGGATGGAGTTACGAAACTATCATGGAGGTTAGCTGCCTCGAAACGACTTTATCACATAGGTACGTACCGTCCACCGATAAAGTGACGACCTTTGAAATGCTTCACTAGAGGCTTCGGTGCCGTTAGGCTAATAAGTGCTGTAGGCATGAAGGAGCTGCCAAGTCCGGATTTCGGTGGACCATCTTCGATATCCCACGATGAAGGGGCATCAACCGATGTGACCGGCAGTTTGGTGTCTTGAAGAGCTTGAATTACCGCAGGAAATGGCTCTCTGACTTCACCTGAGAAGCTGAAGCCTTTTCGGCCGGTCAGATGCTTTCATCACCAACCAAGGTTAATCACATACCAAAGATCGCGTCGACAATATGATCCGTTGAGTTCAGTGCCGAGGAGAAGTCGTCCACGAAAGGGACTTCGAGGTCTTCTAGTTGTTTTGCGAGTCGCTGGGGATTTGATCAGCAGCTATTCCGATATTGGATATGGAATCAAGACAAAACGCAAGCAGAAGGCTAGATAAACCGAGTTCTCGATACGACCATCGTTTACATTCGATGCTTCCCGCAGTACTGGTAGAAATCAAGCGACGAAGGAATGATCAAGAATACAACTGCAAACCACAACGGGACGAGACTCGGCATTCATCGTGAAACAATGGTGAAAACATATGTTTCAATAATTTACCTGATAAAGGTCGTTTTTGCTTCGCTTCGGATAGAAAACGGTCGGTCTGTAGCCGTACTGACGAAGATGACGAGCAGCTACCAGTCCATCACCGCCTGGAGCTGTTCAGCGGCATCCCATGGTTGATTAGGGAAAACAACATACCATTGTTTCCGGGCCCGCAGGCAACAAGGACCCTGCGGCCACTCTCGAGTGGCTGCAAACGATAAACTGGCGGTGTTAGTAGCTTGGCTCTTCTAAACCTTGGCCAAAGCATGGCCCATGCCTCTAATATGATAAATAGAACTCTGTCGTGTAAGCCTTGATAATGAGTCACTTACCAGCTTGAGAAACGGCAAGTCCAGCTAGCTCCATGAGTTGATCGAGCGAAAATGCACCACTGCTCATGAGCTCTTGATCGAGAGCAGCAGCAGCTTTGGCACCGAGTGTCTGGTGAGATCAGTAGCAGAGCTATAAGTAGGAGTGCCAGGGGCTACCTTGAAAGCCATTGTGTGTTTGAATCTTTTAGTCTCGATAGCAATCGATATGTGTTCGTAGTAACTTTAACAAAAATAATTTAGTGGACAGTTTCCGGTGATGTAAAAGCCTAGTGGTTTCTTAATGTCGTCAGTTAGAAAGGGTTGGAAAACAAGGGGACTGACACTGACATCACTCGGCAAGTGCGTCTTCAAGCGTTGACCTCCATTCGGAAGGCCATACTATTCCCGCCCCGACGGGACCCACCACCGTCGCGAGTAACAGCCACATCGGCAAAACTAATCCCCGATCCCGGATCGAAATTGTCCTAACCTCCAGAATACCAGTATCACACAGTCGATTGCTGTGGTCGTGGTCGTGGTCGTCAATTTCGCTATATCGCTGCCATGGTTGTCAAGATCCGCCTCGCCCGGTTTGGGCGTCGAAACCAGCCCTTCTACAATATTGTCATTGCCCATGCTCGGTGTGTTCACCTGCGGCAGTAGTTCAATTGAACGTACCACTAACCATTCTATAGAACGGCTCGTAACTCCCGCCCGCTCGAAGTCATCGGCACATACGACCCGATTCCCAAGCCCGACCCCTATGATAACTCTGGGAAACTCCACAAAGATATCAAGCTCGATAGCCAGCGCGCGAAGTATTGGATCGGTGTTGGTGCACAGCCCACAGACACGGCGTGGAGATTACTCTCCATGGTGGGCATTTTACCAAAGAAGCAGTTCGGTCCCAAGGAAGATACGGCGAAGGGCGTTGTGGACCAAGAGAAGGTTAGAATTCGTTAAAATGGTACAAAGGGCTGTATGATATGTACAAAAAGGCATCTCAGGGCGTTGGTTTGGGATGTTATCATCAAATTTGGATCGGGCCAACAAAATCAGAAACTTGAGCTTCACGAAAAGGATACCGAGGTCTTCAGCAGGCTATCATGAGCCTGTACCATTCTCAGAGAGTACTGTACGATACATGTTGGGCTGGCTTCAAGTCACTAAAGTCGAGTCATTATCGCTATTATAATTGTATTGAAGCGCTACCCAATATCCTGTCTAAATACGTTTAAGCGATCTATTCATGCTGAGTCGCTGAAGAAACACAGATATGCCGCCATCTCACAACGCCTTTATCCAACACATTTCGTCCCCCGTTAAGCCGTAAAGAAGAAGAAGTTACACTTTAATGAGTGACAGCAAAGAAAATGTTGAGAACAAGACATACAGTCATGATCACAGATCCGTAAATGGCGAGCGCAAGCGCAAGTCTTCGCAGATGGTGAGGCTCAATGTGTTCAAGATCCCACCGCCACTTGCGTCGCCATCGCCAGGAGTTCCTGTTGCTACGGGTGCTGGCGTTGCTAGCGACACTCACGCCGCTGCGGACGCTAGCTGTGCTCTGGGCTAGAGCAGCTGAGTCTTCCACATCTGAAGTGGCGGAATCCTCATCGATATCATCATCTTCCTTGGCTAGTCGTTGATGGTGAATGCTATCCGGGTTACTAATCTTATAGTAGAAAAGACCAGGAAGAATGAAGCTGATAGATGTTGATCCAGTGCTGCCAACAAAGGCCAGCACGCGATCAAGGCTGGTGACTGAGAGTGCAGTCATGTAAGCAAAAGTAAGAATAACTGTAGTAATAACTGCGAATCGTAGATCGGAAATCGGTGCAATGCTTCCGTGATCTCCAGCCGGAGGTGTGGGCAATAGTGGCGCCGCGGTTCGTCCGTTGTTTGACGAACCACGGTTTGGGCGCCATTTCAAAACGGCATCTAGTGAAGCGCGGCAAGGGTGAACCTGTAGAGGAACGGAGAAAGTTACAAGTACAACAATGGCCGCCTTTCCGATTGTCGATGCGGCTCCAGTAGGATCTGTCTTTGTTAGTTTGGAATATAGTTATGACATGGAATCAACATACACATAGAAACGATGTTGCCAACGACAGCATTCCCAAAGGTAAGGTAGCCGGTAATAGCCACAACGACATAAATAGAGGCAGCTGAGCCAATGCTCGATCCTACAACTCCAATAATGCTGGAGGGGGAATTGTCCTTGAGTTCGTTGAGGATAGAGAACATCTGACTGGTCAGCTAAGATCGAAATTAGATAAGAGTTTACATACGTTCTGGTGGCAGGTATAGGCAAAGACGACAACAGGTAGAGCGCTCAAAGTCTCGATAGCTCCACCCCATTGAATCACCCGAATACTCCCCGGGTCGGCATGCTTATCAGATGCAAAATGATAAATTACCAGGACAATAAGATATCCAATGGAGACCAGCGCAACAATACTGGTATACTTTAAAGAATCCAGCCTGCGCAAAAAGCTGAGAGGGATGATTAGGAGCATAAACGCGGTGATCCAAAAGTTTCGGTCAACCAAATACGGAGCACTATTGGCATTGTTAAGAAAACCCAATACCACTCCAGGCATCAAGTCTCCAATGATAATCATGTAAGACACGCCAACTCCGAAACACTTGATTGCGATTGCGGCATCGAATATGACGGCGGCGTTGGGGTAGGTGATTTGCGACAGGGCAAAGAAGGACGACGTTCCTCGGTCGAGATATCGAGCGCATCGAGATTGGAGATAGAGGCCAAAAGCTGCAGTCAACCCAGACCACAGAATCAGCACTACGCCGAGCATAATTCCCATATGGGACATAACAGAGGGCATGGCAAGAGTGCCAGCTCCAACAACTAAGTAGCCTGCATCAGTGTCCTGTTCGTCGAGCCAGGGCGTCGCACGTACTTGTGTTTAGCAGGTTAACGACACTGCTGATCGTGGTGGCTTGGCCGCCATGGCCGCCATCCTTATGACCGCGACGTCTAGGTCTGGAGAGTTGATCGTTAGCGACGATGATACTGCGGCCGGTGTCGGCGGGCGCGCAGGTCTCACCTTGACATGTCGCCGGCACTTCTGATATTCGAAGCGTTTCCATCAGATATCGTAGAGTAATTCGTCATTAGAGGGCGAATGGATGTAGATTGTGGTCGACTATTCGGTACGATCGTGGGAGTTTGAATCGGACAGTAAATACACGCTTGGCGGGTGTTATAGATAGATACTAGATATGTAGTGTCACGAGGTCGTGGTTATGGTATGTGGTATCGTTATCGCTGCGTTCTTCGGGATCTCAATCCGATTGCTGACTAGGCACGGGGCGGAATGGCGGAAAGCTTGGTAGGCTGACAACCCTAACTCAAAACAGGTTGCGTCAATCCGACTGTTGTTGCTCGTTGCTTGAATGCTTGGTCTGCACCGTCCCACGGCGCGAAGGCCTGTAACAGACAAAACTGCTGGACACACCCAAATGGCAAGTCACGAGAGGCAGTGCCAATGAGGTTGTTGTGGTTGTTTGAGATGCAGGAGGAAAGAAAGCAGTCAGGAGATGGTTTAGTACAGATTCCTGACCGGCTCCTTTCCTGCCACGATCCTTGGAAATCTACAGGGAGCCGCTGGAGCGTTATGCCGAGCTCGTGCGACCAATAAGCGTGAGCCATGATGTAGACCAAGGCCAATCATAGTGTTTTATGAGCAAGCCATGATCCTAATCTGGGGAATAGCTTCAGGGCTTTCCAGGGGGTATGAAGACGAAGGGCATCTTCTTTAACAACGTTCTCATGATGATGAGCATTTCTTGGGTTCCAGATAATATTGCATGCTCAAGTCTATTAGCGAGGTCTCATTCTACCATAATTCTAGTTTTTTATCACCATTGTCCATTCTACATGAAAAATGCGCCGCTTGACGCGACGCCAAAGAACATGATGCTGTAGGTCTCACAATTTCATGACATCCTCCTGACCCCCCACTTCTTCCCTTGACCGCATCCACTCCGTCATTCTTCTGCCGTACCTTACCTTGCTTTGCCTTACTGTACCTTACCTACCTATCTTTAGGTCCCGCGCTTGTGCCGCGCGCTCGCTGTCACGATGGCCACCGATATGGACGAAACGACTCTCTCTACACTCGACCTGCTGGAGTCGCGTCTCCTTCGTATTGAGCATATCCTATATGGCCAGTCTCAGTCACCTTCGCTGGTTCAGGACCGGTCAGCGGTCGATCAACTTGGCCAGCTTGAGCGGCGCTTCTCTACTCTCCTGTCCAATATCCGCGTTTATCACGGACTCATGAAGATCTGTACGTGATATAAAAAAGCCTGTCGTTCTAGATTTGTGCTTACTCCCTGTTAGACAGAGCCAATCCTGGTTTCTTCCATGCACCCGATCCATCAGAACCGCCATCTGAATTAGATATTTCTGCTGTTCAATCAGTTGTCCTGGCCTCGGCCTCGGCCTTTCCAGCTACACTATCGTCCCTGACTGCCATCAAAGATAGTCCGATTCCAGAACCCTCAGAGAGCGCGGCTCTTGTGGCATTGCGGGATAGAATGAAAGCGATCGAAGCTACGCAGGTTGCACAGGCTGCGGAAATAGCCGACCTTCGACAGCGGAGCGAGACGGTCGTTCGGTCCTGGTACGAGACAGGCGTTATCAACAACTCAAAGGTGATGGCCGATCTAGAGTCTCGAGTTGGGTTTGTGGAGCGCCAGGTGAGGAGGGCGGAGCGAGAACTAGAGGCGGAAGATGAGTTGTGAAAACATGTTTGAAGATACCCATTGAATTAAAGACTGTTTGATATGGACATCCCGTTATGAGGCAGTTCAAGGGGATTCCATACATTCGATACCCAGAATGTTTCGATAGAGTTACTATGGAATGGGATCATAGGTGAGGCATATGGCTCAAGCGATCAGCCACTTGTCCAAAGGGCATCTCAAGCTAGTGTCTCGTGATGGGGGAAACCCAAAGCTAAGCAGAACAGCGCCTATCCTTGCGGATCACTTCATATGACGGTAATTATCTCTACGGACGCCCAGATAGATAACATATATGCTAGCATAGCGTGATGGTTCCCACCATACTATTCATGGTAGTGTCAAGTGAGATGGAACATTCGTCCTGAACTTGCCATAAGTATACTGGAAGTCTTAACTCTGATCGACTTCAATATGAACACGCACCACCGAGTTGTGCCATTGCTTTCGCTCTTTGTGATGCCGAGAGCTGTTTATACCATGCCACCATCGTTGGCGGAGTGTAAGAACATTGTTTCGAAGCTGATATCATGATTTGGCCCTTGCAATTTTCCTCAGTTACTTTTTCACGAGGTCAAAGCAAACCAATAGCATGTGAAGAGAACCGTTTTCCAAGTGACATCACATATTGGCGAGGTCAACTGATCCGTTTGAAAGCGAGCTAATGTGTGGCATCAGAGATATGAAACGGTTTGGAGAGTTGTAGCAGGTGTGTTTAGAAAGCTTCGGATACTGATGTTGCCACAGACCCAGGTGCTCAAGCCTCAAGTAGGATTAATTGTCGCCCTTCACATCCAATCTTTCCAGCTTCATGATTGATTCGGGTTGTGCGATTCACACAATTTCGGGTGGATCTTGCATCCATATCAAGTTCTAAGCTAATATCGACTGGTACCTGACGCTAATCGTGTAGTCTAGATTCACGACATGTCATTGGTTGCTTGTACCCAAGTACAAATGGGCCATTCTGCAGCTCTGTCGTATACGAAAGGGCATCATCTACAGAGTACTTTACAGGCAGTTCCAAGCAAGAGTGACTAGAGCGATTACGAACATAGGCAATTCAAGCCCTCAAAGTCGCTAACCTCAAAAAGCCCAGATGATCAACGCCGCACCAGCGACCGTTGGAACAGGGCCTCAACCCAAGCTTTTTGTCAATGGAGCAGCTCCATAACCAATGCTGCGCTGTCAACTGGGTCTGCTTTGTAGCGTAGCGGATCGATCCTTGAGACCGCGACAAGGTAGCCACGCGTCGACAAGTACAGCACGTATACATACTCTGAAAAAGTTAAGAAGATGCACCCTGGCTGTCAAGAAGAAAGGATCGGTGTTTAAGATCGGTAAATGCCTGCGCTACTGTGTAACTCGTCGTTGAGATTTTGGTGGTTCCAGGGGTAAGTAAGGTCCACTCTGTGACCGGTCGGTCCCCAGGGAGAGGGAGTTTCAAAGAAAGCCCTTAAGTGGTTTTTTCGGCACAGGCACAGACAATATGTGCAACATGGGATGAATGGTGGTTCTAGGGCTGTAGGAACCTTGACGGATGGATAGGCAGCCGGTCACAAGTTGGGTTCAAGTGTAAAGTATGTACGACATGAGGTGCTGCAAACCAAGGGTTTTGGTTTGAGGTGAAAGCCACTGCTGGGAGTTGTGCTAATGAGTACTAAGCTTGAATCAGGAAAGTATCACAAAGCAAAGCTTTTTGATCTACAGTAGGAAAAGAGTTTAGCTTGACTTAGGAATGCTAGGGGGTGAAATAAGACTTCGGATGTGAGAAATCAAGTAGATATAGAATTATATGCCATAAATGATTACAATCGGCTTTAAGAAATAATTAAAAAGTTATTAAAAATAAGACTAAGATTTAGTAATTATTTTAATATTTATATAAAATAAAATATTTTTATATAAATATTTTTCTTATAGTATAAAGTCGTCTTAATTTTCATCCCGCGTCTGATGTTTTTTTACCTTGAGGGAATGGTAGATCGCTGAAGCGTACGGAGTAACGCTGCGTTACAGAACAAAGACTGTCAAGGGAATGGTGGTCATTAAGCAGTGTCGATCCAACGGAGCCGTTTACCGCCGGGATCTCATGCAAGCAATTGCAAGGCAAGGCAGATCGCTTGAGAGCTAAGAGCTCAGATACATGGAACTGCAAGTTCAACGTTCAACATTCGACATTCAACGGCCCAAAAAATGGCAGACCAGAGGCGGTCCATGGTGGATGGTTCAAGTTAGTGCTTCGTTCGGCTTAGACACCAGCCACTCGTAGGATAGAAGAAGAAAAATGTCTCGCATCCTTTACGAAGGCGCATGAGAGCAACCGGTGACTTGGTATGCCATATCTTGTTACTGACAGGTTGTTGTACACCAAAAAATGGGGATCCGTGGCCCTGTGCTTGAGCAGCCGGGGTGGTATGGATGAAACTCCCGCGATGGAGTCAAGACCACTTCTCTGGCCTGACAACCAGCCAATAGTCGCCGTTGCGGGTGACCCTAGTCAATCCTCAAACAGCACGGGGTAAATAGCATCGGTTGGCCAAAGCAAGAACAAGAACACCAACGGCATTGCCGTAACTTGGATAGTAGATCAAAGTATCTTGCAGCCACAAACTGTTGAGCTGAAGTGAGCCGTTGATGAAAGAGGTAGTCTGTTGCGATTTGCGAGTCAGAGAGAATTCCTGTTCAAGGCGCCTCTAGCTCTGGCTTCACGATACGTCGGCTGGGGAATTACTGTAAGCTTTGTTAGACCAGGCTGGGTCTCCAAGACAGTCACACCCAGCAATACTCAGCATTGCTCATTCCTTTGGGCGCCTGGTAGCTGTCAGTTGTCTTGACACAGATAAGTTCAGGTTCATCCACATTGTAGAAATCAGCTCTCGCTGCTACTCCCGAGATCCATCAACTCCTAGTCCTACCGTCAAAGTTGGCATTAATATCAAATAAATCACCACCTATAAGTCAGACACCGAAACGAAACAACCATCTCCCATCGAATCATCAACCGCTTCCATCCAATCACGGAATCGGCCTGTTGGAGTTGTCCGGCTTCCTGTCTCGCAAAACGCAAAGCGCAAACCCACCCTGTCACGATACGATACTCCAGAACTCCGCCAACGAGCAGACGAAGCGCTACGGACAACAAGGGGCGCAGCGTGCCATCTGATTTGCCCAGAGCGTCCGGGGCTGACATACGCCTTTCATTTCCCGGCAACCTGGGCTCAAGATTAAAAATTAGCACAGCACCGCAGGGCAGTCAGCAAGTACATACACAGCGGATTTGAGGCCTGGACCTGAGAGCCATCCAAATCTCACTGTCCGTATTCCCGTCCTTTGGCTGTTTTCGTTCTCCCAATACCAGCCTTCAACTCCTTTCTCTGTCGTGCTGTAGCATCATTGGTTGATACTGTTTATCAGAGATTCCGCTCAGTGCCTCTTTCTCTTCGGTCGTCTTTGTTACACAATCACTAATCGCCACAATACGAACTGGAACAAGGCTGGCTTCCCTTACTGCAGGATCAGGCCTTGGCTGTGCTTCATATCCCCTTATTCCGTGCCTCTCCCGTCGGGTCTGACTGTGACCGCGTCACATCTACCACTACAACGCTACTGTAGTCTGTACAGTAGCAGTTTCCATCCAATTATTACTGGTCTGGCTACCAGAATTGCAGTGCCTTTACTCCGTATTCGCTGCGGAATTGAAAAGTGGCTTTCGCTCAGCCCTGGACTAAGTTCGGCAGCCACTTGTTAACGTTACCCTGCCTGAGGCGTTGTTGTTGTTGTTTTAATCCAGCCGCGCGCATCTCCCACCAGTTGCACAGACTGCAACTGCCCCGTACAGGGCTTTTTCTTATTCCTGTTAACATCACTTCTCGACTATTGCCATTCTCGTCCTGAACCCGCAATAGTCCTCAGTTGTACGGATACTGTACGCTGCAAATATCCACTATTCCCAGCAGCGCTCTGCAGACTGCATCCAGCCCAGTGCCTTGAGTTTAACGGTCCCTTCCCCGGTCGCTCACTTCCACTGAACTAGACTGATCTGGACCTGGACTGGGTTGCCCCTTGTCTCCGCGTTTTTCCCCCTTCTCACCCCCCCAGCCAGCGCATCCCATCCACCCAATCTGTCCATTCTCTTCTCATTTCAAACCATTCAGTTCACTTTCAATTCAATCGCTTCACCCTCTCCTTCTTTTCTTCCCTCCCACTGAACCGCTCACCTAAGGTAACCAATTATCTCAACCACGGGCTTTGGTGATTCCACTCCTTTTCTTCAGTAACTTCTTCTATCATCTACTTATTTCCTGTCCTACGACTTTCATCGACTGTGCCGACCTCCCGCTCGTCTTACGCCTACTGAAATCTTACAAACGATCGACACTGCTTCGCTCAGCTCTGCACTACATCTGCGCAGCACCGCACCACACCACAGTAAATCGACTACACGGCCTCCTCTCCACATCCTCATCGCTCTTCTTTCAACGAATGCTCCGGTAGCAATCGAGTCTTACTTACGCCTGTTCATCATCCGACGAGAGCCAACGCTACCTCCTCTCGCATTAGCCTGATCCGCCGACCGGCCTGGTATCCTTCTTCCGAATGCCATCGTACTCTCTCAACTCTCCCTCGCTTCAGAAAATGGACAACTCAAGAATGTACGGCCAGCGCAAGGGGATTCAAATGAGCAATATCCTTGGTGACCCCTTCGCTTTGGCTACCCTCTCTATCAGCACGGTGCGTTCCTCTCGCGCTTCGCTATATCGCGATTCGTTCACTAACTCGCCTATGTAGCTCGCCTGGTTCATTACTTTTGTCTCCTGTATTATTGGACGGATACAACAAAACAACGATGACGATCTTGCCAAAAACGACCCATTCCCGACATTCGTTTGGTGGAGTTGCATTTACTGCCTGTGCCTGATTGTTGGCGTCTTTATTGTCATCGGAAGCGACGCAGTTCATACCTACCATGTCGCTGTAACTGGCTATCTCGCTGCAGGAATCGTCCTGGTCTCCTCGAGTATTAACCAGCTTCTTTACTCTAACAGCGGCGCACGTGAGGCTGCTTCAGCTGGTTTTATCCTACTAGCTATGGTTGTCGTAAGTACAATTCTAATTTGATCATATGTGCGTATTTAACAAATCTGCAGGTTATTTGGACATTCTACTTCGGCTCTAATCCGTCTTCAACTCCTCGGGCTTTCCTTGACTCGTTCGCTCTCGCCAAAGAATCCACTACAATCCACCGATCAACGATGAACGCTTACGGTGGTCGCCCCGAGACGTCCAACTCTGTTCAACCTCCTCAAATGTACACCTCTGCTCAACTCAACGGTTTCGAGAACCCCTCCCCCATCGGCGGTATGTCACAGGGCGGAGCACGTGGCTCTGCAGTTCCTCAAAGCTTTACCAATTCCATGCAACAACAACTTCCACCGCAACCTAAGAACACTGGATCCAACGACGCTGAGGTCGTACCCCCCACCGAGTACCCTTACCGAGCAAAGGCCATCTACAGCTACGAGGCTAACCCCGATGATGCCAACGAAATTTCTTTCTCGAAACATGAGATACTCGAGGTGTCAGACGTTAGCGGCAGATGGTGGCAAGCACGCAAGGAGAGCGGCGAGACGGGTATTGCACCCAGCAACTACCTCATCCTGTTATGAGCAACGATCCATGCATGGATTCCCTGGGATACCCGTTCGGCGATTTGCGATATTTCGCCCGTCGAACACCGTCAGACCCACGCACGGGCTGCTCGTTCATTGTTTGTCGCATTTTAACGTTTTTAGAGTCACGACTCGGCGATTTGGTTTCAGCACTGGGATGGGAAATATGTTGGATGGAGTATATTTGGGACGAAAAAACTCCTCTGTGTTATAAATCGGACCACGGCGCCTACAACTAGGCAATTCTTTTTACTTTAAATGTTTTCTCTTCTACTGTTCTCACTTATTGTTCTACTTCCGTTGTCTACCATCGGGAAATTCACGAGTTTCGACTCGATTTAGAGTTTCCTATCCTCCCTAGCGAAATAACGGCCTGGCCGTTGGCAATGCTGCGTCAACGAACTTGTGTGGCTGCAAGCCTATAGGCTATAACTATAAGGAAGACTTCCCATGGACCAGCGAGCAGGCTCGGCTTTGTATGAACGAATTGTATTTTGTCCACGGATAGATATGAACAGTACCAAGCAAGCTCTAGCTTCAATGAGAAGGGGGAAAGCATCCCTTCGATATAGTGAACACAATGATATATTGGAATGTGAACTGGATCTTCCGTGTCTTGATCGAATGTGAAGTTAGGTCAAGTTTAGGATCTGCGGCTGGTGAGAGTCACTGATTGGCCATTTAAACCAAGGGAGGTGGTGTTAAGGTTTTACTCAGGAACGCGTGGCAGCCTCATGGAAAAATGGGTATCATGAAATGTCCAGAACTAGCCTATCCTGGGCTAGACAGGTACCATTCTTGTGTTCCAGTTAACTCGGCCATTGGCGTTTGTTCGACTTCGTGTTAAACTCTGTACACGATACTCCGGTTTACGGATTTCGGCAAGTGTTATCACTGCCGGGGCCGGCACCTCTCGACATGTTTATGCAGGCGGTAAGTCTGGTGCCGATCTTGCTGATCGGTGCGTCTTTCGCGTTTTGCGCATGGCGTGGCTCCCATCAAGTCGATCTTCAGCGGCACAAATCCAGCTTCCATAGAGTCGAACCTCGGTTGTCGTTATCTTTCCGAATCGCTTGATCGCTTGCGTTTTATCATCCTTCCAATCGCTTCCTGAGCTCTCTCTCTTTTTGTAGCGCCTCCAGCTCCAGTCTCTCCACGCCATAGCGTAAGGCTTCCTTGCGCTGGCGAACTGCCCGTGCGCGGAGCTTCTCTTCTGCCGTGAGCTTACGACCACCGGTCCTCTGTTTCTTAGACTTGCCACCGTATTCGTCATAGTCATCATCTGGGCGTGATAAACGTCCCTGCTGAAGCTCTGCGCGGGCCTTGAGGGTTTCGATGCGACGTTCCTGGCGCTCAATCTGGGAATCTGCGCGGGCAAGTAATAGGGCGATATAAGGACCTATCTCGTCTCGGAGGGATGACTCGGCTGCTGATAGAGTGGGTTGGGGGATGAGTTCGTAGTGCTACGAGATGTGAGCAAGACGTAGAAGATGTGCTGAAAGAGATAAGACTTACGCGGACCGTCTTTAGGACGTTGACCAGACGGGGAAAGTCGGCGACACCATTGTCAAGTGTCTCTACAGATGATTCGAGAAACTTCAGAGATGTGCGAAGCGACGAGACGCAATCGGAATATGTTGATAAATTGGCAGCAGCCATGATGAATGATCGTGGGGGTTTTGATGTTGTTGTCGTGGGGTAAACGGTTGAGACAGATGTTCAGTAGCTTATGCCACCATTCGGCCGTTATACAACAAGGACTGTGTCCTGTTATAATGTCTTGTACTTGGGTCGTGGGTACGTTTTCAAGGGTGTATCGCAATTCGTAGTCCGATTGTTATGATTCGACTGATGAAGCGAAGCGCGAAAGTTGATAAACAACAGGAGTGACGATGAGTGCACGGACCAACGGCTTAATGCACCTCCAGTTACCCTCCCGAACTTCCTCCGACAAGATGTTCAACCGCATCTTATGATATCCCAATATCACTTGTATAAACATAGACCGACAGTGGTTTTACTTCATCTAAATACTTAATCCTAATTCATGCTTCGCTCTTGCTTTGTTCTCCTTATAATCTTTGTATCAAACAAGATTCTTGCTTTTTTTTTTCTTTTTGAGGAGAAACCAAATAAATATTACAGTCGTCTGTAAGTTATAAAACCTTAGAAGAGAATTTTGATATGCTACTGTAGATAGTCCTCGATTACAGAGTCGAGAGACATTAGGGTTATGTAAGGCATGTGGTAACTTGAATTCTCCAGTAGATGTAGTTTCATGTAGGTCAATATTGGATGTTAAAGATATAGGGTACATGCAATACGAATAATCAAAACCTTTATGTGCCATTTCTATACGGTAATCGGACAGTTGACCGCGTTATATAAGTGACATAATAACATTTATATGAAGACTTTAGATAATTTGATCACATCTGAGGCTCTCTCCAAATTGTGCGATTTTTTTGTTGAGTCTCTGATGAGACTGAATAGTTGCATGTGACGCCATCAGGGTCATCTTCTTCAATGATGGCCCTGAATCCTGTTCAACTAACGGACAAATTGATAACCCGTAATCACTGAAGTATGAGTGCAGTTATATCAGAGCTTCGAGAGCTTCGTAGAGTTCTAGCTGCCTCTATCCTAGATTCGAACCAAGTTCACAAGTATCAAAATGTTTGGCAATATACACGAAGAAGTAGTTCAGCTTTCAAATCTCGTTCCCCGACTGTTTCGTCGATTCAGCAGTATGAAGCCATGGTTAACCGATAGTTGAAAATTCGGCTGTCTGCAGTCATCGTATCACTTCGTCTGCCAATGTATTAAGACCAGCAGCTTGTGCATACTAGAGGCTGGTGGATGACTCCTACATATGAGAATCTGAGCTGCAGGATTTGTCTCTATCGAAAAATCCCCCCGAGAACCTTTGAGACTTTGGTGATGACATTTGGGAGGACACTGAAAAATATAGACAACTGGGTCATCTGTAATTTCCTGGACATTCCTTGCCATATTGTGTCACCAGTTTCAAACAGAAAAGATATGACCCCTGTTTAGAGCAATGTTGGTAGTTAGTATCAGCCAGGGCAAGTATTCGACAGTGAAAACACTTCAAGTATGTTATATTCTCCATGTGCTTGGAAAAGGAGACTGGGAGTTGACAGTTCCTTGCAACCAACCCCCGAATGACCAGGGCTTGAGGGTTCAAGTATACCATTTTGTTAACGAGTTTTATTAGGAGTAAAACGGACTCCTTCACTATTTTCGCCCTATATATGCCCTTACTAATGCCATTCCTCCACCAGTCACAAGTTGTGTCGCTCTGTAGTTTTCGCAGGAATAACACCAATGCATTCCTCGCTACTGAGCATCACCGTAGCATTAAGCTACCTTCTCGTTTTCAGAAAGGAAAAACACTGGCTACAAAATCCTATTGAACAAGTAGCACATCCGTCATTTGGTCGAGTTTCTCTTGACGTGATCAGTCTGGTCAACAAGCTTTATTTTTGTTTTGGCCGATGATTTCCATCCTTATCGCCGTTCTGAGTCGTATTGCGGAAGAAAACTACGGCTTTGCCATTTGCTCTATAATATTTGAGGTCTACTAAGCCCAAGTGAAGCACATATTAAGTAGTTCGCACATGTGTTGTTTACTGGTGCCATGCATCTCCTTGTTCTTGGTGTTCTAGGCCCCTAGCTTAAGATCTGATTACCAACACATGAGCAAGGATCTATCCACAGACAACCCAGATTAGTAGCTGCAACTCAATTGCGACAATCCAATTATACGTGGTGAGTCGAAATTTCAATTCATGAGTGTTCTTGGGCTTGTCGTCGTGCGCAAAAATCAAAATATTTCTAGATCGTCTCTGCAATTGATACCTATCCTACGCTGAGCATAGTTTCAGACAATCACCTCAACTGTTCGTCATCACATAAGGCTGTCCCAAATTTCGTACAACGGGACTTGTTTCACAAGCGTCGCGGTCTGATGGACCAGTAACTCTCCTTTTCAGTAGCTTTGAACGAACAGAAGCTCATTCGGTAATGGCTGACCCTCTGGCCATTCTCGTTTTGGTACCCATAGTACACTGACCTTCCTAACGGGCTTGGTTTTATACCTGGGCTGTATGGATTTGGATAGAACAGTGATATCTGATTCGTAAGGACGAAATTGGACTCCAAACTGGCACGGCTTTCGAACACGAAGTCAAGCCGGAAGCCAGAACTGCGGGACTTCGAGCTTCGGGGACTGCAAAGTGATTTCCTGTGAAGTTACTACGGTTGTTCTAAAAGTTTATAATGGTAATTGAAAGCAATCATACCCATTTCGATAGCTGAAGAGTACCTACTACTTTGACAAAGCCACTCGATTAACTAGGATTTTCCAACGCACCGCTTGTACAAAGACATTAACTCCCATTAATATCTTTGTCTTACCATTTGCGAGTCCCTACTCAGAACTCATACCACGGTCCGACTATAACTCTTCATCAATGCTTGCTTTTTCTTGCGCTGTATACTCCCACACCTTGACGATCCGATTGTTAGGAAGATAGATATCCTACATCGTTATCGATAACTCAAAAACGGGTTCGTTTGGTTATATAAAAAGGCATTAGTCATGAATCTTGGGTTTTTAAGTTCTGAGCCCAGGTAACTAATACTCTGCAAAAGGCATTTCCTTCATTGTTCATTCTTTCTTGATTAGCTTTCTCAATTCTGACCATTGTCCAGGCATCAGATTAGATTCTGAAACCATTTACTCAATCAGGTCAAACAAGGAAATAAGCGATATTTGATCCCACTCCCCTGGAGGACAGGCAAGTATCCCCAAGTCATGACAGACTTGATATAAAAGAGTTCCAGACATAAGCTCATGGTTCCTGTTAAAAGTCATGGTGATTCGGGGCTTAGAATAACTGGTTACCCTACAGCTGCAAATATTCTCCTCGCGACATCCTCACCAAAAACAAACTAGCAACTGTATCATTTTATTACACAGTTTTATCCTCGAGCATTAGATCTAAAAATAAACTACCTTAGTACTTACAAGACAGAGCCTCATCTCAACGTGCTTTGTGAACGTCACGTGGACTAGAGATTAGATGACGAAGGCTCCGGAGCCGGTCCCACTAAATTCCAGCCCCGGCCTGCTTGGCCTTGGTGGGGACCTAAGGACAGGCAGGAGCCTCTTGCGTGAGCCTCGTCACTGAACCGACCAGCTTGAACTAACCCAAACACGCCCCACGACCTTTGGCTCATCGCATCAACACTTCATAGCACCAATCTTTGAACCATTTTCCTCCACCCTAGCCATTTACCAATAAATACCTGTCTTGAAGGAAGCACAGCGCGATCACCGCCATCATGTCTGACGGAGTTTTGAAGCCCGAGAAGGACTTCTCGAAGGAGGTTGACCAGCAGCTCCCCGAAGCTGAGAAGTTGGCTGCTGTAGGTTTTTGAGCTTTGGATTGTCAGGTCAAGCTTTAGCTGACACCTTTTATAGTCTGGTAACCTTCAAGGCGCCATTGAGAAGCTTGCTGCCCTCGAAAAGCAAACCCGACAAGTACGCTCTCACGCCCTCACTCCTCCTCTCCGCTAATTCGATATCAGGCCTCCGATCTTGCTTCTACATCACGAGTACTGGTCGCAATTGTGACACTATGCAAAAATGCTGGCGATTGGAATCTGATGAACGAACAAACCTTGGTCATGTCCAAAAAGCACAGCCAGCTGAAGCAGGCCATAACCAAGATGGTCCAGACCGTTATGACCTTCCTCGACGACACTCCCTCCCTCGAGACCAAGCTCACCGTTATCGAAACACTACGAACCGTCACAGAGGGCAAGATTTTCGTTGAAGTCGAGCGAGCTCGTGTTACCAAGACCCTTTCCGATATCAAGAAGGAACAGGGTGACCTCAAGGGTGCTACTGAGATTCTTTGCGAGTTGCAAGTCGAGACCTTTGGTTCTATGGACCGACGAGAAAAGACCGAGTTCATTCTGGCACAGGTCGATTTATGCATCGAGAGTGAAGACTGGACACAGGCTGCTATCCTTGGCCGCAAGATCAGCACTCGCTACCTCTCCCGCAAGCCCAAGAAGACAGCCGAGCAGCTTGAGAAGGAGCAAAAAGAGCGAGAGAAGAAGAGGGCCCGTGGCGAAGAGGTTCCTGAGGAGAAGGAGGACGACACAACTGATCTCAAGCTACGATTTTACGAGCAGCAGATCATCCTTGCCAAGCACGAGGAGAAGTACCTCGATGTGTGCAAGCACTACCGACAGGTGTTGGACACAGAAGCAGTGGAGGAGGACCCAGCCAAGCTTCGACCCGTATGTTTGATATCTTTTAAAGCCCCAATTTGCCTTACTAAACTGGTATCACAGGTCCTTCAACGCATCATCTACTTTGTCATCCTTGCTCCTCACGATAATGAGCAGCACGATCTCCTTCACCGAATCCACAAAGACACCCGCAACTCAGAGGTCCCAGCTGAGGCCGAACTTTTGCGATTATTCACTGTACCCGAGTTGATGCGATGGCCCGAGACTGCTAAGAGATTTGGCCCTCATCTCTGCAGTACTGATGTCTTTGATGTGCAGCCTAACCAGTCTTCAGACGATAACGCGCACAAGCGATGGCAAGATCTGCGAAAGCGAGTGATTGAGCACAACGTCCGAGTTATTGCCAAGTACTACACTCGTATCCAGATGAGCCGTCTCACTCAACTGCTTGACTTGACCGAAGATGAGACTGAGAAGTACATCAGCGAGCTTGTTACTTCTAAGACCGTCTACGCCAAGATTGATCGACCCGCAAGAATTGTCAACTTTGCAAAGCCCCGAGATGCTGACGATGTCCTAAACGACTGGAGTCACGACATGAAGAGCCTTCTGGGCCTCCTGGAGAGAATCGATCATCTTATTACCAAGGAGGAGATGATGGCACGAATCCAGCCTGCTAAATAGATTATGGAGTAAGGGTTAGAGCAATTCATAATTCATGACGGTTTGGGTGGTCTGTAATTATACAGGTTAGATAGTCCTCGGGATGAGGATATATGACATGGCATTGGTGTATTTGTCTATCTATCCGTTTATGTTTCGTAATCTATATGCCTGCATCTCCTCACGAAAGTATCAGCTCTGCAGCTCGGCTTTAGGCTCCTTGTCTTGGCCATGTTCCTTGATGAAGCCAGCCAGCGGTGCCGCCCATTGCTTGGAGACAGGCACATGGTGGCCTCCAGGGTGAACAAGCACAAGAGGATCTTGACAACGATCTGTGAGTGCTCTGCTGCGATTCTCATCGACCACTGTATCGAGACTGCCGAGGAAGTGCAACGAGGGCGTCTTAATCTTGGGCTCAAAGCAGAACTGGAGCGAGTCGGGGGTTGCCCAAAAACCTGAGTACATAACAGCAAAGTTAAGAGAGTGTCCAGAATTGGCCTCCCGCAGTCCCCGTGCCCAGTCTCCCTCCTTGCCCTCTGGTAGAGAACGCTCCGGCTCCAAAGCAGCTGCAACAAGAGCTGCCATGGCGCCACCTTGACTGAAGCCGCATACTGCGTCGATGCCCTCCGCATCACGAATAGCCTGGGAAATAGTGGTCATTCCCTCTTCTAAAAGACGGTAGTTTCCTGAAGCCTCATCTTTGCGAAACCACGCCCAAGTATCGGGCTGATAGTCCTCGGCCTGAGGCTCCTCAGGGGGTTGATAGCCGGGGATGTCTTCTGGGCTGAGCCGGTTGGGGCCAGTAGTATAGAGGAAGACGGGAAGGAGCGAGATGGGGTTGAGAAGTTTGACGATGGTCTTCTCCAAAGCGCGGGTCTTGGCGCGGAATAGAGTACCTGATTGTGTATATCCTGGTGCATGTCAGTGAGTGAGGTTGAGATGCAGATAAGCAAGTCTAGGTTATGACGAATGTGATGATGGGAAATATGGTGAAGATGCGATTCCCTTGTCAATGTACTCCGTATGCGTAAAAACTCACCGTGCAGCATGAGAATCTTGATCTCCTTCTTGGCTCCATTGCCGTTGGGCTTGGGTGATGATGAGGCAGTCATGGTAGATAGGCAAACTTTGTGTGAAGGAAATGTAAAGGATGAGGCTCTTCTAGTAATAGTTGAATTTAGTCTAGCAGCAGAAAATATGCCAACGAAAAGACGCATCTATAAGAAACTATGCAATGTAGAAAGACGGACTTAAGTCGGTGTTGAAGAGAAGGGTTGCTGGCCGGATGAGTCGACGACGTGGAGTGAAGCGATAGCAATGATTTGTCAGGGAGAGAGAATTCGCGAAGGGCGTCGGGCCGTTGTTTAACATCACACTTCATCCCCACCACAAACATTCGCTCAGCAAACATGGTTAAGGGTCTTTTGTGATATTATTTTCTTATGCATAGGTACCTAGTCTGCGTTACTCATGCATAGTTTATGGGCCACATATTGTTCTAAAGTGACTGCTACTGATGTCACAGTATTCGTCATCTTTGAACCATAAACTTTATTGAACAATTCATATATCAACGGATCCGAGACTGTTCTATCTCGCTAGCAGCACTCCCGTCTGTCTAACACAAGTACAGAAACACAAAGGCAAAGGCATGTGGCCATGATGATGGACCGCTACATCCACAAGAGCTCAAAGGCTAGTATGTCGCGGTGAGTATTGGGCCACAGTTCATCTTCCTTGAACAAAAATAGAAATAAACCACGGAGTATGATGGTAGATTTCAGAGTGAGTCAAGGTTGTTTCTTCACGCATCACATCGGTCAGACGTCAGCCCTGACTTTCAGCACATTCGTTATTCGGACCTTGAGCGCTTCCTGGATTTCCAATTGCATGTAAGAGCAACTTTCGTGCATATCGTGGTATAGGTCAATTAAGCCCTTTTTGCGATTCTATGATACAATCCCATCTCGTGAATCCCAGCCTCGCGTTCGAGTGAATCGACTATGTGTGCTGGCTTGGATGAAATCCCTTTTCCATTCCCTCGAACTTAGTGGCCGCCAGTCTTGGCGTTAGGGTTGCGAGGGTCGTTCTTGAACTCGGCGCCTGTTGTCTCTGATTAGTCGTCGCTCTGGCTATCGTTCTGTAGGGGTCGTACTGTTCATCATAGCGTTCTGGGCGGAGTTGACACCGTAGGCAACGGCAAGACCTATATCCCTGATCAGTTGCTGTCCAGCAATCGTCGACGTATCAATCGTAGTCGTGCACGCGGGGGAAATCTCGGGGAGTAATCGGTTCCGTCGGATGAGCTGCGCAATTAGACGTACCGGCAACGAAGAAGGGCCAGTAAGGCTTCACTATTGGAAAGAGTCAGCGGGACACGTTCGCGATGGCGCAGCCGGACAGGTCGCAATTGAACGTACAGAAGGGAGCGTTGAACTTCTTGAGGGGTTGAACACCGAGCCAAGACATGATGACGGATTTCGTGGGTATCGCGGGAGGTAGGTTCGGTTTGATGGACTTCGACGTCGGCAACGGTGCTTTGAGATTGAGATTGCTACAGAACGAGCCTTTTTCCGAACGACAGACCCAGCAAAGCTCCGAGCGGGTTCTGCCGAAGCCGAGCCCGGAACCTTTTCTTTGTGCCTAAGACTTGAGGCATGAAGCTTTGGGGTCACTGAGTCAGAGGAGACACGGACCCACAATTGAGCTGAGGTCTGAGGAACAGAAGGCCCAACCGAACCCCGCATTCTTTTGACACGCTAAGCTTTTACACGTGATGGTAAACATGGTGTGACATCATCGGGGAGCTCCCCAAGCTCGAGCTTAAGAAGGAGTGTACGTACTGCTAAACCTTCTGGCCTCATCACTCCTGTCTCCCTCAATCAAATCAGCCTATTTCCCCCTCGTTCTTTGACCGTACGGCTCAAAACTCTTGGAGTCAGTACTCGTCATATATAAAACAGACAAAAACTCACCCAAAAGTGCGGGGTGAATTATACTCTATACATACACTGCTGGCGTGTAACCGTTCCGTCCCTCCAACTCAATTTCAGTCGCCCAATCCAATCGATCCTCTGCTTCACCCTCCTCCTTTTACCAGGCGCCAGGGCAATCTTAACCAAGACTGCTTTGAGCTCTGATACCACCTTGACGCTTATCGCCTGCCTTCCCGCTTCTGCTGTGCCCTCCCCAGCCAATTGTGCCGCATCTGACCTGCTGCTTCCGCTCTTGTTTCCTCTTCTGAACCTCGGGGTACTTTCTTCTTTCAGCATCTCCCCTGTCCCTCCAGATCTACAAATCGACCGCACGACACCAACGTCAAACGTTTAACGTCGTCTGTTCCCTGGAAGATCGCCTGCATTTTCCCCGCGCCCGTGTCAGCTTTATTTAACACGAATTGCGCCTTGCAAGCTTGGAGACTTTACACCTTCATTCCACAACCTTAGCTTAAGCTCCAACCGACCAAAATGCTCAGTCGCCAGTTTGCACGCGCCGCCGCCGTCACCCCGCGTGCAGGTGTGCGAGCTCTGAGCTCGACAGCGGTTCTCAACGGCCGTACGCCCTCTCTGGGAGATGTCAATCCTTCACACGCAGAGGTCGACAAGTTCAGTCAGAAGCAGAGGGAATTCCGCGAGCACCTGGTAGAGACACAGAAGAAGCGAGAAGCCAGTTCGTTTCCCTCCAATCCGCAGTCTGCTAACGTTCCGTTCGCCAAGTCGGACGAGGGCTCACAGAATGATCATGTAGGACGCACCGAAGAGGCTAAGGAGCCTGAACCTGCCCGTAAGGCGGGCCCGTTAACAAACCTTATCTACGGTACCAAGGAGGGCCGCGAGCTCGACGCCCAGCTCGAAGCAAGCTTCAGTCAGGTTCTCGCTCGTGGCAAGTATGTCCACTCGATCGTTCTTCACGAGGTCAAGCCCGAGAAGGTTGACGAGTATGTCGAGCTTGTTGGTAAATGGTACCCTAAGATGGCCAATGCCCCCGAAAACAAGGTGAACCTGGTTGGAAGCTGGAGGACTGAAGTTGGAGACTGCGACACATTCGGTATGCATATCGTTGGTGTCATACGACGTTTTGTTTACTGATCTTGATGTAGTTCACATTTGGGAATACCAAAAGTACGAGGGTTACCACCAATCTCGACACTCTATCACTCACCACCCCGAGTTCGCCGACTTTGATAGCAAGTTGAAGGGATTAATCAACTCCAAGAATGTTTCTCTCATGCAAGAGTTCTCTTTCTGGCCGACAACTCCTCCGCGATCCCTGGGCGGCGTCTTCGAGCTACGCTCCTACACATTGCACCCTGGCAACCTGCTTGAGTGGGAGACACACTGGCGACGAGGCCTCAAGGCTCGTCGTGAGGTCATGGAGGGTGTTGGTGCCTGGTTCGTCCAGATTGGCGACCTCAACACAGTCCACCACCTATGGCAGTTTGCCAACCTGGAGGAGCGCCGTAGCCGCCGCGAGCACAGCTGGCAGCATGAGGGCTGGAGTGACACTGTCCACAAGACAGTGCCTTTGATTCAGAGCATGAAGTCAAGAATTCTTGTTCCTATGCCTTGGTCTCCCGTCCGATAAATGCCCAATGACGATATTCTGACACAACATCACCTTTGACACCTTCAAGTGGTGTCTCGATGGACAGAGCGTGTCCATTTCACTCGAACTTGATCAACACGAACATACCGCCTGTACGAGATTAGAGGCTGTCGTTTTACGTTACAGCATGGTTAACTTTGTTTTTATGTCAACAATCTTCACGGATTCAGCAGAAGAGCGACGGAACTTGGGTCATGGATTGCATGCACAGATGTATAGTTTATTTATACGAACTCACTTGAAAGATACTGACATCGAAAATGCGACGACATGGTGACTTGAATCATGAACGCTTGAAATGTGAAAACAAAAGCCTGACCAAACTTGGACATTCTCACCATAACGCCAGGGTATCCAATCAATTTACAGGCAGAACTGCTCACATGGCGTTTTCCCTCACTGCTAAGAGTCAACGCTGAGTACCTCAGCAACGTTTCTCCTTGCTTGGCCAAGCATGTGACTCAGGTAGCTAAGCTTGGATTGAATGGAGATGAGACTTGGATCTGCGCTTTCGACGCGTACTTTTTCCCGGACATATACTTCCTGAATATCATTACTATCCACGTCGGCAGCCGATGATCCTGGCTCCGGGGTATGGCGGGCGCTGCCCCGCTTCGAGCCGCTCATGTTGGACCCCTGTGTATTGTACCGGAAGATGGTGTCCATTTCGTCGTGCTCCAAACGCCGGACTGTGCCAAAAGCTAGACCAAGTTTGGTGCCAAAATGGACATGTCCATGAACAGGCTCAAGAGCCCGCAGCCAAAGTATTATGCAGCTTTCCTGCAAACCGAGGTAGAAGCTGAGGTTGGGCCCTATTGATGGCACGAACTGACTTGATGGGCATGAGTGCATTTGCCAAGCAGGATCAGAGTCTGTCAAAGGGGGACCTTTTAGAATGGCCGATGCATCGGCCAGAGAGTCGGCGAGAACATTAAGAGTAGAAGCCAAAGAGTAGGCGTCCTGCGGCTTGGACAGGGTTATACCGAGCAGGTCAATGGATTGGTTGAGATGGCCATGCAGAGCATCGAGGCCCTGAATATGAATGACGTCTGATTGCGATAGCGATAGCGTTTGTGGGGGTATCGTTCGAAGCTGGAGATGTAAAGTCTGGGGTCAAAAGACGTCAGCTTGCAGAACGAGGCTGGAGCTGCATGTGGGGAGGACATGAGCTTAATGGGTAGCCTTACGCCTTTGACGATGCGAGTGCCTACGCGCGTGAGCGTGCCCTTTACTTTCTCGTTGCGTGGTGTGCTCATAACGAGGGTGCTACCGGGGTCGATAGGCGCAAGAAGCGCATAGCAATCTTCAATGCCATGTTTGAGGTCGCGACAGACTTCGAGTGTTTCGTTGACGATCCAATCTAGCTCGCGCGCCTTATCAAAGTAGATCAGCATGTTGTCCCGAGCTTGAAAAGTGCAGTGATTTTTGAAAAATGTCTCAAGGTTGACTCTTTCGTAATTGCGCATGAGGATCTAGTACCTGGGTCTCGGAGGCTTTAAGCCTGAGCTCTTCGGGCGCGATGGGAGGCCAGATTGCAATGGACATGGTGAGTGGGCGCCTAGCTGGTGAACAATGCCTGGGAAACGATGTAGGCAGCCATGAGCATCGACGATGGCGACGAGTAGATGTTGTTTGGTGGAGAGGTTGTGGTTATTGACGAGTTGGAGATGGGGGAATAATCCAAAAAGGGACCGAGTTCAGGTCAGCTCTGAGCTTAGAGGTGACGTCGGGTCCGTCGCAGCGGGCACTAAAGACACCAAACTGCAGGCAGCGCGCCACAGTGCTGTGGCGTTCTTCTACTCTGAATGTTGAGATGTAGACTTGAGAATAGGGAACTACAAGAGGGTAAAATAGGTTCTCATATCAAGCTGATCTTTTTAAATACCTTTTATTCAGACTCCTCATTACCATTGTAAGTCTTTGATTATGGATGCTGTTTATTCCCTTTCGCGAACAAACTATCATGGTAGTGGGGGTTACATATCTCAAGAAACTTTCTTCATGAGATTTCTTCCTTCTTAAAATCACACCAATCTCACTTACACCAGGCACATACAAACCGAAACGGAACACATTTCAAAAAACAACGAACCAAGGAAGCGGATCTGGGATCAACATTGTGTCAAATTATTAGTACTCACAGTATCAACGGCGGTCGCTCTAGTATCCTGCATCAGGCAGCCAGCCAAATCTCATAACACAACTGACACGATGGCTTCAACTGAGGCTCCCGAGGCACCAAACAAGGTGCATGGCACACTAACAAAGTTTCCTCCCATGCCACAAGGTAAGTGATTCACAAAATCTCACAGACAAGTGACTAACGCTTCCCTAGGCGCCCGCATAGAGAAGCGCCCCTTGACCAGGCGCCAGCCTCCAGCATCATCAAAGTCCCGTATCATCTACGTGTCTTCCAAAACGCCATTCATGGCCGCCGTAAAGCGTGCCCGTAAACAGCTCGACGCCTCGCTCAAGACTGAAGGCGCGGCGTCAAAGTACGCGTCGGTCAATTCGCGTGTTGAGGCTCTCAAGCGAACCGCCGGTGGAGACACGGACAGTGCAGTCGTGACAGTCGCTGGCACGGGAAAAGCCATCGAGAAGACACTCGCGGTCGCGGGGTGGTTTGAACAGGAGGGTGATTGTGATGTCGAGGTCATGACAAGTACCGTAGGCACGGTAGACGATGTGGTGGCTAATGGGGACGCCGAGGACGAGAGCCGCCTGAGGAAGCTCAGTTGCCTAGAGGTCCGGATCAAGCTCAAGTGAGACACATCTGTAAGCACGGCGATAAGAATCTGGAGGGTACGGCAGTGGGATCGTGTCGTATCAGATCTACGAGGTTAGTTACCTTGCATATGCGAATCCATGTTTAGCACGTTCTTTGCTGACGATTTCTCATCTCGAAGGTACAACAAAATCCACGGAGGCCGAGTCGGAATGCACGGATATGCAAGCATGGCCCACAGAGGGCATATCAATCTGACAGTATCGAGATCTGAGTTGATTCCTGCACTTATGGAGTTAAGGTCTTTCTTTTGGACCGCGGACCCGGACGGTTTCGGTCAGCCTGGAGTACAGTGATTATGAATCAGTCAAATGAGAGGTCCGTCTGACATTTGGACGAAGTCTCAGTGGTGGACAACGGCTTTGGTATGAGTGGTTTGGAATTGCATTTGTGGCATAGTTTCAAATAGCCGCCAAGGAAAGGAAGATGCTGGTTGCTTGATAATCCATCACAACACACCTTTCTCACAGTTTCGAACAAAAGGATCTCCTCGGGGTACAAGGTCGATAGAGCTTGTAGAATTAATAGAGCAAGATTGTGAACAGCTTGGCGCTGATTATATATGGCTTCGGAATAGGCAGGGCATTTAGTTCATCGCTATACCCAAATGAAGAACAAAGAAGAGATGGTGGAGCCTCAACGTGTCTGCGCCGCTCAATGCATTATCCAACCCAGCCCTTTTCCTTCCGGTTCATCCCATTCCCCTTCTCTTCTCTTCTTATTGCTGGCCGGTCAAAACTTGACGCGGGTGTTATTAAAAGCTTCAACTCCTGTGCTGCGCCGAGGGATCCGCTAATCCAGTCAGGATCCCTTATGCAATGCTAAAATATGTTTTCTTCAAGTCATTCGGGTCATTCGGGTCTTTCGGTCGTCATGGGAGCATTCTTATGTAACACGGTAGGCACTGAGTTCTGTGATTAGGTACTGCCTCTTTTAAGATGGAGGAGTCTGAGTCAAGAAAAAGAGAGGGCCAAAAAAAGACTTACTCGATAACCAAGTGTTCGCCACGCCAGGCACCACTGGCCACCCATAATCCACAGTTGACTATCTCGGCGTAACGCTTGTCGGAAGTCTTGAATGTCGCGAACATGCGAAATCCGTAGCGGCGTGGGTCGATATCCTTGGGGGCCCGGGGGCTTAATAGAGTATCAAGGATGTCGGCAGGTCCTGAGAGGGAACCGCGTGTACGCATCTCAAGTCTGATGAATTTGGTTAATTTCACACAACTCATGATGAGCGCGTAAAGGACTTACAGCGCGGGTTGTTCATCGCTCGTTTGGATAACAAAAGCGCCTTCAACGAGTCTCATGGGTCTGAAACCACGGGCTTGACCAAGATCATAACCACCTGCCTATACGCCACACGTAAAGTCCTCCTCAGTCAGCCACGGATTACACGGAAGCGCAGAATCTGTAAGGGGTCTAGGGATGGGAAAAATAAGGTGAACGTACAATGACGCGGCCGTGGCCAAAAGACCCGGACCATACACCGGCTGCAACTGTGGTGATCTCTTTGGTATTGCCTGAATCAACGTGCACAGCCTCCTGGTTTAAACGGACGGCGATTCGAAAATCAAAGTCGAGGGCCGGCATCGGAAAGGCGAGTCCTGGGCAGGGGAAGTGGTTGAGAGAGCGTTGGCAAGCCTCTTCGACGGTTCTAAGAATAACCAAAGTATAGTCAGCAACTCGACATCTTACATGGAATGGTTCCAATTTCTTGTAAATCCTCAAACTTACTTGCCAGGCCCTTCTCGACATTCGCGCTCGGCTTGAACCCTGTATAGTAGACCCCCATCGTTAAAGCACCCATTTCCGCTTCCATTTCCTGACCCGTCGTTGCAAAATTGTTGCGCGAATGTGGTGGGTGGTTCTAGAGGTGGTATTCTCGTATCCCACTCGGCGGGCATGTTTTGTGGTGGACATGCCGAGGGCTGTTTAAGAAAGGGAGTCGAGTGAGGCAGACATGTCGATTCGGAAATATCGGTAGGTGCAGTGCTCGTAGGCAGCGAGAAGGATAGAGTATCGGTTTCTGTCGCCATGATTTGGGTTGGTTCGAGTTTGCGTGGATTGAGTTGAAAGTTTGGATGTAAGTGATGGATGGACTTTGGACTTAGACGCTCCGGGGCTGTCTGGGGTGTGTCGCAGCAGTTGGGCTGGTCGGCGGTATTTCTTGTTTTTCGAGGATCTATGATACCACCTGAATACTTTCGTCGTTTAAATCGAAATAATAATCGTTATGCCACAAATGAACAGTCTCGGTTTGATTGTTTGAATAAAGGTACGCCGGCGGGTATGGAGCGGAATTGATGGCGGGAGGCGGCAGGTAATATATGGTCCCCCCTTCGGCTTGCGTTGGCTTGGCTTGTGTAAGCGGTTTGCGGATGGAGCAAGTGTCGCAATTCCCGAACCCCGAAGGCGAATTATTAGTAAATGTTTTTAAACCGGAGCTCGATTTGTATCTGAATATTTGGAATATCGATGATATGTTGATTATTTGGTTTAGTCGTCGATGAAGTAAGCAGATAAACTCGAGTAATGGTGATAGTCGCAATCACACGGGAGGGAAAGGGAAGGGTAGGATGGCTCAAGGTAGGTATTTAAACAAGACAAGGTCGGACAACAACGTCCATCACATCACTACAACCCCATCCATCCATCCCAAGATCAAGCTAGGGGGTGTATAAGGCGCGCGGTAATAACTCCAGCAAGTAATGCAGTCTGTCTACCTACAGACTACAGGACATGTCCCACGCGCGGTACAAACAAGGGCGTGAGCTCAGGTCTTGCCTGTTTTGTCATGCTTGTAAATCTTAGGTCCTTGGGCAATGGAGTTAGGGGTGCTCCGCAGCCAGTTGGCGGGACATGTTGAAGTCCCGAGGGCCACTACTAAGCAAGAATTTAGTCTACACTCTACGGATACAGCACAGAAAACAGAGGCAAAAAGGAGCAGAGCAGAGGAACAGCAAAAGTGTGGCTGACTCGACCTCCTCCAGGGTCCAATTACAGAGCATCTGCAGGGTGTTTATATCCGCGGCTTTTGGGTGATCAAGAGGGCGCGCCCCCCGGATGAAGACATAAGAACATGGGCTAATCGCCGATCTGAGTGGATATCATGTTAAGAGAGGGACCCGAGGCAACGGGCAAGTTATCGTTTTACAGTTAGTGTACTATCTGAAAGACCTCGTCGTCGATTGCCAAAGTACAACCAAGATCTCGGTATAACAAGACTAGCTGATTACCTAGGTATTCTGTCGCCTGTGCCATGGACTGTATGGATGCTACGCAGCCTGCATCTAGCTTGACCACCCCCTTCCCACTTCCATAGCCCTTGGACGCTTTACAAATATGCCTCGAATTATTGATTACCTACGGATAAGGTTGGCCGGCACTGTACATAGGTTGGTAGTATGCAGTGCTGGGACTTAAGAAGTGTAAAGTCCGACCACTGGCTAATCTAAGCGAGGCTTTTTTATTCGGCATCCTCGGACAACCTACAGCGGCCGAGAGCCCGGGGTGTGTGGTGTGGCAAGCTTCAGAGCTTGAGCTTCGAGAAGATTGGTACTTGTACCTATTGTTGTACTGTAAACGCTGTGTGTATGGAAATTGATGAACAAATGTAAGCAAAGCCGGTATCAATCACTCTTGGAATCCTGGAACTTTGCTCTAATTTACAATCATTTGCGCCTGTGGCTACTGGCGGCAAACGAGACCAAACTCCGCCGTGACTCCGGATATTAGATAAAAAGGGCTGAGCTGGGCTGACAAATTGCAACGTTAATGCCATGACTACATAGAATTACCCAAATTGGAAGCAAGATATGATACACCTGCTAAAGTTCAGAGGATTCCAGGAGTGCATGACTGTATTGTTTTGTTTCTCTACAAATCCGCACAAGCTTACAAGGTCGGTCTTCTCTGTATTGTCGACACCATTATCTTCGCTGTGCATAGTAACACTTTCATGTGTGACACCCTGGAACTCTCCACGTTGTATTGTTTACCTGATATGCAGATCAGAACATCTCAGGTTCTAACGTTAGTGTTCTACAGCATTAGAGCATCCTTCGAAAATGGGGGCGGGGGCATGCATTCGACCTCTCATGGTAGCATACCTGGGACCATCATGATTACTCTGTGCCAAGAAAATACGCACCCTCCATTAAAAACTGACATCTCGGATGCAGGGTTGGCTGCTGTACTAGCCACAACTCAGAAACACAACAAGATTCTGATAGGCTGGCTACCTATTATTATTTAATTGAGATTCCTCAACCTCCGAAAGAAATCAAAGTTCAAACAACATCCATATAACTCCACTATACGGACTTTACAACCAACGGCGTGCATATGAGCTGTTGACATGAGGACTTATGACAAGGCACAAGGCGTAAATCACCATACGCCCTATGCAATACCAGTACCTGTTCCATACCATAGTGACGTTAGTCTATGTTTCGTCGGAAGTAGACTGCGATTCCGAGACATCCCTCGGTAAACATCGACTTTCCCGAGCCGTGAAGCTGTAGTTCTCAAGGCCGTGATTACCCACGACTTCCACATCAGCCGTACTCCGTTGTAAGCTGGAGAAAAAACAAGGTTTGACAAGATGCGGCATTGTATCTGCGTGTGTCTGTCCAGTTGTTCAAAAGTATCACCGACATTCGCTTAGTGCTTCGTCAGCAACGCTCGGCGGGTTTTAGCACGGACATGGGTTTAGCTGACGGCGTTTTTATAAGAACTTGAAAGGATTGATGTGTAATAAGATAGAGGAGTAATCAAGACCGACGAGTCCGTCCAGGAGTGACTACCGGACTAGATTGGGCATCAAGATTCAGCCTTATAGATCAGAAAATGACTTACCTTGCTTAGCAACAATGGGGAAGCCAACAATAACAATTCTGGAATCATCTGCTCACCAACGCAAAAGATTTGTACAGCTTCAAGAACATGTACAATGAGAATACTCACGACTTGCTGGTACTCAACAGAGAGACGCGAACTTGACACAATTTTGACCTGATTCCTGCATATCTCGGCCCCTCTAACCATAACAACCACGGATCGCAGCTATCACGACTATGTTGGTTGTAAATATTTAGCCAGCGAACCAATACGTGATATCATCTTTGATAACAAATCTGTCCAAGTGCCGAGCACCTTGTTCTCTTTCATCACGCGAGATTCGGCAATTGAAACTCTGATGAGAACTGAACCCGCCAAGATGTTTGCTGATGCGAGACACAAACTGCACCGCTGCTACACAAGTCACATCGCATGTCCATGTAGGAAGCCAAAAATTCCCACGTTTGTTCCAATTTAGTTATTGCTGCTGACGAAAGGGTACTCGGTAGGATAGAAGGGTTCTTCGTCCTCAGGGGTTACCTCGACCCTTCACAGTGAGATCTGTTCTCTGTGTCCTCTTTTTATGAGACGATCATGGCCTCTTTATTGCTGACACGCAAGCTGGTCCCATTATAATCGCAACAAGCAAGTTTCAGAGGTACGAAGGAGATTCTGTAACAAAACTGCTCCGCCAATGCCCGCCTCTTCTGCAAGTTAAACCCCCCCTGTCGACGGGTTTTCTCGCCTGTTTCGAAATCTCCAACGTAACGCTAGAAAAGGCTTGTTCTGCAACCTTATTCACAGGTGATATTTCGATATCATCAACTTGCGTCACCTCGCGAGACGAACTGCGATGCAGGATAACTACTACTAGTAGATGCACAGTTTCCGACAAAACAGACCGCCTGTACCACCCCTTGCCGGTTCGATATCTTATCTGGGCAGTCTAGCTTGGTATGGCAGTTGATGATATTGCACCATCGCTGTGCACATCTTGTGTGATTATTCAAGAACGATATCGCAGATCGAGATGCCTCTTGTCTCCCTCTTCTTCTCGGCGCCAGCATAGCATTCTTACTGTGGGTATCATCCATGGGGTAAGTGCTTCTCAGTTTAGAGGCGTCTTACTCTTTCCTCCCGCTGCAAGAAAACGGCTTCTCCCATGGATCCAATAGTATTTGCTTGGACTTTTACAGCAAACTCGCTGATTGTATCCGTACGGATACGTAGATATAATTTCAGGGGTAACTCACCTCCAAGGGTACTTGTCAAACAGGCGTAGGAAAGCGGGTCACTGGTGTCACTTCCATCAATAGTAACATTCTCCAAGCCGCCTTCCTCATCTCATCTCAGAAGATAGTAGTCGCGTCCTCCGTGCCGTACCTTCCTGAAGTTGCAACTTGCAAGGCAAGGCAAGGCACCCAGTAAGAACCTCTCCACGTTCCACGTAATTGACGACGAGAGTGGAGGCTTCGGTTCTTAAACTTGTTCTTCCCTTTCTCCTTTCTCTCGGATATCTACAGCGCATATCCTCCATTCTTCCAACAATCATTCTACTTGTCTTTTCTTCTCCCCTGTCCCCTAAGCACGAGCCTTGCCTTAGACCAGATAACGGCTGAGGCTTCTATCGCATCTTCCTCATTTTCATGCTCTTGACTCATTGGCTGATTTGAATATACCAACATCTCGGCAGCTCCGCTTTGCAACAGCGCCGTTGGTGACCTTACTTCTTCCTGCGTAGCTACTCCTACTGCAGTTGTAGCGTACCGAAATAATTGGATTACGACAGGACCTCAATTTGTCCAGGGTCCAGTCCTTGCAGTTCTTGTCCCTGACAGCGCAACAGCTCCACCGTCTCCAACTGGCGACCCCCTGGGACTTTGGGGATTCGCCCTCGCCTCAATTTGACCATTGCCCGCCGTGATCAAATTCCTCCAAGAGCTACGGATACACACATTTTTTCTGCTTCCTTGCTGTCGCATTCCTGGCTGTTGTACTTTATTTTCTTCTCGACACCAGCTTTTGCTTGGCCACATTCGCTTTTCTATGCTCCCATAGCCTAGTCCGTTCGTTTCTCGACCTTCGCTTCTACCCCTGTTCTTTATCCTGGGCATTTCGCTCCTTATCAACGAAACTCCAAAAAAGTTGCGACTTCGTACATACCTGGCAACATCACCGTCGCTGCGCAGCCCCGTTGTCGCCATGATCAACTCTCGCCGCGCCGTCCTGGCAGCGGTCTTTATCCTGACTGTCTTCTTTCTCCTTACGCGAACTCACAGCTCGACACCTATAGTCCCAGCTGCCAAAGATGCCGCCGCCGCTGCCACCGCCGATGCAAGCAAGAACGAAGCCCCTGCCTCGAATCAGGCTGTGTCACCACCTCCCGAGGAACAAAAGCAAATGGAGGTAAAGGAGCGTCGCACACGGCCTCGCATCGACATGTCGGGCATGACCACCTCCGAGAAACTTGAATACGCCTACCCTTACGATGTCACGATCAAGTTCCCCGCCTACATTTGGCAGACGTGGAAGCAAAGCCCTGATCAGGGTGATTTTCAGTTCAAGGACCACCATGCTTCTTGGAGAGAAGAACATCCCGAATTTGTCCACGAAGTTGTGACCGACGACGTTGCTATCAACCTCATTAGCATGCTCTATGCCACAGCCCCCGAGGTCATTGATGCATACCGAAGCCTCCCCATCCCTGTCTTGAAGGCCGACTTCTTCCGTTACCTAATCCTATACGCCCGAGGCGGTATTTACACTGATATCGACACCTACGCTATCCAGAGTTCTGTCAAGTGGCTCCCCGCTCAGATCCCCCGCGATACTGTTGGCTTGGTTATTGGCATTGAGGCGGACCCAGACCGCCCCGACTGGGCTCAATGGTATAGTCGCCGTATCCAGTTTTGCCAATGGACGATACAAGCCAAGCCCGGACACCCTGTGCTTCGCGACATCATCACCCGCATCACCAAGCAGACTTTAGACTTGAAACAACAGGGCAAGCTCGAAAAGTTCCTTGATCGCAATGTTGTTGAATTCACGGGACCTGCTGTATGGACAGATGCTATCATGGCGTATTTCAACGATCCACGTTTCTTCGATATGTCAGGAAGCAAGGGCCCAATTGACTACAAAAACTTTACTGGCATGGAAACGAGCAAGCGAGTGGGTGATGTGGTTGTATTGCCCATCACGAGCTTCTCACCTGGAGTGGGACAGATGGGTGCTAAGGAGCCTGACGACCCCATGGCCTTTGTCAAGCATGATTTTGAAGGTATGCAGAGGCTGCAACTCAACCCACTGGTCAATAGCAACTAACAGGAGACAGGAACATGGAAACCAGAGAGCGAACGCCACATGGGTGAGCAGCAGCAACAAGAGGGACAGCAGGCACCTCTGCAGCAATAACACCATAATTCGAACCACAACCACAACCTATGATACCTAATGTTTTGGCAACGACTATGAAGATTTACTTCTTGAACCTGTATATTTCAGCAGCTACTCTTTACTCTTTTCTAATGACACAATTTGTGTGTCTATTTCTGGGGCTGGCTTCCGCATCTGTGGTTTGAGTTGAAGTCTGCTGGGCTCCAACCGTGGTATCGCGAAGCAGAGGGATGTAAAGTTAAAAGTTTGAGGAGAGCGGTACTAGATTTCGTTTTGTGCTTGTGAAAGGCATGGCGAGGATGTCATTTTCTGCGTTTTGGGATAGATTTGCTTGGACCTGATCTTGTTTACAGTACTGTTCCCTTGTCTGTCACGGATGTCGTGCGGATGTTAGGGAGAAAGGAGTTTCTCAGGATGGCATTGGGAACGACATTAGCAAGCATATACTGAGCTCTTGTCTGATATGAAATGGACAAGATTTGTCGAGATACTTTGGCCCACCATCTTGTGGGTTGGAAAGCTCTATACGTTCCAAGTGATATTCTGAACACGACCTGTACCGCGCTCTAGAAACTAACGCTGCTCGCAAAGAGCGAGCTATGGTCATTCGTGACCATCTATTCTCGCGAGCTTGACGTGTATTCATCTGGACAGTTTCTAATTATGCCTATGATTTAGTGTTCTTGATGATGGTCCCCCAAACTAAAGGGTCTATAAACGGGCACGCCTATGCAGTTGCCGTAGTACATAGTACGTCGTGGGCTCAATAGGCTCATTTTTCGGCTTAAATCATAACCGGTAAACTTGTTCCCGTGGATTCGAAAGTCTAGCCACGAGGTGTTGGTGCTGAAGGACGGCTCTCAACCCGCCCCCGCATTTCCGGATTTCCCCAGGTTTCTCGGTGAATTTTCAGCCGCGATTGGCCCAGATTGAGCCGCTGAAGAGGGGCCGTTACCGCTGTGGAGAGGAAAGAGGAGGGGACACAACTGGAAGGAGCAATGAGAGGAGAGAATCAAGGAAGGGACAGTTCGTGGCGGTGATAACCGAGGGTCAGACTCAGACGTTGCCATTTGCTTTATGTAACGGTGTAAATCCATGTTTCAGAGATCGAAGTGAGCTCATTCGGCCTCTCCCACGATCAAGCAGGACCGATTAGTATCGAAAGACATCTCATACATATGCGGGTCTCATGAGTTGTACTGCAATTGGACCATCAGCTTCTTACACCACTTTCCTCTCGACATATTCTCTCAATTCTTTCTTTGTTCAACACGACATCTTTAACTTCACATTCAATAAGTCATCATACTCTTCACTATGCAGACCGCAATACGTCAGAGCTTAAGACGAACGCATGTATACACAAGAACAGCCCTCAGAACGTGCCAGTTGAGAGGCTTGGCTACATCCAACTTGAGTATCCGATGGGGTCCTCAAGACGTACGTAAACAGATCCCATGAGTTTATGCACTCATGAAGATAACATAAATCTCATCGGATTCTAACGCATCGCAGCCTCCTCTCTACAAAGGCACGATCCCAGAACACTTTGCCTCAGTTGTCTCAGAGCATGGTGACCGAGAAGCAGTCATAGCTCGATCTGCAGGTGTCGATGCTCATGAGTCAACATTAACATATTACGCTCTTGACTCGCTATCCAACAGCCTCGCCCACTCTCTCTCCTCACTCGGTGTTCGTAAAGGAGACTGCGTTGCCATCTCGCTAGGCAATGGGCCCGAATTTGCAGCTCTAACCTACGCCTGCTTCAAGCTCGGCGCTATTCTGGTGCCGCTAAACCCAGGCTTCAACGAGCGTCAAGTAGCAGCTGCACTTAAGCACCTAGCCGTCGAGACTCTCATTATCGGCGCTGTGAAGGATCTGGCTTACAAACCTGGGAGGGGACGGAGTAATCAACATCTCCTGCAGGGCATTGTGGGAGATGTTTCGGCGTCCGAGATCCAGAGCGAGATGGTCCCCTCTTTGCGTAACGTTGTGGTTTTGGACAACTTGGCGCATCATCCAGATGTCAAATTTGACCTCAAGGCTTGCCGAGCTTTTACCCCTTATTCATCCCTTGTCGATGGCTCCGTGAATGCTGTGAATCCGGACTCGCCTTTGAAACCGAGTGATGTTATCAACATCCAGTTTACATCGGGCACTACGTCGCTCCCCAAGGCAGCTATGCTCTCGCACCGCGCCATTCTTAACAACGGTGCTTTGATAGCACATCGAATGGGTCTTCATCCCGACGATCGTATTGTTGTACCTCCTCCGCTGTTCCACTGCTTCGGCTGTGTTCTGGGATACATGGCTACGGCCACCACAGGCGCCGGTATTCTCTTCCCCAGTCCCGCATTTGATCCCGAGGCTACTCTTCGCATGGTAGTTGACCACGAGGCTACGGGTCTCTACGGTGTCAACACCATGCTAGTCGCTGTTCTGGAAGCCCTTGATCGGGGAGACGTTGTCTCTCAACCACCGCATCACCTACGCAAGGGTATCGTCGCTGGCAGCAGCGTGCCCCCTTCACTTATGAGTACCCTTTACAAACGCCTCGGTCTTGAGGATCTTGTGATTTGTTACGGTATGACCGAGACAGCACCCGTGAGCTGCATGACGAGTCCCTCGGACCCTGTTGACAAACGTACTTCATCCATTGGCCGCGTCATGCCACATACAGGACTCAAGATCGTCGATCCTCTAGACCATAGCAAAATTCTGCCCGTTGGAGAACGAGGCGAGCTTGCAGCATCAGGATATCTCGTCATGGAAGGTTATTACGGCGATGAAGCCCGCACATCTGAAGTCCGTGTGCCAGACCCAGATGATGGAACGATATGGATGTATTCTGGTGATGAAGCCGAGATGGATGAGCAGGGCTATGTACAAATTACAGGTCGTATCAAAGACCTCATCATCCGTGGCGGAGAGAATATTCACCCCTTGGAAGTGGAAGACTGTCTCCTGACTCATGAAGGTGTCCGGGAAGCTAGCGTTATAGGAGTTCCTGACGAGCGATATGGCGAGGCAGTCGCTGCCTTCGTCATCCCCGCACGCGGATGGACCCCGTTGGATCACATGGAAGACGTGCCCCTCGATAGAGCGAGGGCCAAAGAGGACGGGACCTTGACAAGAGATGGGCTGAGAGAATGGGTCGCGGCAAACCTATCCAAGCATCTCGTGCCAAAGTATGTCTTCTGGATTGACGAGTATCCTAAAACACCAAGTGGAAAGGTGCAGAAGTACAAGTTGAAGGAATACGCCAAGGAGATTTTGGGCGACGAGGGGGTAAAAACACAATGAATGATATAGGGGTGTTATTTGAAGTGGTATATTGTGTTGACAGCGTTAATCAAGGTATCTATCATTCGCATACTAGCTATCTTTCTCTTCTTGTTAAGACAGCCAAGCAGACATGATCAAAGTGTTCTTCATCCAAGTCCCTCAAAATCATAAAATGAACTTTTTTGGTCTTCATTACCAAGAATCAATCATCGTCTAATGGCGGCCGTCTATCTTTCACGGAGCTCCCCATTGCAAATTCCACGAGGTTCCTGGCCTCGATTGTTTTTTGCCGTTCTCCTCTACTGACCAAGTCATCGTAATAACAGAAAAGGGGGGAAACCGTCTCCAAAAATGCAATCCCCAAACATAAAGTGAGAAAAAACCGATCAAAATGCGAGCATCACTCGGGTGTGGAGTGAGGAATATGTGACGTGGAATCCCGTTAACTCCCGACTTGTTTCTTTGTCTAGTCGACCTGCTTCTCGCAGCCAATACGGCCCAGCAACTCCTTTCGATCGCTGTGGCCGGGAAGGCTGACACCTGAACTGCTGGCCTGCTTCTTGACGCCAGATCGGCGCTCCCAGTTGCGGAGATCGAGATCCTCGACGCCGACTTCTTCCTCGAGAGGCTGAGCCTCCTCATACACGAACTCCTCTTCCTCCTCCTCTTCGCCGCCCTCATCATCGCTTCGGACGTCTTCAGCATCACCTCCCTTGAGAACCTTGATGATGACACGGACGATCATGGTGAACCATCCGATGGTGATCACCTGGAGGAAGAGGAGGGGAGCAAGGAAACTCCACTTGACAGTCTCGTTGTAACAAACAAGACCCTCTGGGTTGATGAAGGGCTCGGCAAGGTATCCCCAGCCAGCTGGAGGATCAAAGGGACCGATCATGTTATCGTTGTTTCCCTTGAAGCAACCATTGGGCATGATCCTGGGGGTGTCGGAGTAAATTGACCAGCAGGCCGCAATGTACAAGACGTGGCGAGCAAAGAACCACGAAACAACGAAGAGGCCGAACATGACATCGCAGAGCGTAGTGAAACCACAGTACTTGAGACACTTGGCGAGCTGCAGTTTATTAGTGATTGGGCTTGGGGAGTTGAAGGTTTAGGACTCACAGGTAGAAACAGGTCAACAACATCCATGATGACGAGAATAAAGTTACCAACGCGAGTGTGGTGGTAAGCATAGCAAGCGAAGATCAGAGCGGTAGTGACAATGTGATGAGTAAACATCTGCCAGTGGTCCTTACGGCGCTCCTCAATGTTAATGACAATCATCTGCTGCAGCCAGAAAGCCCACTGGCAGAGAAGGTAAGACTTCATGATTCCATCAAGCTCGCGGTTGGGCCAGTCAGTCCAGAGGTTCTCCATGCTCATGTAGTGAGGAGAGGTGCAGTAGATGTACTATGTCCATGTCAGCGCGCATGTTTCCCCGATGACCGGTTTCAAACTTACCACACCCCAGGGCCAAAAGACAGTATAATAAACCATGAGCCAAGCCTGCTCGCTGAAGCGGGTCAAGTTCTTGCGGTTTGTGATGCCCTGAAGTCGGCCGATGGGCGCAAGAACGTATTCCATGGTGGCGGCGCGAAGGCCGGTGAAGAGAATGATGCAGAAGGTGATGAAGTAGGCATCATCGTAACCGATGCGGTATTGTCCAGATTTGGAGTTAAAGTAGCTGAGATGGAAGAATTTCTGTGTGTGTTCTCGAGCTTTGGGGATGAACGTCTGCGCGAGGAAGATAAGGCAGAGAAGGTTGAAGGAAAGACCTAAAGAAATGCGATGTCAGCTTCGGCCCAATAATACAAGATAAGATGTCCAGATCAGATCGGTGCAGATACACGGGTGCAGGCCAGCAAGTGATCAACCTGTCCAAGAGCGGCATTGCTGAAGGTAGCGTAGCGTAGCGTAGCATAGCAGGACAGGCAGGACAGGACCCTGAAAGCTAGAATGGGAGGGTTGCCGTGCCACGCGGGGTGCCGCTCAAGTGCGACAGCCATTCCCAAAAAATGCCATCAAACAGGCCCTAGGTCCAAATCCGACCTGACACCCTGGCTTTGGCACCGGAACCCCCACAGTATCGAGATCCAGGCTTGATACGGAAAAATAGGAGGTTGGCGAATTGGAGGATAACGTACCAATTTGGTTCTCAACGAACCAGCGTGAGAGGTGCTTCCAGGTGCTCTCCTCCTTGCGCTTGAGTCGGCGGACAAGGACCGTCTTGTTACCAGCAGTTTGCATGTAGAGAGGGCCGTTCATGTTCGGTGTGCTGTTATCCTTCTTAAGTCGTGGGCGTGGGGCAGCACCAGTGGGTGAAGCAGGATTGGCGCTACCATTCGAGACTGCAGCTTCGTCTTCTGTTGACGAAATGATGGCAGCGTCTTCCAGGATCACTACTTCGTCTGCGATTGGCTTCTCGCTGGTCACAGAAGGTCCTGCGACAATCTTGTCTTCGACCTGCATGACTGGATCGTCGCTCATGATGGAGCGCCTATTGTAGAAATTGTGCTTTCTCGTACAGCTTCGCTCTGTCTCGTATAAGAGGGTGCCGTGTCCTTTGCCTTGGCTCTGCGGCAGAGAGGCGTTGAGCTGTGGCTGATAGTGGGCGGGCTGAAAGGAGGGAGGGGTCCAAGGTCCGCGGGTCGGAGGCCACAAGATGTAAAAAATTGGGGGAGAGTGATGGATCAGGGAGTTGAGTTGAGAGATCAAGTCGCCTGCACTGTCGACGTTTCGTTCTGTTTATTATTCTCGTGAACGGAAGCGGGGGGGAGGAAGAGGTCGGCGAAATGATACAGCGATGGAAGATAAAATCGAGATCCAAATTCAAATTCAAGTCCAAATCCAAACCAAAAAAAAAGTCAAGGCTCCCCCGTCGCTTCGCTTTTGAGGTCCTGCGTAGATACCAAAGCAAAAGCCGTTGGGTTCAACCAAAGCCTTGTTCTTCAGCAAGTAACTACTGAACAAGGACGAGACCAGAGGCAATGGAGAGGTCGAGTATGGAGGAGGAGAAGGAGGAGGAGGAGAAAAGTAGAACAAGTCCAAACCAGGATCGGGTAGGTAGCCAAAGAAAAGAGAATGGGATCCCGATGAATTTTGAACCCCCGATAACTACTATAAACTGGCTCTAAAGAAAGAGATGCAGGCCCAAGGCTCGTAGGGGGTAGGGGGTAGCGTAGCGGGGGGGTTTACGGGGAGCCACCTAGTCTCAGGGTGTCCACTCACTGTAGGGGCCTGAGGGGCCAGAGGGGGCCCGCGGGCAGGCGAGACCTGGGCGGGAGGAGTTGAGGGAGAGGGGTGCCCCACAGCGGGCATTTCCAAAGGCGGTGAGCAGAGATGTGCGACTGTGATGTGCTGAAATATCCGTCCAACTTGGTTGATCAAAATGAGATCAAAGGTGATTGAGTGATCAAACGCGGTGACGGGACATGGATGCGATTAGCCTCAGAGCTGCACTGAGGGCATGCCTATTCAATTGAGTCTAATTGGTCCCTTTCTTCTGCTATTCACTTCCAAGATGCTCCAACAACGATTTCCTGTCTGCATTCATCGTGATGCTCAGATCACCCAGATCACCTCCTCCCATTCATACCCCTGCAGCCATACAGCATTAATGAACACTCCAATTCCGAATAAGAATAAGGTGGATGGATGTCACCCTCCATTAGAAACAAAGAAAAAGACCAATCTGCACCTGTCAACCCATGATATAGCCTAACCGCACGCATCTCATTCCAAGGAAATTTCCCCATCAACAACCAAGATTCGATTCTAGATGGCCCTGGACTAATGGAAGGGTCCTAGCTTCAGCTCCAGGGGACGGGAGTCGACCTCCAGGCTCAAAAGCCACCGTTGCTCAAAGCTTTGTCTGATATTGTTGAGAGCTGGAGGACCAGATAAGCCAATAGGAGCCCTTCGCTTTCCGGTCCCTTTCTTCCAATTGCCCCTCTCCATCTTTCTTTTCTCATTATTATTGACAACCCAGTCCTCTTAAGCTTTTAGCTTAGCTAGCACCCTACCTAATCTGGTGTGCTCCGTCAGAACTGCACTGCACCGTAGATCTTTCTCTTGTAAAAGGCCCAAGCCAAGTTACCCCTTTTCTTTCTGCCAATTGTGTCCCGTCTGCGCGATTCGGGTGGCGGCTTGCTTTCCGAAAACCCTAGTTTCTCGCTTCGAGAGAAAAGACAGCAGAAGGCTCTTGGAGGCAAAAATACACATATCTTGCTTGTCTAGAACCTATCTACTCTATACGAACAAAGTACAGTACTGCGCTGCAGCAACATGTTAACCAAAGATACAGTCCGGTTAAGTGAACTACCGCCACAGGGGTCGGTTCCTAGTCTATGACTTCCATTGATTAACGTTCACATTGACCTATTCCCCCACTATGGAACCCTGGCTGCTTCAGGCCAGCACTCACTGGGCTGGTGATGATTTCTTGAACATCAATTGGTCAATTCATCAGGTGGGCTTCTGCAACCTCGGTACATACTACGTACCCAAAGCACGGGATGGATTCGAGATGGATGATTTGGTTCTGCCCTGGTCGCTTCAATTCAAGTATCTCAAGCAACTTGATACGTAACAATAATCAAGTCGCTAGCTTGCTTCAACGGGGAGCAGTAGTCGAGAGAGGCATGAAAGACTGACCGAATCAGTATCCTCCTTGAGATATCACAGAATTTCGGACATATAAATTAATTCTCTTATTCTAAAGTTTATCAGAAAAGTAATCATTTCAATGAAAGCGTGTCTGCCATTAGACTCGGACTTGATAAACACACCAAGACAGATATTAAATGGTAAAGTAATTTGTTTTACATCCTTTGACAGCAAATTGAAGTTGTCTTGGGAAAGATCTTGCCCCCGAGGTTTTCTCTCCACCTCCTTAAGTATGACTGACCAGGTGGCCTGCCTCGCATCCCAGAAATGCTAGGTTCTGACCCACCATTGAAACAGTCTCCTCTAAGATCTTTTTAACACGAGACTGTTTGATCTAGGCTTTGTTTTAAGCTACCATCCATAGTACCCCTCATAGATACCTGTCCAGTCCAGCTATTTTCATGATACTCAACCCAGAGGTAGCATGCGATGATATGTGCTAGCCATCACCCGACTTGTCCACAGAACTGCACTCTTGCGGAGTTGCTCCACAACCAGATAGCTGCGCAACTTAAGCTGCAGCTCACTTGGCAATGACATGCTTGTCTATAATCATGATGTGTAAAACCACTTACGGATACTATCCAACTTTTCACGCCAGGTAATCAAAGCTTCGACTCCATTAGCAAACTTCTTTAGCTTTCAGTCAGCTAAATCTTGCGTCAGTCATGCTATTTCCAGTAGATCATGAGATCTAGTTTCTGTCCCAAATAGATAAGAATGCTAAGACAGACAAATTCCAAACTCCCATTCATGATATGCACCAGTTATAGGTGATTAATGTACCATGCTTCCTTTTATTTTATTTTATAGATAATAGGTAGTCTTATTAGAGATTTATCCTTCATATTGTACATTATCCGTTTAGAATGGTCCAGCTACAAACTGACGCCATACTCTGCACCGCCACTGGTTCCCGAGCTGCCTAAAACGCCACACATTCCCCATTCTATCCCCCACATGACCTCCCTCAAGCGCCTCGGGCTCCCTCTGGGTCTCGCATCATCGATGAGCAACCCGAACTTTCCATCATTACAGCCACTTTAACCTCGGACCACCCTACCCTGCCACGACATCTTCTCGACAACCTCACGTCTTCGAAACCTCATCAACACCAAAACAAAGAAAGTCCTATTTCTCTCCTCGCGCAGTATCACAGCCGTCATGGCTTCCAAGACCAAGTACCAGGCTGCGCCTCAGAGTGACCCCGACGACGACTACACCCACGCGCCTCCCGCCTACGCTGAGGGTTCCGCCGCTCGCGATGAGACACAAGGTCTTTTTGGTGCGCCCCGCGATAGCGAGGACAACCTCCCTGATGACTTCAAGGTAGGAATAGATGCATCCAAAGCACGGTAGATGGAAGTTGCTGACATGATATTAAGTTTGGCGGTTCTGTGGCTGAGGCTACCGTCGATATTCGCAACCAGTTCGTTCGCAAGGTCTACACCATTCTCACTGTTCAGCTCCTTGCCACTGCTGGAGTGAGCAGCCTCACATTCTTCAGCACTGGCTACAAGGACTGGATTCAGAGCCACCCTGCTGTCGTTTGGGCCTCGGTATGTTGTCACCAAATCTTGAAATCATGAACATGACCGACTAACAAATCACAGCTCTTTGGTGCCATGATCTTCATGGGCTTGACCTACTGGAAGCGCAAGTCCTACCCGACCAACCTTCTGTTCCTGTCTCTCTTTACTCTCGCCGAGGCCTACACCATCTCTGTTATAGTGTCGTTCTACAAGACGTCCATCGTTCTCAACGCTGTTGTCCTAACCGCCGGTATCTTTGTCTTCCTTACGCTCTTTGCTTGCCAGACCAAGTACGACTTCACCTCATGGATGCCTTATCTCTTCGGTGCTCTTTGGGGTCTTGTCATCTTCAGCTTCATGGCTATGTTCTTCCCTTACAGCTCCACCGGCGAACTCATCTATGGTGGCCTTGCCGCTCTCATTTTCAGTGGCTACATCCTGGTCGACACCCAGCTTGTCCTTCGCCATCACCACGTCGAAGAAGAGATCGCCGCTGCTATCAGCCTGTACCTCGACATCATTAACCTCTTCCTTGCGATTCTGCGCATCCTCAACAGCCAGTCTAACAACTAAGTGCTGTCGACCTGCAAAGGACCCCATGCCGCGCAGATAAATGAACCAAAACCTTAACTGTTGTTTTCCCATGTTATAAAGATTGTGTTGTATGAGCTGTGTTTGGATCCAGAGATATCTTAATCGGTTTGTTATGGGCGGCTCCTCGAGTGATACCGTCAGCTTTGGCGTTTGGGAGAAAGCTTGGTTTCTTCTGTTATAAATTGTGAGCTGCTTAAAAAGCTCTTTCCTAGTTCAAAACAATTATCAATCACTATTGCCAATCTTGTCGGTCAGTGCTCCTCGCAAGGTAGCAGCTACGGATTTACAGTTGAAAACGAAGATGGTTTGATAGTCGAATTACAAAAAATATTGAATTTATTTGATATCAGCATTAGAAGGCCACTAGAAAAAAGAAACAATCAAGGATGTGTCGTCCAAGAAGGGACAACAATGTACGCCCAACACAAGTCTAATATGACCACAAGATGGCACCAGGACACGGCGATATGTCCTATCCGCCAGCCGTCTGCATGTATCGTGTCGTAATACGGGTGTCTTCATCCCTCAAGACACTCCCCGCAAGCTGCGTCCCTACAACAGAGCACATGCATAATAACCTTCCCTTAAGGATGCCTCGAGACAGGGAACCGCCTGCCACGTCTAGGTGGCATCTCAACAATCCTTCAAAGAATTGAAAGCGGCTGTCGAGTGAAGCAGGGCGGTGATGAAATAAAGAAAACGACAACTCAGTTCTTCAGCAGCAGGGGGAATATTCTCATCTTTCTCTTCAGTCGTGGGAGAGGAAAAACCAACGCCAGCAATAGACAATAGCCCAACGTCGCATTTTTGAAGCACCGGATAAGACCTAGAATATGAGGTTATAGGTCTAGTTGATCTGCTCCTCGCCATTGGGCTCGGGTGTGGCAGCAGCATGAGAAGCAGCCTCTCGTTGCATACGAGCCTCAATCTCGCGGAGCTGAGATTCGCGAGCAAGAAGCTCCTGTCGCTTCTCGTTGATCTCGCGCTGCACCTTGAGCTCGATCTCTCGCAGCTTCTCTTCCTCTCGTCGGAGTTGCTCCTCCTTGAGGCGGACGGACTGGGAGGCAAGGTCCTCGGGGTTCATTGAACTGTCGGCACTAAAGAAAAGGTCAGATATATACGATTTGATGGATTCGGATGAAAACTCACTTTCCGGAAGCACCCTCGACGCTCTTAGACAGCTTCTCGGTACGGTAGTTCTCGTACAAGAAGTCGTGGGTGATTTCCTTCAGATCAGCCAAGTGGCTGTGGAGCAGCGCAGATCGAATAGCGAGAAAATCGGAGTGACGAGGGTTGTCGACCTCGACGACACCCCAGGGATAGTGACGAGCGCGGACCTTGCGGCCACCAATCTCGACAACATCCTCAGATCCAACAATGGCGAAAGGCATGAGACCACGGAGCTCGGCATTCTCCTCGACGGTATCTTCGTCGTCCTCCTCGATGTCGTAGGGGAAGTTGTAGACAGGGATGCGGTAGTGCTCGATATCCTCCATGACCAGCTTCTTTGACTCAGCGAGCTCAGCGGGGGTGAGCGAGTCGGCGCGGCCGATGACAGGAATAACGTTAACACGGGGTGCGAGGCGCTTCATGAGCTCAATGTCGAGTTCTCGGAGACTACAAAGATTAGTCGGAAGTGATAAATTGGGGCGTCATCTTGGCATACCCATGGCCAGTAGGTGTGATAAAGTAGAGCATAGCATGTACTCGGTTGTCTCTGAAACGAGGGTTACGCTTGATACGGGACTCCTCGGCAAGAATGTCATCGTATTGCCTCTCGAGGTAACCAACAATCTCTGAAAAGCTAGCATTGGGTTAGTGGAAATGTGAAGCAGTACTACGAGGCAGCCCTTACCTGGCCTCGTTATCAATCTGGTCGCCAAAACCGGGAGTGTCGACAATGGTCAGAGAAATACGGGTGCCCTCCTCGTCAAGCTCGAGCTCTACTCTGGGGTCAGTAATGTACACACGAGCTTTGCAGATATTGAAAACACGTACCAACAGTGATGGGCTTGATCTTGACGCCATCCTCAACATGCGCGCTGCCAGAATCATCGGACTCCTTGTGATCGAGCACGGTCTTTCCGCAGAGAGTGTTGACAAAGGTGGTTCGGCCTATCAGATGTGAGTTTGCCATCCAATTATGAACGTAGCGAGGGGGCGATGGCTGTAGTCGCAGCGTTTCTCGCGGAGGGCCACGTACCAGTGCCTGAAGCACCGCACACCATCAGGCAAAACTGAATACCCTTCTTGACATTCTTCTTTCGGCGGATCATCTTCTATTGGGGAGTACGAGTCAGCTTGCTGTAATTCCTATGCCGCAGTCGCGCGAGAGTTTGATCCCCAAGAATTATGCGGAAACGGTAGCTTTATCGGCGGGAGCATCCAACATAACGGGGTCGAAGGGAGATAGCACATACGCCCATGGACGACATCTTGAAGATCGGGTTCGGGGGGTGACGAGGCTAAGCTGAAGGTGAAGCTAAACGGCGTTGGTAACGAGAGAAATAGATCAAAAACACCAAGGTTGAGCAACGACTCGAATCGAGTATGGTTTTGCGGTGGTTGAAGTGGAAACTTGGGGAACCTGAACCAAGGGGAAAATGTTAAAGGAGGCTAGGAGCCAGGAGAGAGGATACGGGTTGGGTTGGACTTGGCTGCTCTGCTCAAGGGGTAGTATGGGCAATTTCGCACCTGGCCAATCGCTCTTGCTCTGAGATTCAGGGGAAGTGCCTAAGTACAGAGGGGACGAGCAGGTGCACCCCTACCAAATCCACACTTTGCGTGTCCAAACGCCCTGTCAAGCCTGACCGCCTCCCGTCCAAGGGACCACTTAGCGGGACCCTTCACTGGCTCACAAGCCTTGTTGTGGCGCGTGCTTGCTACCAGAGCTCTTCGTTTTGTTTCACCACGTGATGTGGCACTTCTCAATCTCAGCCACAAATGCTCTCTGGTAGAAGTGGTTGATTGCATGCTGTGGCTGTATGGTACCGTGACGCGGTTGAACAAGTCGAACCCAAGAGTATCTCTCTCTTACACCAGACACTTCTCTGTGTATGCTCCTGGTTTTGGACATGAAATACACTTACCGTAAACCCATCTCTCGCCCTCTTATAGGCCCCTAATTCGTTCTCGCATATCTTGACGCCCTCTTACACCCTAATAGATAAGTCTCAGTACATGCTGCATTCACCAAAGCGGGTGGACCTGTAAGCGACATCAAACGCAGATACATCGGCGACGCATAAGTTTCCAGCCCAAATAAGCTTCGATATGCTATTAGACCGATGGTAAAATCTCTGGAATATTTCAACCTGGACTTTTTTTCTACTGAGATCTAAGAGTCAACAACACTACGCCCTCCGCCGGCTACCCCTCTCAGCCCTGGATCCGGACCATTCCTTAGGTCTATACACCACTTACACACATAAAGTCACTCGCCATGAACGTACGTCCGCCCATCGAGGCTTCCAGTACCGAAGCTGTTTTGTCTGTCTCGTTCAATAACGATGCGAGTTGCTTTGCCGTTGGACTTGATTCTGGTATCTGCAGTAAGTTATTGGCTGCGGTCAATGTATATAACCTCGCTGACAGTCGTGCCTCAGTCTTTCACACAAAATCATGTCTTCTCAAGGCTTCAAGAGGTACGTTCGCTTAGGCACAGCATTGTATATGTTCTCACACACTTACAGATTTCAATGCCGGTATTGGTCTCGTTCAGATGATGGGTATGACCAATTATCTCGCCCTTGTTGGTGGTGGTAGATCTCCCAAGTTTGCGATGAACAAAGTAAGTGGTCACAAAGAGTCACCGAAACTGGCACTAATTCGTCGCCAGGCCATAATATGGGACGACATGAAGGGCAAGGTTGCTTTAGAAATAACAGCTCTTACAGCCGTTCGTGGTGTTCAGCTAGGTAGGGAGCGCATCGCCGTTGTCCTACAAAATAGTGTCCGCGTCTACTCCTTCGCCAAGCCTCCAGATCTCCTCCACGTCTATGAGACTTCAGACAATCTTCTCGGTCTCTGCTGTCTCTCAGAGAAGAAGCTTGCTTTCCCTGGCCGGACCGCTGGACAGATACAACTCATCGAGTTGGCTACCGGCAATGTCAGCATTATTCCTGCTCACTCTTCAGCCCTTAAAGCTATTGCTCTGAGCCCAGATGGCGAACTTCTTGCCAGCGCAAGTGAAACCGGAACTCTCATCCGTGTCTACTCTACAAGCAACTGCGCAAGACTTGCCGAGCTTCGCCGTGGTATTGATCCTGCCACTATCTTCTCCCTCGCCTTCTCACCCTGCGGCACCATCCTCGCTTGCACCTCCGACAAATCCACCCTGCATGTCTTCGATGTCCCTCATCCACGAAAGCCAGGAATGAATCGAAGTCAACAGCTTGGTGCTTCTGGGTCAGATCCCGGAGATGGAACCGGGAAGTGGGGCATTCTTAGCAGGATTCCCTTAATGCCTCGAGTCTTTTCCGATGTTTACTCCTTCAGTTCAGCGCCCTTTGAGGCTGGGGATGAAGCTGCTATTGGGGGCATCCCGTTCTCGGAAAGCACAGTTTTGGGAACAACTCGGCCGCCAAAGGGCGTCATTGGCTGGATCGCCGATGACAGTCTTGTGGTCATTGGGGCAGGACACGATGCGCGATGGGAGAAGTTTGTTATTGTAAATGGTGAAGATGGCAAGCGACACTGCGTGAGGGAAGGTTGGAAACGGTATCTGGGCAACACATGAACAAGGCAAAAGAATGCCATAAGACAAGCTAACGATAACAAGGAAGACGACTCTTAATGCTGGGCAGACCTGGATGGGCGTTTTTGAGGATTCAGGATAGGCAGAGACATATTGGTTTGAGTGATGTTGTATTAGATCCTGCTGTGCTTTTAATCGTCGCGCCGTCGAGGCGATCGACTCCTACTCCGTTTTCTCGACTTTTTGCTCTCGTAGTCGTCTTCTCTGCGTCGTTTCTGCCGTGACTCCTCATTGTCATCTCTCTGCCTTCTGTGCTCTCGATCGGGCTCCCTCCTTCGATCTCGGTCATGTCCACGGTCATCGCCTTCTTTCCTTTCCCTAGGTCTGTCCCTATCCCCGTCCCGCCTCCTAGTTCTATCTTTATCGTCGTCTCTGCGTCGCGAGTCCCTATCTTGGTGTCGTTTGTCTTTGTCCACGGGCGTCTCGTCTCGTCTCGATCTGCGATGCTTGTCTTCATCGCCCTCATCTTTTCTTGATCGATGTGATCGATGGTGTCTGTGCTTGTGTTTACGATCTTTCTTCTCTGCTTTGCGCCGTGCCTCCTCGACTTCTTTCTTCTTTTCTTCGATAAGGAAGCCCTTCATAGGATCGTCATCATCGTGGTCCTGCATCAGGAGCGCAAGTTCCCTCTCTTCTGGTAGCATGGGTCGCTTCACCTCCTCCTCGCTACTCTCGTCTTCCGACATGGCCTGTCCCTCACGCTTGGCCATATCCTCCCAGCCGACCTTATACTCATCTGGATCTTCGTCGTCTCGCGCCTTGTATCTCGCGTGATCAACACTGATCAAGCGACCGCCAATGTCTGCTCCACCCAGGTTGTCGACTGCTAAATCGGTACTTCTTTGGTCCTCGTACTTAAGCCATCCGAAACCCTTCGACTTGCCAGTCTCTTTGTCGCGAGCGAGCTTCAGAAAGACAGGTTCTCCGAATTGTGAGAAGATCGTGATAACGTCGCCTTCGGATAGTTCGTAAGGTAGACCGCCAAAGTAGACGTAGGCTGTGTCGCGATAGTCTGTATGCCATGATCCTTCTGGGGTGCTGAGCGCGATTGTTAGCAATGCTCTCTGCAACTGCTCAACGGAGTCTGTTGAATGCTTACATTCCATTTTCGATTTCTTTCTTATTCAGCGCTTGAATTGCGCGTATTTTATTCATTGTATGTTGCTCTCTGCTTCGTGCGCAGCTTTGTCAAAGTCCAAGAATTATATCATATCAAAGTCGCATTTAACGTCAGAATAAGTTGCTGCGTCCACTGGAGCTTTAGGGAGTCCGTGCGCTAAGCTGTAGCGCGCAGTTCCTTTTTGGCGGGACAATTTCCGGACCGAACGCTAAAGTGACGGGGTGTTCTCCAAGTGCCAATGGGGAATTGAATAGGTTGGTACGTGGTAACCCTGGCCACGTTGGGGCTTTTTGATGAAGGACAGCGGTCGACGACATCTACTTACTACAAAGCACCAAGAGCGTTGACAACCGATTTACTTACACCAGACTATCTACGGCTGCGAAGCAATCATACGAACGAGCCGAGGGTCTGCGGCATCATACCTCCTCTCACTGACGCGGAGTAAAGATGCTCCTACGACAACCTTGATCAATCTCCTTTTAACATTATCAAGACAACATCAAACGCGTATCTCCTCCTAGACGTCGATCCAAAGCAATCTCACCAGCAAATACCAAGCCTTTTCTGCGATCGGAGAGCCTACTTATGGGCTAAACGACCACGAATCAGTCCTGTAATTAGTTTGCCAGCGAGCTCGCTGAGCCAACACACAGGGTCATGGCGGGCAACACGAACAGAGTGTCGATCTATACAACTGGATCAGGGGGGTCTGAAGGTCGTGATGGCGAAGAAAAGAAGGATCTTTGGACATCTATGCTGGAGTCCGTCGCGAGCGGCAAGCGACTACCAGAAAAGAACCTCATCGTCCTAGGTATGCAGTACGAGATAACCTCGTCAAAGAGCTCGAGTAGCTGATTATAATCTTCTGGGACTCAGGTGGAACTCCCGAACATCAAAGAGACTTTCTCGAATCTCTGTCCAGCTCCGAGTCAAGGCGCAATGCGGACCGGCTTAAGATCCCACCGATTGCCAATAACTTTGCCCTTGGCTATACATACTACGACGTCCTTGACGCCGATCAAGACGGTTGGTGGATGCAAATCCAATACAGCTCCAAAGTGCAACACTAACAACTCTAGATACCTTGGCACGAGTGTCGCTCTACTTTCTTTCGCAACCTTCTACCGAGTTCGCGTCTCTCGTCGCACCTCTCCTTACCCCTGAGACTATTCCCAACACCTCTCTCATTATCCTTCTAGACTGGTCGCAGCCGCACTTATGGCTGCGACAAATATGGACGTGGGTCCAAGTTATCCAAGAGGTCTTGAAAAAGGTTGATACAGATCAGCATGCCCTTATGGAAGAAGTAATGTCTACCTGGAAGGAGAGAGGCCGCGGAGGCGCAGCAACTAATCTAGACGGAACCCCTTCAGCAACGGTCACTGGAGGTGATGCTGACAGCTCACTTCCTCTAGGTCCAGGTGAATGGGAGGAACCACTGGGTCTGCCACTTTGTGTGGTGTGTCAAAACGTAAGAACTGTTTTTAACGATCAAGTATCAATCTGTTAACACATTCAGGCCCAAAAAATGGAGTTTCTCGAAAAGAATCAGGGCTGGAAAGAACCCGATTTTGACACGGTACTGCAATATCTGCGAACAGTGTTGCTGAGACGTGCGTTAACCTTTTCACTAATACACTGCTTCAAAGGCTAACAATATCTAGACGGTGCTTCGCTTATCTACACCTCACAAGATGCGCCCTCCCAGCTACCATCACTCATCCACTCAACCCTTGGAATCACATCTCTTCTCAAGCGCCACCCTCTAAAGCATAACGTCATCGACCGTGATAAGATTGTCGTTCCTACAAACTGGGATTCATGGGGGAAGATTCGTGTCCTGGGCGGTTCCTTTGACGCTGAGCAGGTCTCCAACTCATGGTCCGAAGATATCAGCACTCCCGCTGATTCTATGCGCTTTGGCGACAACGAAGATCAAGCGGATGAGCTGGATGAGGAAGAAGAAGAGGAACGACAACGGAAGAGTGCGATTGCGCGTTACGAGGGATGGTGTCGTGATCCCAATAGCGGCGGCCTTGCTGTCGTTGAAAATGCCATGCACGGCGAGAAATGGATAACCGTGGAGAGCGACGATACTCAAGACTTCCTCGAGAAACAACTTAAGATTCTCGAGGCATTCAAGGCCAAACAACCGGAGAAGGGCACGGACAATGCCATCGCCCGCAGCACACGTCATATCGACTACGGTAACGACGAGAAGAGTATCAGTGAGCACATTGGCCCTGTGCAATTCAACATGGGTGGCATTCAAGTTGACGCTGATGATATGCTACAACGCCTTAAGGTAAGTCATGATCAGCATTGTTCCCCTATGAAAGATCTTATTGACAAGAACAGGACCGCAATGCATATTCCTCATCACCCAGCAATGAAGAGGAGGAAACAGATACACCTGCTGCAAATATGGCCAAGGACTTCGACAATGATCAGCTGCAGAGTTTCTTTACTGGTTTGATGAATCGCAAGGGGACCGCAGACACATCCCGATCTTGAGCCAAGCGTTTGTAAATAATCAGCCTGAGGCATTGTAGATGACTCTCCTCCTCAGACACACTAAATCACAAGCCCATATGCTCAGTGAGTGCAAAGGATCTTTGGAGAGAGGTGCCGGTGGTCGATGTAGATTAGATACCCCAGGAATGATAAATTTGATCACATTTTGCACACGTGCACCAAGAAAGTAGCAATAAAACTAAGTGCGTCTATCAAGTTATCAGGGTACTTTTCACTCTTTCAAAGGGTTTGCTGAACTTCAACGAAGCACCCGGAACCAGGTCTCCCTTTATGTCTTATCAACACCACGCTTTCCTTGAACGCCGTGGACTCAACACTGACTGATCATTCGTCACAACATTCTCACAGCCAACTCCAGCTTGGTCGTTAGTCTCCAGTGTTTTGTACGTCCGTATGCTGGCGTTTTTAACTACCCAGTCTTGCCGTGACAACACCTCTGAGCAGACCAGGGAAAAGCCAAGGGTGCTGTACTACTTCGACCTCGAACGCATTAATCGTCTGACGGGCTTTGGTGGCGAAATCGCTGTCTGGCAAGAGGGATGCAAGACGAAAGAGATTGCTTGCGCTGACAGCGTTTGTTGATGGGAGTGAGGTGTCCATGCCGTCCTTGAGACGGAGAATCGTGTGCGGGCTATGCATTTGAGTAGTAAAGAAGGCGCCGTCGGCATCGTAAAACAAAGAGATTTGGGTTTCTGCGGTAGTAAGCGGGATTGTAACGTAGAGATGGAGTATGTGGCAACTTACGCTGCAAGGTATTAGCGAACTCGCGGTACTCTTGGTTCCCTGTCAGCTCGAGAAGGTCCAGCAGGCCTTGAATAAGATAGGCATAATCATCTGCAAAAGCAGCTTGTCCCCTGCCTCCGGACCGTACCCTATAAAGGGTTTTCTCGTTACTGTCCCAAAGCTTCTCTTTAACATATATAGCAGCTCTTTCCGCAGCACTCCTGCACTTCGAACTTTGCTCAGGTCGCAATGCCTTTAGTGCTGAGGCCGCCTTAGCAAGTGCGGAAATAACCAGGCCGTTCCATCCTGCAACGACCTTGTCATCCAACTCAGGTCGCACACGCTCTTGTTCCCTCCTCCTCCTCAACGCCGTTCTTCCTTGTTCGACATACTCTCGAATCTTGTCCACAGGCGTACTGACATGGTTGCTAAACTGCTCAATGGGTGTCTTGACCCAGACTATGTTCTGGTTAATAAAGTCATCGTTGGGGTCGTTCTTCTCTTCAACATTTCCGTCTTTATTGATATTCCAGTAGGCGGCTAGTATTGGGCTCATGTGGCTGTCAATTTCGTCGAGGACCGAATCGAATTCCCGCCGTGTCCAAACATAGTAAGCGCCCTCGTGTTTCTCTGTGTCGCCCTGTCTATAGCAGGAATCGGCTGCTTCACTTGTAGCAAATCCGCCCTCGGGAAGGGCAATCGGAGACGTAGTTAAATACTCAACAAGCTCAACAACGACATCGAAAAACTCGGCCGTTTCGCCTCCGCCTCCTTCCTCCCACGCGGTAATATAAAGGGAAAGCAACTGTGCGTTATCAGTCACGAGCTTCTCGAAGTTTGGTATACTCCAATCCGCCGTAACGGAACAACGCGAGAATCCAGTGCCGCCAATATGATCATGCAGCGCTCCATCACGAATACGGCGCAGCGTATCCAGTGCGATGTTGGTAGCATGTCTGCAATCGAGGTCTCCAACAACGTCCTGCACGGCTCTTGGGAGTCTCGATAATCCTAGCAAAAAGGCCAACTTGGGTGGTGTCAGATACTTGGGCGCCAGGCCGAATCCTCCAAACACCGGATCGAAGGTGCCAGCAATATGGGTATATGCCTCTTCTAGTTGATCTAAATCCAGCTCCTCCGATACCGTAGTGTTCTTTTCTTGGACGGCACTTGTATGACCAGGCGTTGGTGCACCCCAACCAGCAGGTCCCAGTGCCGAAGATGCCATGATACCCCGTTTACCTAGCGTAGCTACCGTACCTAGCGTACCCTCGGCTGCGAATTCTTTAAGTTGGCTGACAACGTCGGTTGCCTCCTTTCGACATCGAGCTTCCTGGTCACTCCAGATGTCGCGAACTTTCTTGAAGATAGTAAGCGAAGCGGGGGGCTCATCGGTGCTATCGTCGTTGAGATGTCGCCGTCCCGCAGGTCCAAACCAGTAGGTACCACCAAAGACAGGCTCCAGATTTGGTGTGAGGAACACGTTCAAAGGAAATCCACCAGAATTGTTGACGGCTTGAACGTAGTTCATATATATCGCTTCAAGATCGGGGCGCTCATCTCGATCGACGATAACTGGTATGAAGGACTCATTCAAAATAGAAGCCGATTCAAGGTTGGAGAAGGTCTCGAGCGACATGAGGCGGCAAACTTGTGCTATTAGCAATCAAATACAAGGTAGATACGGCTCGGAAAGGCGATCGATCACGCGACTTACAGTGGCATGCCTTGTAACCAATATGGAGGAAGATTAGTTTGTTCTCTTTGCGCGATCGTTCAATAGCCTCGTCATTGAAGAGCTGCCACGAGACCAGGCTCTTGGCCTGATCGCGAATGTAGGGGCTTTGACTGGTAGCCGCGAGGTTCTGCAAAGGTGCGAGGGGCTTGGGTAAGCTGGAGCCCGACTCATCACCACTTACAGGCGTTGAGCGCATGGCTATGGCGGACGCGGTGAGCTCCGAAGCTACCATGATGATGCCTGTGCCTGGTGGTATTGTCCGACCTTGCGTTTTGGTCGACGGTCGTCGTGAGGCTAAAGCGGAAAGTAACTCAGGTCTACGCCCTCTGGTGGGGAAGGCTGCAGCTGTGTAGTATTTCCTGTACTGCGATAAGGTACCTTACTGTAACAGTACAGGTATGATGATGTAATAGCTATAGCCTACAGCTCTCGTGAGGTCTTGACGAAGCTATCCCTCAATACCGTGGCGATACGATGTTGGTGTTGATATGGAGGAGGTAAGTCAGCGAGTTGCATGTGAGTCGCCAAGGTTTCCTTCTTGAAAGGGCGTGAGTAATCACTCGCTAAGGTTAGTGACTATTTAACGGGGGAGGCTTCTCGACTTTTAGAATGGATTCCAATAGAAGCCATGTCGAGTGGTGACCTAGAGAAGGAGGGAGACTCTAGCGGGGTCTCGTCAGGTCAGTCGCGGGGCATTGATCTAGCGCCGTTTCCGTCTTTGGTAAGGTCAGGGTCTCTCTACACTCTACATGGACTTTCATGAGTCAAGTATCTTTAATGCCGTGTTCTCTGAGTCGCGTAGGCTGTTTCAACCTCGGACCCCGGGGCCCTTTGAGCTTGAAGACAGTTCACACTTCCCTATGTTCATATATCACTGGTTATCAAAGAGTGCAACCTTCGCATTCAAAGAAAGGGAGCAGGGTGCCTCGTTGACTGATAGATAGTCATGAGAAGTCTTGGTGGCTAAGATCTAGCTACCCTGGAGGCACAATGGCAACTCATGTGAAGGAACTGCAGGAACTTGTTCGGCTCAAAGGAGCTTGTCACACACCATACGCAGGTACCCATTACAATGGCACAGGCAGTGGTGGCTTGGTAGATAAGACATGAGCAAGAACACTCAATACGGTTGTTTGCGGGTGTATATGCGGAATTGACCAAGTAATTACGACCAAAGGTATGACATGATACGACGCGGATATCAGAACAAAAGAAGCATATTTGAGCAAGTGTCACAAGACATGGCGATACATAATTAAGAGCGTAGCTAAAGGTAGTAAAAAGACAATACATATCTTTGGCTTTTGGGATGTAGTATAATTGTACTCCGTAAGCTATATCCAGTTGAGTTGAGAACAATCTCCTTGTGTCGTTAAAAAGCATTGTGCCGTACTGCAAAGTTTCTTAAAGTTGCAAGGAGCCAATATTGGCAAATGAAACAAATACACAAGCGGTTTGTTAATACTTGGTGTATATGATCAAGCCATGCCTTAGTACCTAGTACCTGGGCTTGTGATTCAACTCATTTGGTTGCCTTCACTGCTGGCAGTGAAAGTGAGTCCAGTGTATTAACGTTAGTGGAATAGGCTTGAGCTCCAGCTGTTTCACCCTGAACTCCCGGTTCACACGGGCTCCATAGAACGGCAATTAGACCACCTGGGTAGTGCAATTTCCGTGCTTATCGATAAGCCCGATTGCGGAATCCTTGCAACAGCTCCAAGAGCTTCGTCTTAGTCGGTCACCCTACTTCTTTCATCCTCCTTCATCCTCTCATTGTTTCGAGTAAGACTTAACGGATCATGAGCGAGCCGACTTACACCGTCTTCGTGCGGGTGCCCATACCACGTGGCGATTTCGTTGACCCTCCACCGGTATAAGCTCTCCAAGTCCGGTCAACTCCAGGCCATTCATGATGCGCTTATCGGCGCAATCACATTCACAGTCATGGCAGGGCTAACTCCAGGTATGACAGGTGAACTGGGACGCCGTCAAAGACGAAGCTCTCTGGAAGTTTCTCTCAGGAGCTGGTAAGAAACAGATTGACTGTAAGAATTCCATTTGTTTTCACCCGACGAAGCTAACTTGGACTAGGGGACGAGATGTAGGTGTCGATCTTATCATAAATACCGTGCAGGCTAGATACTTATTTGAGATGCAGCGCCGATCGCTTTGAGGTTCCTGTCGATTTCCTCCTCCAACAGGTCGCATACCTTACCGAGAGACATGCTTCACAGGTCCGCGCCCAAGTTCGAAAAGCTACCGCTGCTGTTCGTGGCTCAGGTCCTTCGCCCGTGCCAGGCGGCGACTCCGCCGGACCCGGTCATCAACGAACGCATTCCGCCTTGTCCGTCCGAAGAGACTCACCTATGCCGCGTAATGAAGCTGGAAGTGGTGCAGGCACCCCTCTCAACACATCGATGCGACCAATCGTCCCACGGAACACATCAACAAATACAACAGTCCTAAGGGACATGGCAGGAGGCTCAGCTTCCCCTCGACCAGGAATGGGAATCGCTGCTAGAACCGGGGAACGACGTCGTCTTTCATCATTGCCTATTTCATCAGGTCTTGCCAAATCTCCCGAACAAGTGGCGCAGCCGGAGCCATCACCAGATGAACGAAGTCCATCACCGGGCCCAGCCGATAGTTCACCAACGTCATCAGAGGATGAGTCCAGCCCAGCTCAATCTCGCATTATTCGCAGACCCCCTCGATCGAAACAGCCCGAGGGAGGACAATACGAGGACGAGGACGATGACGAATCCGAGCCTGCTTTTCAACCCTATACATCTCCTTCAAACCAGACTTCGGCCCAGGACCTCGGCTCAACACTGAGGGGGGACGGACGTAGCTCTGGAAAAAGACACCATAGGACTCATGGGAAGCCCACGATCCACCAGTCCAATACGTCAGACTCCTCGGCCAGCTCTGCTGCTATGGTCCAGAAACCAGATAAGTCCGACAAGCAACCTGAGCAGCGGACACCCGGACCTCTCTCACCACGCCGGACTACAGAACTGGCAGGACGTGAGCCAGGCAGTAAAGGCAAGGGTTACTCCCGTGAAGGTAGCGATGGAACGCCCAGTATGGGTAGCAGCTATAGTGATCTTGACGGCAAGTTGCTTCCTCCTCTTTTCTTCTTCATGCACTTGTACTAATCACAGAGTATCAGATGCCTCAGTTACACAATCTGCATTGGAGGAAGCCTTGGCTAGTCATATGAACCGGGGAGCGGGAAGCCGCTTTAGTATCAGCCAGGCCTTTCGCAGCCGTTACAATCCTAGCTCTAACCAGTGAGCGCCTTGGGTTTGTTCATAATTGTTTGTTATTCATTTGTGCTGCATGTTTGGCATGGCGTTATGAGAATGAGGAAATGCATCAAGAATGGCGTTTGTTATGAGACCCAGACCTCTGTTTGTCTATGATATGGAAGGCCAGATATCCCAACTCTATTACATTTAGGATATGAAGATAGTAAACCATGAAGTACAATAAATGCCACTGCGTCGTTGTTTGTTGTGTGATGTTATTTGCAGCTTGAGCTATCAAGGATCTTTATTAACATTGCAGAGGTTGGTACAGCTCGCAGTGAGAAAGGCTCTACGAAGTAATGTGAGTGCTTATCAAGAATACCTAACTCAAACACCATATTTTCTGCATTGCTACTACAAACGTGATTGCGCTGGTTGCCATCTCCAGCCGGTTGCTTGCAGCTGCCATATTCTCCCCAACACTCCTCAAGATACTTAATCACAAGCACCTGAGGATTTCAACTCTTCTCTACTCAACATCCCGTTCACTGGACTTTTCATTTGTTTCCGGTGCAATCTTTCCACATTTCATCCACAGTTCAACGGCTTCTATTTCGATACCATGTTTCGCCGACATTGGTCAAGCCTCCCTAAGGATATCTCCTTTCCAAGGGATCTGACCGGCCTTGGGTCCGCCATCACGAAATTTACTCCCAGATGCACAGCTAATATCGAGCAGATACTTTTTGAATGATCAGGATGAAATTCGATCGATTGAAAACCCCGACTGCTATTTCAAATACTTTGCCAACAAGAACTCGCGCGTTAATGAACGCCAGCGATTCCATTTCAATAGTAAGTAGCTCCAATTCTTTGCGGCGGATGATGCTAACTGATGCACTCCTCCAGTGGCTCTGGAAGACATGATCCATGATCGTCTCGAGAAAGAAGGCCTCCAGAAGTTCCAACTGCTGCCCGAAAACGAGAAACACTGTCCCATTTTCTTCAACCCCAACATCGTCAAGACCGCACGCATCGTCATCGTCATTGGCGAACCCTCTCAAGATCTAGGATTCCTCGCTGGCCGAATTGTGAACGGGCCTGGTGGTGTTGCCAGGGGCAGTATGATCAGTGTCGTGCAGGCGCTTGCCAAGCAGACTGCTGCCCGAGGGGATTCAGAGCCTCCTTGCGTTATCCTCGCCAACGTAGGTCAGAGATACTGGTGGCCTGAACAAAAGCGGTCTCTTACCATTGAAGCGGCTGGAGATGTCCCTCTTCCCAGCATGGTGCATACTGGACGGCGATACGTCAAGGAACTGAATGAAATTCCTGGAAGTGAAACTCCTCTTGCGCACGTCAAGACCATTTTCGACAAGGTTCTCGAGGCGAACAAGAGTGCCAATATCGATATCGTTGCTATCGGGCAAAGTTGCGAGGTGGTTTTGCAGCTTTTTGAGGAGGAACAGAGCTGGACCCAGTGGGGTCATCGTCTAGGTGGCATGCTCCTCATGGGGACTGTCTTTCCTGCAGACGGGCTTACCAATGTCGAGTTCAAAGACTTCCTTGCCAAGGTAAGACTTACTGTTATCGCTTTCATAGTTCCGTTGCTAACTCGCCGTTGTAGCGGACCCGGGCTTATCTCATCTCTGATGAACCTCTCGACACTCCTTTGGCAATGCCTGCAGGAAACCCGGCGCTCTTGATTGAACCTCTTGGATGTCCTTGCTTCTCTGGTGGAGAACAGCAGCACGCCGAACTCATTCTCATTAAAGCCCTCGAGCCAGCCCTTGCCTACTTGCAAGAGATTGCCCTGACAGAAGACTTCGTAAACCCCGACATGGCTGTTGCAGAGCGACTCCCCACTGACATCACCGACGATCAATGGAATGAGCTACCAGAGGAAACCAAGCCCGAGGTCACGGCTCTGGAACCAGAAGTGATGAAGGAGCAGATCAAGCAGCTCAGACGCTGGGATAGGTTTGCAAAGACGGGCTTGGCCCCTGAGTCGGACTCAGATGAAGAATGAACTATCTTGAGGAAACTCCCAAAACCGGCGTAGAGCATTTTGGCAGAAGGATGGACTGGGTATTGCGGATGCGCAACATTAACGGGAGAGCATCCTGAAAGAGGATATGCTATTCATTAAAAGTACTCCGTAGACTAGAGCCAATTTCGAGTCTCAAGCAGATAACTAAACCAGATACCCATCATGCTAGTTGCAGCTCCTGGTATATACCCTTTTACATTTACTCGTTTCTTTGTTTTATTTTTTACATCGTTTTACGCTTTGAACAAGGACGCCAGATTTGGTCCTGCTGGTGTGAGGTCCTCGGTTAGCTCTCTTGTCCTCCGCATGCGCTCTTGAACCACGGCACCCTCTGCTGTCCATCGGTCCCCGGCATCTGGTGGTGTACCACTCCAGAAAGAAAAGACGCCCGATTTTGTAGCACCCTTTGCTTGGCGCTGTTCCTCTTCTTGTGCAAGCTTGGCAACCATTTTACCCCAGTTACCTAGCCCTGCGCTTAAGCACTCGCGGCAGGTCTTCTTAGCAGCCTTGTCTGCAGTCAGAAGATCCATGTCGCGCAGCTGCTCCTCCGCAACATCAACACTATCACGTGTCCATGAGATGCCGTCATCTTTAGATGATGAGGAGAAGAGGATCTCGCCGATCCATAGGCTCAGGGAAGCCTCCTGGCAACGCTCATGAGGACTGCGCCAGGGGGGTTGGGTGCCATCTGATGGAGGAGGTGGGTATTCAGTTTGCGAAAAGGTTTCGAATAGCTTGTTGATGGCACCACTAGACTTTGGTTTTACGCGAGCAGTAGCAGGAGGGTCGTTGGAGAGGTACCGACGGGCCTTGAGGAGAGAGAGGTAAATAGGGAGGGCAGAATCGACCTTTCCACTACGGGCTTTGAAGGTCGCTATAGCAGTAACAGCATCGAGAACGTTTTGTGAGGGCGGGCCGGCCTTCTCGTTAAGGACGAATGTCTTCAGGTTGTAAGGGGGATTTGACATGTCGACTCCTTGGGTAGCCTCGGCTAGGGCCAAGTGGTACAACGCCTCTGCACCTTCTGGCTGTTTCTTGAACTCCATGAAACTAGCGTATTCGAGTGTCGCCTCGAGCTTCTGCCGCGGAGTGAAGCCCTTGGTGGCCAGGATCTTCATGTAAAAGTTATCAGCGCTGGGATAGGCTACCTCGCAGTCCTCTTCACGGGGCGCATGAGGCTGCCCTGGCGGAATTGGCACAGGTCTAGGGTTCGAAGGTCCGATAACAAACTCCGGGGGTGAGATAATATTACGAGAAAGGTCGCGAACCCAGTTGTCGACATGCTCGGCGCCTTTGGCAGCGAGCATGATAGCCTCGAAATAACCTCTCCTCCATTCCTCGCTCTTGCCGGAGATATCGCACGGATTGAATTCCCCAGGGATCTCCGCTTCTGGATCGACTCTATCCGTAAGTTTTGTGACGCCCTGACCGTCAACCTTATGGTCCTCCAGTCGCAACACCAACGCTCGGGCAAGCTCGAATGACCAGGGCCAGTTGATTTCTCCGTTCTTTGGAGCTTTGCTGTCATTCGAATCCCTCAAGAATTTCCTCGTCATGTATCCCCATTCATGCGGTGTGGGATATTCCTGTTCCAACCTCTCCTCATTGACGAAGAATAAAATGACGCCAACGCAAGCCAACAAACCCCAGAACGAAGCCGTATATCGCACCGCTAACTTGGCCTCGTGCTTTAGCCATTGCCTTCGCTCGGTGGTGAAATATCGCACGCCATTAGATGAGGCCGGAGTTGAGAGAAATGGGAGGTTCGGTCGCGAGTTGGTGGTGATTTGGGTGCAGTGCAATGTTCGTGAGAGGCATGGAAATCGGGTTCGAAGGGTTGGTACTCGGGGTGTAAGAACCCGGTCGCGGCAACCAACTAGCCGAGGACGCATGGCGTCGGCGAGCGCTTTAATCGCGTATCTCGTATAGATTGAAAGAAGTGTCCAAAAACCCCGTCGTATGTTATTCGTCTTCGAAATGATGCTATCTTGAGCTGTTGGGTAATGACGATGGAAAATCTGAGCCAATTGAGATTCTAGTGTTGATGACTAAGGCGGCATTTCTGTGCCAAGACTGAAAAACTTAGGTGGGTGTTCAATGAGCATCACCAAGATTTCCTATTAGGTGTATGTAGGACAAACAAATTTTCTGTACCTTGTACTTACGATGTCATAAAAATGTCTTCCTTTTTATCCTCGGAAACGTTCTCGAATCCCAGATTTCAACTATTTGCAACAGCTGTTTTCTCAGGAGCTACTGTTGCATCTTTGCTCTTAGGCTATCAAGCGCTGGAACGAGAAGAGAGAGTGTCAGAGCTTAAGAACTCAATCCCTGCAGTTGATCCTAATGTTCAACCTGTAATGTTTCCTACTTCTTACTCCAGGTGCAATTGTTAACTCATCGCAGTTAAACAACTTTGGCGGTTCATCAGCACCACCTGTTGATAAGGAGGATGCAAGGAACCAAGCTTTGGCTCAACGAGCTCAGGCCGGAGATTTCGATGAAGAGCTCATTCTAGAGCAATTGGCACGAAATCGTGTCTTCCTAACAGACGAGGGCCTCGACAAGCTTCGAAACTCATTTGTTATCGTGGTTGGTTGCGGAGGCGTTGGCTCTCACACGACAGCAGCTCTCGCCCGTAGCGGTGTATCAAAGATCCGATTGATCGATTTTGATCAAGTGACTCTGAGCTCACTAAACCGCCATGCGGTCGCTACTTTGGCTGATGTCGGAATTCCCAAGGTCCAGTGCTTAGAAAAGCGTTTAATGGCCATCGCACCCTGGGTCAAGTTCGACCTACGACAAGAGCAGTTCAACGAGGGCGCTGCGGAGCGATTACTTCGGCCCTGGGGTGATGAAGAACGCGCCCCTGATTTTGTTATCGACGCTATCGACAACATCGAGACCAAGGTCTCACTGCTCGAATACTGCCACAAGAACAACTTGCCGGTAATAAGTGCTATGGGAGCCGGATGTAAGAGCGATCCTACCCGAATCACTGTCGGAGATATTGGAGCCAGTAAAGATGATGGCCTTTCAAGAGCAACACGGAGGAAGCTCAAGTTGAAGGGTATCACGAGCGGTATCCCAGTTGTGTACTCTACAGAAACATCAGGTGCCGGGAAAGCTGAGCTCCTACCCCTGCCTGAAGAAGAATTTCAGAAAGGCTCGGTTGGCGACCTTGCAGCTATGCCCAACTTCCGGGTTCGCATTCTCCCTGTACTTGGAACAATGCCTGCTATCTTTGGTCTTACGGTCGCCAACCATGTCATTCTAAGCATCACGGGCTATCCGCTGGATTACGTTCCCGCCAAGGGTCGCGAGAAGATGTACGAAGGTATGCTAGCGACGATACAAAGCTACGAAGAGAAGTTGGCACGTTTGACTTTCCAGGGCGACACCGTGGGTCTCAAGGTGCCTATCAACATTGGTGATGTGGCTTTCTTATCAGAGGAGCTGTACCGTGGCCGAAGCGCTATTAGTGGTATCCCAACGAAACTGGTTCTAATCCGCTGGGAGAAGCCCAGCACTCCCAGCATGACGACACTGGGCGAAGGCAAAGATATCCAGAAGTGCTCAACGGTGAAGTTCAACGATGTGGTATTGATGACAAAGGAGGAGGCGACACGGCATGAAAAGGAGATTTTCAAGGGCGGAAAGTCCATTGAGGAAGTGTACGATGCTGAGACGATTGCGCTTGTTGAGGAGAAGAGGAAGACAGCTGAAAAGTATGAGGCCTTCAGAGGGTGAAGAGAGTTCGATTAGAGTACGACATGTTTGTTAGAGTTGGATGAAAGATCGGTATAGAGATATGCTTGACCACATCAAGAAACTTCTTCCTGGGACTGGCCTTGGGGAATGTACTTGGATATGCGTTACGAATAACAGATCTTCAACCATGTTTACTTACCCTATACCTGAGTTGCCATTGTTTGATGATGCTTCAGAATCCACTGCATGCATTTTGTATGACATGTATCTAAATTGCCTTGGTCCTACTTCTTATGATCGAGTCCAGTGAGTTATGCGTTCGTATGCTCAACACTCACTGTCGTCCTCATCACATCCACAACCGGTCTTAACTTGGGCAAACATTCCTGGTGTAAGATTTCAACCTAGAAGACCTACAACGCAAACAGTTAACCGTCCATTCCTACGTACAACAACCGACAGACTCCAATTCACATTGCAGTTCGAATCTGCCTGCCGTACAATATTCCGCATGGGGAAAGCTTGCAGTCACGGTGCCATCCATCAACGAGATCGAATGAGTAACATGTGCATCTTCAATGTCTTGAAACTCTATTCAACTTCAATTTGTCTGTATGGAAGAAGGCAACTGTCAAAGACCAGAAGTGGCCAAGTCCTACATCGCTAGCTTCCAATTGCCTCATGCCAAGTCGAAGGGATCGCATATTTTCACGAAGTTGCTGTTGCTTGGCACTGGACATCCCTTTCGTCGTAGCATTGGAAACTCACATCAGGCTTCTTGCACATCAGTACACCACTCTTTCGGCGATCCCCCAAATTGATCATCAGCTGCGCTTACATTGTGATTTCGGTGTAGTTTACTTCCCGATCTTATGGTCGTTGGACGACAGCCTTCTAGGGTAGTAGCATCATTGTAAGATCATGACCATGCCGCGGGATCGATCTGGAGCTGGCATAATCTAGTCAACCGCAACACGGTACGTGTACACTGACACATTGGTTAAGCTGCTTATCTTGTTATACATGTGCAATTGAACAAACAGCTTTGATGGCTTGACAGACCGGTTGCAAACACCTGAGCTTCAGCCCTAAAAGTGAAAGAGTATGACGCTGTTTGCCTTGTTAGCGCCCGCTCATATGCTGCCACCAACACCAACACTTCCACTTACACTTTACAACGACACCATCAGCCAACACCATACTGTAGACATGTCCATAGTGCAACAGACATCGCCAACCCTTACATCAAACTAACGACATGGGAGACAATAGCATCACTGTGCCTTCTCACCGCGTTTCAGTCAAGAGTCCTTGCTGCGGAAGGCGGGCGGCCTCAATGATGCCTTTGTCGAGGCGCATCGAGCCTTGAATCAACACGACAGTGTGTGTGCGGTTATAGGTGGCTTGCAGCATAATTGCTTCGGACGACAAACACTTGAGAGTCCAGCTGGTTCCCGTGATAGGGATCATCAAGGCTTGATTCCTTCAGAACTTGGGATAGCGGTCAATCTTACAGACCGCCTCTTGAATGTCTCGGGTTTGCTGGTCAAACACTTCAGATACGCCAATGATAGCATCAAGCTAACGCCCGTTGCCGTGACACTCTTTCATGCAACACCGTTTCCGACAGCTTCATCCCGACAACAACATGCATTCATCTTGTCCAGAAAGCGAGAAGATGTCTCTCTGAGCCTTGAGTGTTTGAGGCGAGGCCATCGGCCTGCAGCTACAAAAGCAAACATGCATAATACCTCCACTCGCAGCAGGGCTCAAGATATTATGAGATGTGAAAAGTAACGAGAAAACAAGATCTCCTTTGTTACTCAACATTGCTCCCGTTGTCTCAAATGCAGATGAGAAGCAGTCGCCTTACACACTTGTGGGATATACGGCGTTGATCATACGCCATGGCAGTATATTATCAATAATTGGCAGTGAAGCGGTAACGCACGGGATGGGAAAATGCATCGACGGATATTAAAAGCAAGGGGATAAGCGAGGAAATGGTACACAACTGTGCACTTTGTTTGCTGGACGGGAGCATTAGGCTATATCGATGCCTCACAATCGTCGTATGAGTGCGTATACAGCATACACAGCTCTCAGAGCCGGAAGTAGTACAAATTCGATTGACCCTTTCTCAAAATTTTCATGGTACGAGGAGAGAAGAGAGAATTGGGGCTTCAGGGCAACTTTTTGAGAGGATGAAATACCGATATCCATGGACCAGGAGCATGATAGAGGCTACATTAGATCGGGAGACAGAATCATGCACTTTGGGTCACCGCAGACGAGGCCTCAACAGAGTGTTTATATATGCAAGTGCCCCCGTAACAATGCAGTTAAGGCCCAATGATTTGTGCCCAAGACTTAGAATGGGCTGATTGATATGTTGAAGTGTAACCAGGTGGCGTTCATGTTGAGCATTTCGATGCGGGTGAGCACAAGCAGTGACCAACTCGTCACTACTTTCACTACGGATACCAGACAACATTTCACGTAATACGTGATAGTTATTGTTTTGCATGCCTATGACATACTCAGGCGAGGTTCACATATCACAGCTTGATGTTACACGCAGCTTGCGGGAAGCCATCGGGGCGATCTGCCTTAAACGATATGACAAGAATGTCATGTGTCGCGAATGTCTTACACATGTCTTTAAATTTCAGCTTACTGCCTTACACAATGTTTGCCTTTTTGGGGACACTGAATGATTGGCCAACGACATGAAAGATAATGTCAGGCCTGGAAATAGAACAAATCAATGGTTAATACGGGTTAATTTGTCATTTCAACACAACATGTAAGAAATCAATTAGTGACAAAAGGCTGGGGTCAGGAATGTCGGTCGGCAGCCGAATAGTGGTTGCACAGCTTTGCATAGTATGAAGCAAATTCTATAATACGGATCACACACTGCATGTAACTATGTGCTACGTTGGTGAAGAATACCAGTCCAAAAAAGGTGAAAACCACTTGGAGGCTCATGATGCTGATCATGAGGCTCAAAGGTGATGGCGAACTACGGATGCTGCAGTACAGTAAGATCAAGGCAACCAGCCACTTCCGGTTCAAGTTCCTGCTTTTATTAGATTCATGAATGTGATATGCGATAATTAAACCCGCCCCCAAAGTGCTCAGCCGCACTAAACTCTCATATCTGGATGTGACAAGGCAACAACAAGTAAGGAGTAAGTAGCCTTCGTTGATTTAATTTGTCTGTGATCATTTATATGGCGCAGCTGAAAGGGTAATGACATATGATCAAACTCTCACGAGCGTAAGATGTAAGATGACACGCAGGGGGACGGCAATCACTTGATAACCACTCATCCTCAAGATGCTTGAAGTGTATGGCACAAGAAAATTGCCTACTTCTGCCTGTCAACAGGGCATCATGTCTATATACTCAAAACTAACACACTGACGGAGTATTAAGTTAGTTGTCCCGAAAAGGCAATATCATGAAAGGCACATGCGAACTATGCTGGATGGTTGGCCAGCCAGCCGCGTCACATCACATCGTCAAAGACCTTTTCCAGAACCTCTCTCCCACGAGGCATCCACCCATCATTCCACGCCGAAGTAACATAACCACGATTTCCAGGATTGGAATCCTTCCGCGCGTGTATGCGTATAGGTATTTACTGGACCGGCTCCAACCAACAGAATGAGTGGGGCTGGCCATCCAATTCCAACCTCAGGAACCGTGTCACTCATAAGCAAAGTCAAGTAAGGTACGGATGCGCCCGAGAGTTTTGCTTTGTCAGAATAAGGTTTTCACGATGAGTTGTTCAAGGTGATTATCAACTTTTCCACTTGTTTAAGGTGGCGTTTTGCCAACTCATACTACAAGTGAATGCACCCTCTCTACGCGGTGTCGTTGTGTCTAAAAACAGACCCAGATCATCATATATAGACAGCAAGAAAATTAATTTTAACTCAACTTAAATATACCCCATTGTCCCCTCAAAACTCTCCTCACATGTTCAAGCACTTTCAGTTTACTGGCCTAACAGTGTAAGGCCTCATATAAGTTTTGACCTCACTTCTGCCTACATCCATGATAGCAAGACGGCGCCATCAAGGCAGCTAGATACCTAATTTTTTCATGCCACATTAACTGAAGACTTTCAGTCAAGAGTCATGAGCTCGCCCAAATTGTCCCTTTTAACAGCAACTGGTCGGCCTCACGAAAGTGTTAGGGCAGTTCTCGGGCATCCAACAGAACTCGAGAAGAGCTCCTACAACAAGAGATTTGTTCAGCTGGCTTGACATATCACCAAACAAAGGAATCTCAAAGCCAATGTACTGACGTTGGTGACATCAATTGGGCCTGGTGAGAGCCTTAAAGAATACCAAATGGCCTTGCTTCAACCCTTAGCGGGCAGCGTTAAGGGGCCATGTATTTATTTATACAGGCTATGGGAGATGCCACCCCACGAGGCTGTCAATATAAGCCAGCGTTAAACGTGGCCGATTGTGCTTAATAAGAGCAGCGACTAGATATGGACGTCAGTGGTTCGCAATGTACACTACAGGGGGGGGGGGGGCTTGAAAATAGGTACCTCTTTACCCTGATTAAAAGTCTTTGGACGCCCTGTCATTTGTTTTCAACACTGATGAAGCGTGAATAATTTATTAGCTCAGTTTCACTGCCATTGAAAGTTAATAAAAAGGTAGTAAAGTGATTGGTTCGCTGCTGGTTCGCCAACAGTAGGTTATATACTGCTTTCACCCTGCGTTATGTTTTCTCCTACCTGTAAAGAGATCGCGCTACGATTGCATCCCCTAGCCGTGTTATCTAATCACACAAATCACTGTTTTCTACCATTGTTATTTGTTTTCTCAGACCACAGTGGTACCCTACCACTGAGCTAACCACAATAGCTGCCTCTATGCCGGGTCTGCACCTCCAAAATTGAATACATTGGCCATAGCCATACATCATTGTGACCATTAGGTGTCCTCTAAAACGATACTTTGGTATGTCAGGAATCAATCCCATATATACAACGAAAATGATTGCGGAGAAACCTGGGTTTCCAATAAGAGGGGATTATGCTAACTCCCGCAGAGCCGCAGAGCCTCAACAGGGAAGTTGTTAGGCAACCAGGCGGACTGGTTCGCAAAATTACGCATCTGCACTTGCTCTTGCATTTCCCAGCCCCGTTTACTCGTTACGGTAAGTAACCCCCCCTAAGCTCCTTCTGGCCCCAGAGGCCCCCTTCTATCCATGCCTTCCGCTATTGCGATGCGAACCATGCTCATGGGCCGCATAACGTCAACAAGGCAGCAATCTACTCCGTAGTTTTCTGGTCCTCAGCTTCAGCATCTTTGTCCCTCAAACTCAATCTCCTCTGCCCTTCACCATCTTGCTTGATTTTGGCCGCAGTTACGAAACACCTTGTGATTATGGATGACTGAGTTTTTCTAGCAGAAGATTCCTGTTTGTGCGAATCAATTTTCACCAGCTCAACAGCTTCTTCTCAAAGTCTGCCAGTTAGGCTTGGGACGACACATGCTTTGTCATAGCTTGACATGGCTGCTTTACAAGATAGATGGGTTCGCCACTTGAGGACTCGTGAGCGACAGGGCAAGACCGAGTTCCAATCTATAACTTGCGATATTTGCGGCTCTGAACTCAAGAGTATAGAAGCATGGCAAAAACACGCTCAGAGCGATGATGACCATAAGCAAAAATGGCCAACACCGCAAGCTGCGGAATTATACGTTCAAGGGTGAGAACTCATCTCCCCTTCCCAATTCTCTAGTCCATTACCTTGAATATATGCTCATTTTTTACTCTCTCGCAGTGCCAATAAACCCAATAGCCAGGATTCCAATAATCGGAAGAGGCGGGCAGACACAAATATCGGTAATAGAACCACGGAGGATCAAGTCACACCGGGAGCTCCAGACGAGGAGGCCCGAGACGCCGATGAGCACCAAGCCAAGCGCCGGTCACCACCTCCGACCCCGACCCCGGCCGCCGGTAGCCCACAGGTCACCGTCAACCGTAGCCGTGCCCGCGTCGAGCCCCGGCACGACTTCGAGGCTCGGCCCCACAAGAATACTTCTGGACGTCAACTTTGGTCATCTGAAGATGGTGTCCAGGGAAAGCCACAGCGCCAGGGGCGAGCTGTCTCTCTGAGTTCGCCCAGGCAAGGACCTACCAAAGCCAACCGGCCTACCCAACAAACCCAACCTACCACACAAGAATCCCCTCAGCCTTCCTCCAATGATAATGACTCCCCATCCAAGATGGTGCGCCAGCCAGAGACTAGACCAATCTCACAAGATCAGCTGGTGGCAGAAGTCAAGGGTATATATGCAGGCTTGGTCATGGTTGAGAATAAATGTATCGAAGTTGATACCGCACAATCATCCAACACTGATGAGAACTCAAAGCTCAACAACGAACAATGGCAGGCTTTGATCGCACTACACCGAACACTTCTTCACGAGCATCATGATTTCTTCCTTGCAAGTCAACACCCTTCTGCCAGTCCTGCTTTACGAAGATTGGCTTCCAAATACGCCATGCCTGCTCGTATGTGGCGCCACGGGATTCACTCGTTCCTAGAACTGCTAAGACATCGACTACCTGCCTCCTTGGAGCATATGCTCACTTTCTTATACTTGGCTTATAGTATGACAGCTCTACTGTATGAGACTGTGCCTGCTTTCGAGGATACTTGGATCGAGTGTCTTGGAGACCTCGGCCGATACCGCATGGCTATTGAGGACGACGACATTCGAGATCGCGAGATTTGGACCGGTGTGAGTCGCCATTGGTATAGCAAGGCAGCAGCGAAGTCACCTACCACGGGTAGACTCTATCATCACTTGGCTATCCTTGCGCGCCCTAATGTGCTTCAACAATTGTTCTACTATAGCAAGTCCCTTTGTGTTCCTATTCCATTCTCAAGTGCACGGGAAAGCATCATGACATTGTTCGATCCCGTGCTAGGCAATGGTTCACTGCGCCTTGCCCCTGTTGATGCTGCATTTGTGCGTGCTCATGGAATCCTCTTCTCTGGGAAGTCCCGGGATCAGCTTGAAGAGTCAATGGAAACCTTCATTGAACAATTAGATGGTCATATTGCACGCTCGACTAAGCGGTGGTTGGAATCAGGGTTAGTCGGTACTGATATGATACATGGACTCCCACTAACTCATATAGGTACTATATCGGGATTTCTCTAGCGTGTTCCCTACTTGGCTATGGTTCTGAATCTAATGTCCTTATAAGGGCCATGTCCAAGAAGCCTGAAGAAGCCGATGTTCCCATGGACGGAAGCACGATTTCAGAGGCCACCCCAGACGAGACGTTTACCCTTGCTCTTGATTTTGCTATAAGCACGATCACAACTGTACTTCGCCGTTGGGGTGATACTAATACGTTGCCTTTCTTGCACACCATCCTGGTGTTTATAAACCACATGATTCGATATCCAGCGGCCATTTCCCACTTGGAGAGAGTATTTCCTTGGAAGCTTACTTCGCTTATGCTTAATTCTTTGTTGGTTTCTTGCGAGCCTGGATATGAAGTGCAAAGTCAGTTCCGTCTGCCCGAAAAGAACCAGGTCCCGCGCCCTTTGCCAGAAGATTTTGCCATGCGAGGTTTGCTTTACTCCGAGGACTATTTCCCCAGCGACTGGTTCCGGAATGACAAGATTGACGAAGACGAGAAGTACTTTGAGTTAACCTCCATGTCCGAAGAACGCAAGGACCGTATTCTCTCCTTAGGATGCCAAATCGCAACCTCTAGTGACTGGCTGATCTGGAATCCCGAGGCTCGCCAATTTTCAGTTCCAGCCAAGTACGAGTAAAGGAGGAGAATATTTCTAGCGAACGCCTCTCTTCCAGGTAAGCCGATATGGAAGTACCCTGTCAGTTTAGGAAGAGAGGAGTTAATGCTGGACATCAAGTCTTTTCTCTGTTTCGTGCCTTTGATGCGCTTTTAAGTCCGGGCCACACATCAGCTCTCCAGTCATCCCATAGATATCATGACACACTTGAGCGAGCCTGGATATCTCCCTATTATTGTCAGAGGACGACGGCTATCCGGCTTGTCTTAGGATCATCTTCTCGGATCTGAGCTCGCCCACGGTCTACAATATCACCCTCTGAGCAATTGTACGAATCTGGATATATTCATGGATCCATCCCGGAATACCGGCCGTTGGAACAAGAACCTGCCACACTCTGGATCCTAATAGACCTCTCTGCGCATGGCCGTGGCCCAGTCGTATATCCACCGAGTTCTCCATGCAAAAACAAAACATGGATCAACCGTGAACATCTGGAAGACCGTAAATCCGGAACCAGTCACATATCTTGGCTGCGGCCCACTGGATTGACCCCAGGATATCATAATATCATTCAGTAGGTAACAGTGGCAGCTGGCGTGCACTGGATTCTGCAGACGCGAGGTAAGTAACCTGACGCAACGTGCACGCCTCCTCTTATATACGTTGAGGTGCAGAAGGGCTAAGGTGTTGAAGATGGGCCTGGCATTACATATTTTCTTCTCTTTGGCGCAGTCACTCCTTTACTAGGTCATCATACAGTCGTTCTCTTTTACAGTCACTTTGTATCTGTTTATTGCTTGCATTTTTCTTTTATTCAATTCCAGTACATCGTCTTGTGGTTCTGTAGTTATTATCGAGAGGGGTGGCTATCTATTGATTTTTCATGTGGTTGGGAGCAATAGACACTTGGGTTCCGGTATTAATGAGCTAGATTGTAATTGAATTACAAAATTTAAAATAGGCTGATGAAATGGATCAATATCAATTAATTGATGGATCTTAAAATTGTCAATCTGAAGTGTCAAACAGCACGGGAAGTGGGTCTTCCCGTTCTCCCGAGCCCCGCATCTATCTACACTTGCATTAGGCGTACCAGATTGTCGGGTCAATTTGGGGGCCAGAAATGCAAGACCTGGCCGCAATTCGGGCCTCTTTCGTGCAGTGAAGCGCAGATAAATCGCCAGGATTGGACGTATACCATTTGAAATGTTTGATTTTAACGCAGCACGAAAAAGTGTTGTGAACGCAACGTTTGGTGTCGCGTATCATACAGAAGCGAGTGAAACGCAGACATGGCATGGTTTCACTGTTGTCAATGCGCTAACGACGTAGTGTAGGATTTTAGATGCGACGAATCGGGAGATTTGATGTGAGGCCAGCCGTCATCATACACGCGGCAGATGTCGACAGGCTTTTCGGGGTGCCCAACTTCCGGCTGAGAGTGCGTTGAAACGTGTAAGTGAATTTCAGGGACTTGGCTTGGCTACCTTGATGTTGACGGGCACCGTTGCCTACTTAGTAAGGTGCGGTTGATGACTTAATGGTCGTTGCGGGCGCCCGTGACAATCTAGGTTGTTTCTGATAGAGACATGGTGCATGATGGAAAAGGAGCTTTCCTAAGATGGGAGAGCTGGCATCGGTACTCATGAGCTTTCTGTGAAACGGATTTGCCAAGGTGTATACGCAAGTGAGCCTTTTGGTGTCAATGGCTTCGAACAGCGTTCCTATCAAATCAAAGCTCAAGTCCAAAAAGCAAAATTTCCCTCCACATGATTGGCTATACATTTTTAACCCAACCACATGTCGTTTTATTTGCTTTTTCGGATTTGTGATTTGATTTGATTGGAGCGCTGGCTTCAAACTAACTCAAGCTCAACATTAACATTCGTCTTGATGTTTATGTATAACAGACTCTCTGGCTTCTTCTGCAACACCTGTTGTACCTACAAACTCGTCAAGCACGAGCGATAGCCCAAACATGATACAATTCCATGATATCATGGTGACGGGCAAGTGGTCCTAGTAGTTTATAGAACCTCGGCATGAACAGTTTTCCGATTAAACTTTCGGTCAACAGATGAAGAGAAAATAGAACATGATTTCTCATCATAACTACGTACCTACCTTACAATGAGAACTCACATCTCTGTATGTTATAATAATGAAGACGAATATTGGTTTCATCTGATATTACTAAGTTAGATTCGTGAACGACAAGCACGTGTTCGATGTGTGTTGACTAGTCTACTTTCTAGAAGCATTATAGAAAATTTTCGATTACAGTTCAATTTGCCGGATCTAATGCCGTGATACCTTGAGAAACTACAGCTGCCTTAAATCTCGGAACCCGAGCGGCACCTGAAAATACTCGTGACATGCACATGAACCCTCGGCATCCATAAGGCAAATGGTCCCTGCTCTTCCGATTACAACATCGTATTGCGTAATTATCTTCATATCTAACCAGGAAGTTCTAATCTGCCCATGTCTTGGCTAGGTACAGGCAGAAAAGGCAACCGGCACCATGAGGCTAGAGCAGGCATTAAAGGAATTGCCTGCTTATAGCGCTTATAGCGCTGACGGGGGTCCTCTCAAGGTGCAGCTGTGCTCAGACATGTGACCTAAAGAGCGGTCTCAGTGAACACGTTGACAAAGCGGCTGAGAGTAGTCTAACATTGTGCGGTAATGACCCGAGAACTGAAGGCGGTAAGAATTGACTTAAAGAGACGGCGACATGCTTAAGAGCTGGTGCCAGCATATGTCGGTAGAGCTGCGGACGTGTATAAGACAGCGTTTGAGGCCCTCATACAGAAATTGAGGCCACCCAAATTGCTGTTTTACTTATTAATCTGAGGCACCCGACGAAGATCCTGATACCTGACATCAAGCCTTCATCCGGGCGGCCTCTAAATTTTCCCATATCTAGCTTAGAGGAGGCAGCCGCAGTATACATATCCTTAGGCAATAATGGATACCGTACTCCGTATGTTCTGCATATTTTCCATCCACATTTAAACTTCGTACATGGGCTGACTACGGGCCTTCCCGTGCTTCGATATGCATCACAAGCTTTCTGTGCGCGGGCGTAATGTGCGTGTGCTTGCTGTGCTGTGACCTTGAGACAATTGATATCCAAGATTGAGGGGTTACTCGACAGCCTCACTTTTGACTCGGTGAGTACTTCGTATCGAATGGGGAAGTTTGGGCTGAAAACTTATGATGTCGTGGGGGAGAAATGTGCTGATAATTACCTATGAGCCATAAACTTGAAATATGCAAAGTTTTGTAATTGGCTGCCTTCTTTGCATGGATGTCATTGCTGTATAGACACTCGAGATTGAATAATGAGAAATTACTTTGCACCGTTACATTGGATGTCTCCCTCCGATAAATGAATGGTTCATGCGATAGGTCGGGTACTCCAGCCTGGTTGATTATCGTCGCACAGCATCAATATCACTTACTTGTCCAGTTCTGATACTCCATACAGTTGCACAGTTCGACTCCGAGTGAATATTCTCGACTTAGGTTAAGCCAATCAATTTGTATCGTAGACGAGCTCGATGTTTTGAACAATAAGGCAGTCGATCGATATATACCACGAGTGTGTGTGTGCGCGCACTCGTGGTATTGTGGCTGACACATTTATGCGGGCGCCTTAAAGCAATGCAAAACTGGCCAGGGACAAGGCAGAGCCGCATAAACAACCAACAATAAGTGACTGACCAGTAGGATCCAAGCCGTAGAAATAAATGTCTCAGCCATTATTATCTTGCGTCATGCATAGTCCCGTGAGGGACCTTTGTCGAGGCAGAAAAGGCATCTGGACAATCATTCGCGCACATGTTCTTGAGGGTTGCATTCGCCAACTTTCACATACACCAATATCGCATCGAGTTGCCCTACTTGTAAGAGACATGTTTCGTGTTCTGGTATCATTAACTTGAAAATGACTCGGCAATGACACAACTCTCAAGAAAGCCGTTTGAGCGCTTTCGGGGTAACGGGAAGTCTGCACAGTGATTACGTGCATTTCATGAAACTTTCGCTGATATGGATGTCAAGAAAGTAGATACATAGTTATACCGTTTATGGCCTGACAGGAATCAGCGCGTAGATAAAGCACTACATATCACGTTGTCTCGGGTAGGATGGACGTACTGCTGTATGGGAATTTCCGTATGGAAGACTCAAGGTTCTTAATCAAGACTTAGGAGGAACTATACAAGAGATAAAATATATCTTAATTATACAGCCTAGATATATTTTACTGTTTGTTAGTAGTGAGTCAAGACGGCAATGCCAGGGGATGAGTTCTTAAACGTGGTCAAGGATGAGTTGAAGCATAGCTAGATCCTCACGCATACCTTCGTATCAACAGCGAGGCATTTCATCCTAGGTGTTCCAAGCTTGTTCTGTGAGGTAGATTAGTCTTCTCCTTCGACCTCCTATATCTCTGTGACCGAACATCGGTAAATGATTAACACTAAGCCTTGCCGCTAGTCGGGAGTATGCTTATATAAAATTAAGTTCAAACGGATGATATGATGTCAAATGCTATACATGAACTCAGACATGTCGATATTGCACAAATCAGAGTGCAATATGAACAGAAGCATGCTGTTCTCTGGTCCCAACATCGCTTTTCGTGCACTCAAATCAACTCAGGAGCAACAGCTGAAAGACTGTAATTTATCTTCAGCAGCACGTTTCGTTCTCGCACCTTTCTCCCAGAGAGTAAATTCAGTAAATCTTAATCTATTCCTGTACAGATAACTCAATTATCCATCTGGTTGTTGCAGAGTGTCAAGGTGTTCCTAGAAATAGAATATCTCCCACAGTCTACCGAAGTGAAATCCTTCCACAAATCCACCATTAATTGATATAAACGTATGTGAACTTGCCAAATATGTCCTTTCAGTTTTCTTCTTTGATTTATGATTGGTTTTCGTTAGTATCAGGCTGTGGGCAGCACATCAATGTCTCAGTTCGGCTGATGGGACGAGGCTCCGAGCCTTTGCCACCACCAACAGCAACAACACTTTACAGCATGACACAATAGCAAAGGATATCACATACGACCACAGCTCGAAGAGAACACGGGATCCCGTCCGCTCTCCCATAGTTAAGCTTCGAAGCGCTGGATTAGTAGTTGGGTCGGTGACGACCAGCGAATCCCCGGTGTTGTATGTTTCTTTTGCCTCGTCCTTCTTTTTTGTCGCTATCTTTTTCTTTTTGCCTGTGGTTTATATTTCACAGGGGTTCTTCGATCTTGTATACACTGTTGCTCTGTTCAGGGGTCCTTTGTAGATGATCTTGATAATTCCATTGACATTTACTTACCCTCTCTCGAGCGGAGCTTCAATCCAGGGACACACTTGGCCATAACTTAGACAAGGCTGCTCTTGTGACCATTCCATGTCAATTGAGGAACATTTGTTCTTTACTGCTCCGTGTTGATGGATCAACGGTCTTCGACAAAGCGCGAGGGTGGTTGACGATTCTACTCGACAGTGCTTGCAAGTTACCAACCTTGTAAGCCACTCAAGGTTCAAGGCTCAAGGCTCAAGGTATAAGCAACTATCGCCAGTAAGTTGAATAGTTAAGTTCTATCATATTGGTCGATACAGTAGCAATCCCATTTTCCGGGCAGTCTTCTATACTCGGGCTTGTTTGGGCTTGTGTGATTTGTTCCTTCCATCTCAACATGCCTCTCTTTCTCCTTTCTGTATCCTGGGAACGACCGAGCACTCTCCAGAACCAGGAGCTTCCAAGCGGTTCCTTCCATTGTTTAGAGTGCTCAAAAGATAAGAGTATCTGCAGGGGTCATACTGTCTGGGTAGGTACGGCGTGGCATGCAACAACTTCTTCGTCAGCGACGCTGAGCAAGAGAACAAGTTGTTGACACTATTAACGTCTGTTGCATCATCAATATTTCCCTTTCTTGTCCAACTTTAGACTGTTGTAAGTGTCATTCAGTCATACTCCCCGCAATTCAACAGCCAGCTGTACCACTCTTCCTCTTCTGGCCGACTTCGTCGTTTTGACGGGTCGGATGCACGCACATGTCTACACGAAGAGTATCATCATGGCCTCTTTAAAATGGCATCGAAAGATAGGCCCGCGCGTCGCTGCCCTCTCGCAAACCGGCGTTTTCTAGTATTAAAGTCAATCGGTAACAACTGAAGGCAGTTCCCTGCTCCTAGTACTTCAACATCAAGTAAACGATCTTGTTCTAACTTGGCACCAATAGCATTCTTCCTTTAAAACCCTCACTCGCTGCAGCTTGCTATCGACACTTCATAGTTGCCTTTAGTATCACAGCTCCCATCAATCCTTCACCCTCATTTCAGATCTGGATACTCTTATGGGCCTTCCTTCACGACACCGGGTGGGTTCCGAGTAGAGAAATATTCGCTCTTCCTTAGAACTTACCCGTACTATCCTCAGTAGACTACTGAAAAAGTCAACCAGTGTACTGACCTTTCGATAGCCATGGCTCTTAGGTACGTCAACTACTACATCCATCATGTATTGCAATTAACTAATGGTTGTTGAGCATGATGTGGTACTGCATCCTTCGAAACCCCGAGGAACGGTCTACCTTCTTCAATAATATAGACAAGATACAGCTGGAAAAGGAGGTAGTATATGCATCGGTCAAGGAGGAGGATGTTGTTCTCCACTGCTATCTACTAGAGCACTTCGGCATTAATGACTTTTCTCTCGACCCATTTGGCGATTATGGACTTGATAGAGATGAAGACGCATGGAGATTCTACATCAACATAGGTGCATACCGACTAATGATGTGGCTCAAAGATGCACGCGATGGCTTTGTGCATGCAGACAAATACATACCGCCACTTGATGTCCTTCTTGTATGGCATGCATTTCTACAGGACCCATCTGAATGGAATAACGTTGCCAGTGCCATAGGACTCGACTTTGCACGATGGAATCCCGATGCTTTGGTAAGTGTCGTGGAATGCCCTGGATGTTTTCCTCTTCGCATCTCAAGCTCTAATCCTTCTGTAGCTGACAGCCCTCGAGAACAACGAACCGGGACTGCAATTTTGTCCCTCCGCCGATTGCATGGACAAGATTGATTTTATTTATCTAGTTGCAGATTCTCTCGACATCCTGTACATGGCTTACAAGGGTGTATTCTCCCCAGGCGGACATGGCTCTGCCAGCGGCGAATGGAAGAGACGTTTCTACGATAAACTATTGACACATACCATCGACGCGATTCGCGGTCAATGCACCTTTACTTACGACTTCCATGCCTCTGTTCAACGCCAAATCGAACTGGCAAAACAGCTCTTGGGGTTCTCATGGCATCGGATGTAGGTGTCTCCTGAGAACAATGAGCAAGCCTTTAGGCCAGCTATCAAGCGCTACCGGAGATTCATGACCCTAAGGCGGTTCCAACCACAGATCCTAGGGTCTAGACTCGAGGCTTCAAATCGTCTAGAATCGACCTATCTCGATATCAATCTCATCTGGAGAACGCACATGCTCACTCCCAGAGAGTACCGCGCTTTCTGTAATAGCACTTTCGGGCGTGTGATTTCCAGCCTCCCATGCCCTGCTAGGCGTCATAAGGCAAACTCCACCCTCCTGGATCCCACATCTCAGATCTATGAGCACGTTTTCGGTGAGAAGTATGCCCTGTGTCTCTGCAGGCCATGTGTTGGTAGTCGGATAGGCGAATCTTCAGGCTCATTACACCTGAACAGATCAACCGCCAGCATACAGCCACTAGAGGAAGAGATGGACCGTCGTAGCTCTGCAGATGTGAGCATTCCTCTCTATTATGCTGAGAAACAATGCCGGAGATGTGGCTCTCACCCTTGGAGACACTGTCACAAGAAAGACATTACTCAGACCCTAATGGTAAGACCGCCCGCTCCTGAACTCTCAGTTCTTTCGTCTATATGACCAGGCATTATGTCTCTCGATACTCCTCAGACTGAATCTACCTCCCCAACGGCCAGCGCATCAGGAGCAGTAGTCTCAAATGACCATGAACCACGGTGGGCGGCAGAAATATGGCTCCGTGAACCGACTCGAAACAGGACTCCGACCCCTGCTCTCACTACTGGATCTACATTCTCTAATGACAGCGATAGAGAAAGCGATCCCAGCAAATTTACTCCAGCAAGGTCTAGCAGGGTCGTTAAACACGCATCAGATACCTCCAATTAGGCCGGTATTCACGTGTCGCACCGTACTAACAACAGGAATGCCGACACTACTATAGTCTACTATAGTAGATGACCATAGGGACCTCGCAATAGACGGACGAATGGGCCGGAGCCTGGAGTACGGTTGGCTGGTTAGAGTTTGACTTTCACGGTCAGTATTTAGTGACCAGCCAAGACGGAGACTATTAGCTGTGGACGTTTCACTAGCATTGCTGGGGACAACAATTGATTACCAAATGTTACGCTAGTGATAGACTTAAACAGTCTTACCAAGTTGACGAACTGGACGCCTGATATAGCATCCATGTCTCTCTACCCTGGCTCGCCATGAGCCTGAGTCCACGCGAAACTGGGGAGGAACATGGAAATATTGGATGATTCTGAGAAGGGCATTTGTTTCTGCTACGGCGCATTCATGAATCATAGTGAAGACAACTAATTGAACCTTGAATCGAGCCCGTTTTAGTTCCTTGATTAAAGTCATGACTCCTGCTCCTTTCTCGTCTGTAACCTCGCATACGCTGCAAGGTGCATTAGTGCAGGTATATGTAACACCTGGGGGCTATATCATTGCAACTCTCAAAACTTACAGGTCACTTAGGATCTACACTCCCAGTCTCAAGGGGATTTATCGCGACTAGCCAGCGGCTAAAGCCATCCCCGCCCTTTCTCTCCCTCGCGCCTCCATGTGATATCTGAGACATGCAGGTTGCCAAGGGGGCATCGAAATGCACAAACGCTGGACTATCGATCGGTAGGGCACAAGGCCCGACCCATCAACGCTGACGGAAACAATCTCACACATAAACGTTATGTGTGTGTATGTAAAAGGGTCAATGCGTGCCGTAGCAGCTACAGACAGACCAGATCAACTCCCGATACGCGGTAAGAAGCAATATTGTGCATCCACTACGAAGTTCAGTAAATTAGGATAGCCGATGTTTCTGAATCTGAATGTGTGCGGGTCACGCCTTTTTCGCCTGCTTGCCTCTTTCTTCCGATTTGCTTTTCTTAGCTTTTCTTTGTTTGCTTTGCTCTCGGCTCTGTCATCTTTTTTCTTCGATTTGTTTGTAATATTTCTGCACCCCCTTGCGAAGAAACATCCGAACGAGAAAAGCAAAGTGAGATGGTCATACGATGGGGGCCAGCAACCGAAAGTGAGCATTGAGCAGGGTGCGACATGTTGACAAAAGGAAACATAGCTCATGGCCATTTGACTCAACATGGAGAATTCTCCAGCGGTTTGCCTGTCGTGATGAAACCCTGTGGCTTGTTTTCTCCTCTGTCGTTTATGACTTCAGTCTTGTCTTCGGAATGCGAATAGGCCATGAGTGTCTTGATCGACGGCTATGAATAGCAGTCGGCGCTAAATATGTATCGAGAAATTGTATCCACTCAGTTATACCCTCCATCATTCCTCCTGGAATCGTCATCTTGATTGCACTCGTCAGATTTTTGCCACAGCCTGCCATGAGGTGGCTGGCAACCAACGTTTTATGATTTTGCTCAAAATTGCAATGTCTCAGGGCCATGTTTTTCGCGTAGATGTCTTTGACTGATGGTCACAAACAAGCGTTGTAAGCCACATGGAGATAATCCTGGCAGCGAAGCAAGGGGTTCTTGCTTAACGGTTCCGGAAAAAACCCGTTGACGGACCGTGGCAATCACAGGTAAACACTGTTGTCCCCTTGCCAGGCTGGGGTATCACGGTGTCAGCGCTGACCTGCGATCATAAGGCTGCCGTTATACCTTGCTTTTTCTCATAGCGCATGCTGGGACTCAGGTCCGATTTCCGTTAAGAGGCCAGCAACCCTCACCGAGTCTATTAATGTATAACTTCGAACACATATTGTTTGGAAGGCGGTAGTTACTAAATCCCCGAATACCACAACCGATAGTGCCAACTGCGTACGATACTGGATTAGTGAAACATCAGGTCCCGGAGCCGTTGGTGGGTTCCGTCAGATCACACAGGGTCGTAGTTCGGCTGCATTCAAGGTTCCCAGAGGGATATCGGCAAGGCGTGTAGAAACACGGGGTGCTTGAAACTGGTTTTGTGTTCACATAGGTGGCGGTAGCAAACCTCGCAGTATTTGCCGGTATGCTATCGCATCAAGCCTGTTGAGTGGCTGTTGTTACAGGCGATGAGTGTGCATCTGTAGGGCCTGCTAGCATGGAAATTGGTCTCAATATCAGCTCTTGCTGATGTCTCTCGCAAAGCCCGTCGGTGTCGGCAAGGGGATGTTGAAAATGTGATAGCGCTGGTACCTGGACATTTCTTCATCCCTTGACTCCCTTTGAGGTACCTTCCTGAGATCAACACGCCTCCACCACGATGGCGCACCGAGAGATCATCTCAGGCTCCATAGCTTCAGTGGTAAATCATATTGCATACGTACGGGCGATCATGGGTGTTTCTTATGAAAGGGTTGCTACCAAGATCAAGCATCCCCACGCGATCTTTCCCCCCTATAAGACATCGGGCCGTCATCCTATTTAGCCGTCAAGGTTTGAGTTGATAGAAAACGACGCATGACTTTCTTCACAGCCCTCAGCATGATTTTTATGACATATATCCCACTTGAGACGGAGGACATGTGCTTGATGATTCGTCAAGACTACTCTCGGATCTTTAACGTGATAGTTCTTGCTTAGGGTGAACTGGACCTTTTGCAATGCACTCGCATGGCCAGTCCCTGTCATAATCCTTCTTCGTAATTGGAAAGAGACAGCGAACTCAGATATCATTGAAAAGCAGCTACTCTTGATACAAATTCACTACTCGTGCTGTAGTAATCGAACTCTGGTCAGTCTTTTCTGCACTGCAGCGACAACCTCGGCGTGAAAGATGACGTGGAGGACTGCATCTTTCCACCAAACACTTCTCCGGGGCGCACCCCCTGAGCATCATCCTGATCCTGATTCTGATCCTGCTGCAAAGGGGATCACAGCATGTCGCACACCCGCTAGCGATCATGGTAAGCTCAACGGCCCGAGTTTGAGCATATGAGGATTGGCGGCAAGGGCAACAACTGGGACCAGGTCGAGGCAACTATCCTCAAACGGGCGAGTTGAGAAGAGCCTAATGCAGTGTCCCCATTCAGTCGAACCCAGGCGTTGACAGAATGAATCCTTGACATGTCCTGAAGGAGGACCTGCGATTGCACCCACCCTGTGCATCCAAAGACGAGAAACAGAAAGCCTCTTCCTTGACAGATCCAAAAAGTCAGTAAAGCTGGGTTAAGGGTCTGACGTCCCGACGATCCCTGGGCAATGAACTGATTGAGAAAGGACGAAGGTCATGGCGGGAAATTCCGTTCATGGAGACCCTGGACAAGAAAGGCTTATGTTGTGCTTTATAACATGGGACGAAGTCGATCAAGTTTCCCTGACACGGACCAGAGTTACCGGAACAGGCAATCTCGTCGTAGTGTGGGGGGGAATAACGGTCGGCAAGCTTAGGGGCGCCAGACTCTCGGGCAAGGGATCGAAAGCTGGTAATTAGTTAGATATCCGTAGATTGTGAGAGCCACGTCCTGGTTCTACAAGGACATACCTAACAAAAGTCAAAGACGGAAGAGGCCGTCTTCAGTAAATGAATCCATTCTAGAACCGGGATTCTGCTCGCCTTTAGATGGAGTTAATAAAGTGGATGAAGACCACAACAACAATGGTGCCAGCACCGGGTGATGCGGAAAAGAGGCGTAGTCTAGTTCTGTCTGGGCAGTACTGTGCTACTAGACAAGCTCTTCTGACTTGGGCGCATGGAAAAACAGCATTTCAGCGGTAATTCACAGTGATCCCAGTGCCTAGCAGTGAGTGGTGTTTGAATAACAATGACAGCTGCTTTGGGTGTTGAAAAGACTCGGTCCGTGATCGATCAACCTCGGCAGTCATGCTAGCGCAAGCCTTTCAGAAGCCAGAAGCCTAACCGAAGCCTCGACTACGGTGCTAAAGCTGGTGACAGTTGGTCCTGTAATCACTCTAGTCTGCTTAAGCCTCAACCCCAAGAACGCGCCCGCGTGTATTGGGACAGGCTAGGCCAGTCCAATGAAGCAGACCTAAGACCTAGGACCCAGCAAGCATGCGAAAGCGGAGCTTCCACACTCGGCAAGTCTAACAAAAACGCAAGAGATTAAATCA